AAGGGTATCGAAAAACTTGAAGAACGTTATAATCGCTGTATAGCCCTTGAAGGCAACTATGTTGAATAATAAAAGCGAATTTTGACGAAAAAAATATTTTTTCATTGAAACGATACGGAATTTTCAGCCCACCTGTTATTCAATAAGCTGGTGATGTTTCAATGACAAGTTGTCATCTCATACTTTGACAGTATTTTGTTTTCAACATTTCATAGCTATTGGTTGCTAAAATTTGGTGATTGGAACTTGAAGCTCATTCACTGTATCTGACGGTCTGTTACCCGATAGGTGGGGAGAATAACGGACTGTTGTTGGTGAAATTGGGCCTTAGTGCCTGTGGTACCCTTCGTCAAACTTCCGCTGATTTTACTCATGCCAAGGAATTGATAATTTACGGAACGCGACAACGAGAACGGACGATTTGGTACCACGCACACAACATCTCGCATGTCGATTCGAGACTACAAAGAAAACGAACGAGTAGCTTCAGTGTGTATGGCAACTTCAAGGACGAAGTTAATTTTGTGATAAAATGTTTGATGATATGAAGGAAATGTCAACAGATGTCATAATTTGGGATCATTCTCCAAGATGATTCTGTTCTACTGCGATTGGGAACTCCTTCAACTGGACCCTGGACGATGATGAAAAATACCACTGGCTTATTGGAATTGGTTGTACCCCCGTAAACTGCTTGAGAGGTGGCAGGATAGACACGTTCCCAGAAAAAAAGCCAAATTTTTACAAGCTTTTATTTACCATGACCTGTTTGTTTATGTCTGTATTATGTATGTGTGCGTCAAATCTTGGAACTGAATTTTGAAGCAGTTAAGGCCCGTATCGTCAGTCCATAAACGCGCCCTACAATTGTAGGGACGACTGACAATACGGGCCTTTCTGAACCAATTGAGACGAAATTTTATTTGGTTCACGTGATAATACAAATTGATTTAACCACCGCCATTTTGGATCCAATATGACGGATGCTACAAAATGCATCTTAAGTTTTCAAATAAAAGCGTGTTCCGTTTTGACAGCAGGATGAAAAAACGGTGTAACACGTTTTTATTTTAAAACCTGTAATGAATGAGCTTCGTCGTGTAAATATTTCCAATCAGAAAAAATATTTTAGAATGTAGAGTTCACTTTACTAAATAAAAGCTTGTTTTTTACATGTACTTGTATGTTTCTATTTATTGGTTTGATTTCAGGACGATTTCGAAACCATCGTGTACGGGTGCTCCGGGGTAGCGATGCACTCAAAGAAAAAAAACCACTCTAGCAAAAACATAAACTTTTTCATTGGTTTTACGGCGTATTTTGATTATTCCAATACAATAATCAAAATACCAGTATGTAACAATGACATTCTTTGATTCTTTAAAACAAATCGTCGTTCTCCGTACGTACCGGCGTAACTAACATTTTACAAATTTGACAGGAGAGGTAGAAAACGAAAATCAGCAATAAATATGATTGAAAATGACATACTGATGTTTTAGTCTGCTCTTTGCTGTTTTTTGTTAGACTAAAATTATGTAGAATCAGCTCTAACGCAGAGGCGTAAGCCGGTACGTGAAAATTGTTTTCGGAATTTCACTTACGCAAATTTTTAAGAATTGTAATGGGTAATTTTTTGGTAGTATCTTTTTGGCAACACTGTTTTTGACAGATGACGCGTGAATCGTGTCTTGTGTCATTGTCAAACTTGTTCAGTTTGGTCTATAATTTAACCATGAATCGACTTACGAACGAACAACGCTTGCAAATTATTGAATTTTACTATCAAAGCTCATGCTCGGGTAAGAGAGTGCATCGAGCACTGCTTCCAATTTATGGGCTATTTGGTCGGCCTACTGAGGGACCTATTCGGAAGCTTGTGACTAAATTTCGAACCTAGTTTACATTATTGGAAATTAAAACACCAACACGCAGACGTAGAGTGAGGACTGAAGAAAATATTGCGGCTGTATCCGCCAGTGTTAGTGATGACCGTGAAATGTCGATTCGCCGCCGGTCGCAGCAATTGGGCCTCTGTTACTCCACTACGTGGAAAATTTTACGACAGGATTAGGGTGAAGATCAGCCAGAAGCATTGCAAGAGCTACCAATGCATCCCGAAAAAAACACTGTTTGGTGTGGATTATGGGCCGGTGGCATCATCGGGCCGTACTTCTTCAAAGACGACAATGGCCGGAACGTAACTGTGAATGGCGAGCGCTACCGTGCGATGATAACAAACTTTTTTTTGCCCAAAATGGAAGAGCTGGACTTAGCTGACATGTGGTTTCAACAAGACGGTGCCACATGCCACACCGCACACGAAACAATGGCCCTATTGAGAGGCGAGTTCGGTGAACAGTTTATCTCACGTTTGGGACCTGTCAATTGGCCGCCTAGATCGTGTGATTTAACGCCGTTGGACTATTTCTTGTGGGGCCATGTTAAGGCTAATGTCTACAGGGATAAACCAGCAACGATTGACGCACTTTAACCCAATATTGAAGCATTTATTCGTGAGATACCGGCCGATATGTTGGAGAGAGTGTGCCAAAATTGGACCTTGCGCATGGGCCATCAAAAGCGGAGCCGCGGCCAACATTTACATGAAATAATCTTTAAACATTAAATTATATCGACCGTTCTATCGACTCAAATAAAGATTTAATCGTTTTTTCAAATTTTTTGTGTTTTTTTTTGAAAATCAAATCCTATACCTCTTAAAAAATCACCCGTTATTTCTAAGCAGCGAACTGACATACAGCTTACATCACTTCGTGAGGTGAGAGACTACAAAAAAAAATATGTGAATTTACGGCGTAACTCGATTTTAGATTTTTGTTGTCATTTACGCCTGTACGTGCGGAGACCGACGAAATGTATTAAAAAATTTCGGGCTAATATGTATCTAATACAAAACCATGCTTGACAGCAAGTTTAAGAATCAAATACATTCTTGCAAGTAGTGTAGCTGGTTTCTGGCGCGTATCATACAGCTGTCCAATTAATTATAAAATAAATCGAAACATCGCTGATCCGACCCGAGATAACCGCGGTAGCGTCGAATAATAATCTCTTTAATCACGTTCGCATTGAGAATGTCATTTGCATAAGTGGCTCTTCAAAACAAAAACTAGGCCCGAGACTAATTGCTAGAAAACATACGCGTTCATCCACTGGTCTTTTTCGCCTATTTAATCTTAATCTTCTTGATCCAGATTGCTACAAATGTTTATAATCAACATACTCAATTTATTCTATTACAGGTCTGTATCGAAGCTAACAGACCACTGCTATTAGGGATGCACCAACTACACGGTTTGTACCCGGTACTCCGCCTACTTTCGGTCCATTTTACCGAGTTTTCAACTACTCGACTGAGTCTAAACGCAAGTCACAACTTTGAATCAAATGATTACAGATGCGATGTGCAAAGTCTGAGTTTATATGCCTTTTGCCAAAACCTAGTATTCAGCTAGCAGCACTGGATTCCTGCACTTGTAGTTATTGTAGTTGCAGCTGGGATTCGATCAATGTCGGCAACTTCACTGGTTCTGGCACTAGACACTGTATTATTCGTAATCGCCAGACAATGTGCACAGGTATTATAGTCTTTCGCGATAAGTGGGTATAGTTTTTTGTCACGACACGCTTTCTGCGGAAACCGGCAGTTCAAATAAATTTGACAGAATGCGTTCAGCTCCGTAAGAACGCGACACAAATCCGAAATATTCGGTTGGACGCGGCAAGTTCAGTTGTCCGACAGATCGCGACACAAGTCCAAACAATCCGGCTCGATGGACCAAACTATGTTGGCGACTGTGTTATTGATAACGATTTGCGGAAAGTGAACTGTAACACCAACTTGGATTTTAACGGGTTTAATATAAAGAAAAATAGATTAACAGTAAGCCGTGTAAATAATGTAAAAATAAGTGAAAGTCTTTGTACATATTGTTCCGTGATGATAGGGCTGAGGTCTACGTGCGGACTACTTGCAACTTAAACCAACGACGCACACATGCACTTGCAAAATTCCAAGGCTAAACGGACATAAACCAAATGTCTATATGGTATAGATAAAAAATGCATATCATCTTGTGGCGTCAATTTGGCGCCTCGCCCTTCGTAGGTACTCTGAGGCTGAAGACGTTGAAAGCATTAGAATCTCTAACACCAAATCTTCCTGATATGTACTCTAAAAATTTCCGCACTATCAAAAAATAGGCAATACGACGGATTATTGTTGCCGGAATCAACTGCCGGTTGATATTTAGTTATGAATTACGTCGACTTCTCCAGTAAGCTAGTGTGTTTACTATACAAGCATATATCATTTTTATACAGTACTTTTCAAAAATGACTCTACATTCCCGTGAAAAATGCACAAAATTACATATCTCAATATATGTTCTGCAGGTATCTGCAGCATGAATAAATTTAAAAGAGTGGTTATTGATTTATGGACCTATGGACCCATCAATATGCGTGCGAATCATTTATGGTTAGGTCAGCCGCGTTTCAATGTGTATGAAAGAGAGAGAGAGAGAGAGAGAGAAGCGTGCAGCATGTATATTAGAAAGAGTTACTAAGTATTCAAACAAGAATTTAAGCGTATTGGAGAAAGTAAGCCACTCCTATCTACATCTTGCTCAAAAAACGAAAAATATATTAAACCGTATGACATAACAACTATGAAGAATGCGGGGAAAATTACAAAATATAAATAATTGGAAGCAGTTTGATTTGTGAAGCATAAAGATATCGTTTGAACACTCACCATTACGCATCATTTATAAAATTAATTCACAGATCTCGTAAAATAAGAACAGCTCAACTGAGAGCGTACAAAATAAAGACTATCTGAACTCTCTATGGCGCATATTAATTTTTTAATATGCGCCATTTTATTCCAACAACAATTAACTGTACATTCTACTCAAAGTTGATTTTATTAAATCATAATACTAGACACTCCAGAGTTGAAAATATCCACGTACCTGATATAAACAACGCTGCCATTATTGAGTATCCTTTTCCATCCATAGGGCACTGACACAAACTGCTGCTGCTGTTGCACGGGTTGCGGATGATGTTGCACAACTACTTGCCCGCTACCTTGTTGCTGCTGCGGCTGTCTGACAGCGAGCACCACGCCCCCGGAGGTATTTCTCCCTACCACGGAGGGCGTTCCCTCATACAGCACAACCTCCTGATGGGCGGAGCTCACGATAGCTCCGCCTCCTTCGTCCGTCGAGCTACTTAGACTGCTGCAACTGGACGGACTGGGCGCAGGCGGTTCCCCCACCACTCCTGCCGATGGGTGGTACGTCACCAGGCATTCTTCACCGCTATTGGCGTACGGGGGTCGGTGGGCAGCGTAGCCGTATTCGGTCGGCTCATTCGCGACGTACACGGCAACCAAGTGATTCTGTAGGGCGTGGTGAGGGGGCGGTAGGGCTTCGGAGGCCGACGGCGGCGCCGCCTCAGGCTTCTCGGCCATCGCGCCAGCATATCATCGACCTGAGCGGTCTCCTTAGGCCAGTCTGAGGCCCTTTCGCGGAACTTCGGAAAAGACTTGGTTTCAGCTCGCGGAACATCTGAAACAACAGAACAGATTACAGAAATAATAGGATTGATCAGTTTTAAGTAATGATCCTCATGCCGATGATAAATTTGTGAGATCATAAAAAAATGGCCCAAATCAATAAAACTATCTGTATCTTGGTTATAAGAGGCTCATCAACCATATGATATTATATAAACACCACAGTGGCTTCTATCAACTGTTAAAATATCTCCATTGTCCAATGAAACACCCTATATATAGGGTACTGGCAACCCTATGGATGAACTCTTCAATGTATGCAAGACTTCCACTACAATTCTCACAATATAATATACAGGGTGTCCAATAAGTACCACGAAGAGCTTAAGGAGAAGGTAGGCTTTGGACTGACCTCCCAAATAACAAAAAATTACCTTTATAAAAGTGTCACCGTTTTTGAGATATTGATTTTTTCTTAAATTTTAAAAAACTAACCTTTTCATCTGTGGTCTTCAGCTACATGTACAAATGATGTTATACTTTGTTCATTTTTTCTATAAAATACTTCTAGATAGTTGTTTTATCATATACAAATACAATGTAGTTAAAAGATATTAAGAAACCATGATAAAAAATAATTCTTTTGTATTGTTACTGACTCAAGACCGAATTTCAGTTAGTTTCATAAAATCATATCAGGAGCAGGTAATAATAATGAAGCTTTGTACTATTCAGCATGTCACTGATCGGTAACCAGTGAAACTTGAATTTAAATCCAATAATTACATTGTAGTGTGTGTAAGTCACTTACAAAAGCAGCTATCACTTTTTTATATTCCAAATAGTGGTGCCTTTCTGAAATCTGTATTCAATGAGCAATCTTTTTATTCAATAGTCCTTATTTGATCATGGTTCCTTAATATATTTTAACTACATTGCATTTGTATATGATAAAGCAACTATCCTGAAGTATTTTATGATGAAAAGGTTCGTTTTTTAAAATTCAAGAAAAAATTTAATAAAACGGTGATACTTATATAGGTAAGTTTTTGTTATTTGGGAGTTCAGTCCAAAGCGTACCTTCTCATTAAGTTTATTGTGGTACTTATTAGACACCCTGTACAAATCAAGTAATAACTTATTATTAGGTACTCTTTGACAAGTGCTGGATTCGCAAATGGCCAGGTGACCATCTGTTATGGTTATAGAACTATCTTGCAGTTAGTAGAATGAATCTTATATGGCATTAACAGGAAATTATCTGGTAACCCAGCCCTAAATTAACCTTTGCAACATTCTAGACAATGCCACTCGAATCTAATAAGGTCTTCATTAGTGAAACTGAAATGAGTAATAACAAAATTCTTAAGGAAAACGTGTAGATTAAGCAAGACACACACCATAAATGAATATAATTGTATTACATAATTCTAAATTAAATTATTTCTGTAATAATTTCAAACCTTTACCACATAAGGCAGATTCAGCATACCTAAATGATGACATCAGGGCCCCCAACATCCAGAAGATCACTAAGCACTTGTATTTTTTAAGGGCCTCATTAATAGCCATTTGATGGTTTTAATTGTTGGTTTTTTTGTTTGAATTTTTGCTCATACCTGAGATGACTACAATATCAAGTGAAGAAGTGCTTCAAATCTCCAGTATTTTTTGGCCTGTGACAGAATTTTTGTATTTTCACCTATAGTAGCTATAACTTGTAGAGCTAAAATTTGCTGGAGTATGGAATCTTTATATAGCTGACCAAGAGCTGATCTTCAGATGAGGTCATAGCATTACTCTAGCAAGACATCTTCAAGTTAACACAACTAGTAGCAAAATATGATACACAGACTTAATAATTTTATTTTTAAAGCTGGTTACAGAAAACATATATGCGGATTGAGTTGCACAATTAATACATCCATCTCCACCATGGAAGTGCATTGAAGAATTCTAATTTGATAGATATTCCCAAAAAGTACCAACAACATATTAGATAAGCTGTCCTCAATCTACCTTGTGCAACAGTAATATCTACACCAATTGAATGTTCTTTGGCAAATATTGTGAAGAAGATACTTCTACCAATCCCTTCAATAACGATGGTATATAGTCAAGACCAACAAACATAACAGCCAAGATTTCAGTTTGTTTTGTACAAATTGGTATACAAAACAACATTGTTATTATGTTGACCTTAGAAACTACCAATTCCGCCACAATTTATATGATGCACATATGACGCAACTTTCCAAATTACCTGCACATCTCGTGAAAGTCCCCTTGATATCCAAAACACTCGAAAAACACCATCACAACCGCGTATGTAGAAAGGGTCGCGGACAAAATATGTTTTAGATGAACAACACCTGCTCGGTAACGCGCGTTCCCGACACTGAGGATCTCATAGTCGCGACTTTCGCTCCCATAGGGTTCTTTGCACTCGGAGGTTTCACCAACGCAGGACTAGGGAACGGTCAATGTGTCTCGTAAATGTAATCCACGAAAAAGTATTCACCCGCTCCTAGTACACTCGGCGCAATCCGCCATAATGGATTAGCTGTCCGTTTCAAAGTACGTCAGCTGTCAATTGTTGTGCTTTGCGACGTTGCCAGACATACGAACCAATTCTATTAAAAATACAGTGACTGGAAAGAGCTCATGTTTATGCGTGATCTATACGTTAGTTTGGAAAATATACAAGAATCCAAAGAACTCAGTGATCACGTTGAGTGAGAGATGAGTCTATTAGACGCACAGCCACATGAAATCTGTTTTTTCTAATTCTTTGGCCGTAACAACGTAGTGTGCCTATTTCATTTTATTTGTGAAAAATACAAACAGTTGCAATTATAACATGTAAAAAGTTATGGATTCAAAGTTTGGAGTATTAAAATTCAATCGGGTTGTGGTGTGTTGTGAGTTTTGAAGAACAACAGTAACGCCACAGATTATGACGCAGTGTAAGTCGAGTCGATTCAACTGAAAGTTTGTTGAAAACATGTACAAAAGAAGTCAATAACAACAACAAAATTTGAAATAAAATATATGTTTATTAATTTCAATGGTCGAATTCAACGGGAATCAAGACCCGCAGGATTATGACGTACAAACTCTATATAATGTCAATAGAATCCATCAAATATCAACTTGCGCACTAGGTAGATGCTAGTGTCCCGCTAGTTCACTCGATTCTGCGCCTACCTACTACAAGTGAACATGTATAAGTAAATCTCAGGGCTGCGTTCGTGAATTGTTACAGAATGAATGTACTTTATACAGGGTGGCGCAGAGGAAACGCATGTTTTCTGACCGAATGGTATTTCGCACAGAATAGGGATATGACCTCGCCGCACCGCCAGCAGAGAACACATGCGATGCAGTTTCAGCCATGGCACCGTGGATGACGGAGTATCGTGTGTTTGCCGTCGAGCAATTTTTTCGAAACGATGATTCTGTAGTGATCGTGCAACGTTTATTCCGTCGACAGTTCAATGCTGAACGCCACGGGCCAATTCCAGATCGAAACACAATACTCCGATGGGTTGAAGCATTTCGAAGTACTGGATCCGTAATGAAGAGGAAGCCACCTGGCCTTCCCCGTACCGTGCGGACTCCAGGCAATATCGAAACAGTGAGAAGAGCGGTCCTTGATAGTCCCCAACGGTCCACTAGGCGCCAAGCTCCAACTCAGCGTATGTCCCGTCGGTCGTTACAACGCATTCTGCATGACGATTTACAATATCATCCGTACAAGATAATGATCGTGCAAGAGCTAACGGAAAGCGATTTTGCACAGCGTAGAGAATTTTGTGCGAGAATGCGGGCCATTTTTGCTGACGATCCTGACGTCGTCATAATGATGAGTGACGAAGCACACTTCCATTTAACAGGATATGTAAACAAGCAGAACTGTAGGTATTGGGCGGCCGAAAATCCACGAGAGCTACACCAACGACCCTTGCATAGTCAAAAATTAACTGTGTGGTGCGGAATCAGTAAATTAGGTATCGTTGGTCCTTACTTTGTTGAAGAGGAAGAAAGAGTAGCAACAGTTACTTCTGCACGTTATGTTCACATGTTACAAAATTTTCTGTTACCCGAACTTCAACGGCAACAAGTAAACATGGGAGAGCTGTGGTTCCAACAAGACGGTGCTACAGCTTACACAGCGAGAGCATCAATGGAATGGATTCGACAGATGTTTCCTGAACATGTGATTTCCCGTTTCGGCGATGTCCCTTGGCCCCCACGCTCCCCAGATTTGTCCGCATGCGACTTCTTTTTGTGGGGTTACCTTAAGGATAAAGTGTACCCTCACAAGCCTCGTACGTTACAGGAACTGAAAATTGCTATTCGTCAAGAAATTGCAAGAATACCACAAGAAATGATTTTACGTGTAATGCACAACTTTCAAGAGCGGTTGGAGATGTGCGAGCGCGAAGCAGGGCGACACTTGAGTGACGTTATTTACCATCATTAGTTTAAAAGTGCACTATCATTACTTTATTTAGCTGTAACTGAAACAAAGTTATCTTGAAAATAAAAAATGTTATGCTTAGGTGAAAATCGTGCGTTTCCTCTGCGCCACCCTGTACTAGTCTCTAACAATCTCGGCGTTCGTAATTGTTTGACGTACCCGTTTGAAGCGTTCAGCACGGGTATTAAAAAACGTCAAAAAACGACGAAATGTCATCTTTAAGACTAGATGGTTTTTAGTGTGCAAATAGTTCATTCCATTTTTGCTTTCTCGCTATATAATCGCTGTTCGCTGACGTTTTAGCAACGAGTTCAGAACAAGTGTACAACAGCTTGTGTTAACATCTCGCAGTAAATCCTACGTTATGTCACAAAAACGCCTATGAAATGTAAAAAAACCGACGAAATGTTACTTTTTAAGATAGAAATGGAACGTCAAAAGTGTACTTTTCTTCCCGCGCTCATAGTTGGCTGAATATATATTTTCCACGCTAAATGGGCTACCTAGCCCATATACATAGCATTTGTTATGATAAAAAAATGGTCGCAGAAAACGTGGTTAGAAATTAGTGGGCTGTCATCAAGGGTGATTACGTGCCTCTGTAATAATTTAGTCGTTCTAAAAATAAAGTGGCACGGTATTTCAGAGTAAAATTTCATATGTCAATCTACATATCATCACCGTAGGACAACCTACATGACGTCAGAAAACCTACATAGTATCATAAAAAATCGATATAATGTCACTTTTTAAGTTAGGCAATACGGGTGCCGGGTTGCGATGCCATTCTGATGCAGTCAGCCATACTTTTTTCTTTAGCAGTCATAACAAACTCAAAACATGACAACGCTGCTATTTATTAGTGATGGGATTTATCTACATCAATGACATGTCATCGATGTTTCGATAGTTCGATGTCTTCACAAATCCATAACCAGTTCTATTCCAGTGGCGTAACGTAGATCCCAGATTTCAGAGGCTTGGAAACAGAATACATCGAACTTAATTAAGCATGCTAAGTTTGCAAACTGCAAACCTAAAACCTGATAATACCAAATAATTTTAAGAATTGATTACTTTTATCCAACAAGTAATATCTAACAGTGGAGCCAATTGCACAAAAAAAAAATGTTTGAAAGTTGAAAAAGAAACTAAAAAAGCTGTCAAGCATCTTTCAAAATTATCAGATCTAATTCTTTCGTCATTTTAATATCAATATGCTGATTTGAAAGGCAAATAGCTCGAGAATATTAGAAAATTGAAAATAATGAAGGGCAGCAGAAAAAGGAGTATCAAGTATTAGCAAATAGCCATATTATGAGGAACCGGAACCAGTCCACGAGAAGCTTGACTCTGATCATTGAACCACGTCATAACAGACGTAGATTTGGACAAAGTACTGTTAATCAGGTACTTTCATTCGACACAGTGTGCAAGTTACAAGTGATAGCATTTTTCGTAAGTTTTTAAACACTTTCATATGCCGTATATGGCTTTTATCAAATATACCTATGCGCTTACAAAACATATACAGCGTTATAATGATAGCCCGTTATTACAAGGGTGAATTTCTGAGTGGAATTTAAGTAGGGAAGTCCATATCAATATGTCCCAAAAAGTCTGGTTTTCAAGATACAGGGTGTCAAAGTTTCATTAAAATAAGACGCTAAGATAGCACTAATTAGAAGATTATTATCAATTTCAGTGGCGTCTCGGGAGACAGTCTCACAAATAATATTGGCTAAAAATGTACATCACTGACTTTATGAGAAAATATGATCAGTGACATTAGAAGTGTTACATCCAGAAAAAAATATTTCTTCAACTTGTTTTTTGACAACATAATGACTATATTTAAAGCATGCTGTGGCAACAATGTCAACGTTCTATCTTTAATTTTGTTTACCTTTATTAGACTATTATCTCGTAGTTTTTGTGAAGAAAACAGTTCCTAAGAGCTGAGTAGCACACTTTTTTTCTAGTTATTGCCCTTTCATGTACTAGTGTTAAGGATAGCAAAATGCCTTGACTTCGAAGACGTTCAAATTATCACCATGTTAGCGACTTTGACAGGGGCAGAATTATTGCCTATCGACATGTTGGTTTGTCCTATCGCGAAATTGACCGTGGTGTTAATTGTACTGCAATGGCGGTAATGGGTGTGTGACGTGTGCGGATAGAAGCAGGTATATGCACATGAAGAAGGCCATCTGGTCCACCGAGGCGTACCACAGAGCGTCAAGATAGGCGCTTCAGACAACTAGGGCTAGGAGACCGTTTTGATACTACGCGTCGTCAGATCGCTGATCAATGGTTTGGAGAAGAAGGTGGACTTGCTACTATGCGTACACTCTATGGCCGCAATGCTTCCTCTAACTGCGCACCACTATCGTCAACCTTTAAACTGTAGCAGAGAACCGCAACATTGGGAGGCAGTATGGCATAATGTCATCTTTAGCGACGAATCGCGACTCTCTCTAAGTACACACGTAGAAGGGTAAGACGCCGCCATGGAGAACGGCGTGATATTGGATTTGCTATTGAGAGACATGTACACAGGACTGTTGGAGTAATGGCTTTGGGGCTATTGCCTTTGGTAACCGATCACCCCTTCTCTTTGTTCAAGGCAATATGACTACTGCGCGTTATGTTCATCACACAAATCACTTTACTGCCGTATCCAGAGGTCCGTCCACACGTTCTTTTTCAGCAAGGCAACGCACGTCCCCATATTGCTCGTACTGTCTTCAAGAAGTAGGCGTCATGTCAGTCAGTAGTCAGCATGAGTGGTGTGCGGACGTGTTCCGTGTGCACGGATAATTTTATAGTAAACAGTAAACAAATTCAGTGTAAGTTATGTGAAAAAGTTTTCCATAATGTCTGTGTTAAAGTAAAAGATAATGTCAGTAAGTGTATTGCCGATTGTATGAATTTGTTTTGGTTCTGTAATGACTGTAGTAATATTGCTATACAAAACCTAAAAATATCGAGGAGATTGGACAGTCTTGAACAAAAAACCAACGATGTGTTAGAACAAACCAAGGAGTGTTTCAGCGTCGTTAAAACATTATACGATAGAGCACCCAATGCCAGCGTGCAGAAGTGGAGTGACGTAGTAAAAGCCAAACGACCGCCTTTGATAATTAAACCAAAAAATTCGTCACAGAACAGCGTGAAAACCAAGTTAGATGTGACCAACAAAGTCGATCCATCTCAAATAAATATAGCCGGAGTCAGAAATACAGCTAACGGTGGGATTCAGATAGAATGTGAAAACGACGAGTTGATGCAAAAACTACACGAGGCTGCCCGGAACGCGCTAGCAGATCGGTACGAAATTCAGATACCAGAGTTTAAAAAACCAAAAATTGTTATTGTTGGTGTTTATGATAAATACCTGAGGGAGATTGATATATTTATAAACAAATTGAAAGACATGTGTGGTACAAGCGAAATAACGTTTGTTAGGAAATATAAGCCTCGTAGGAAGGAACATTTTAATGTGCTATTAGAGGTATCAAATGAGGCATTTAATTACTTTATTGCTCAAAAGAAATTACGCTTTGGATGGGATAGTTTTCTATTGTATGAATTTGTTAGCGTTTTAAGATGCTTTAAATGCTGGAAATACGGGCATATGGCAAATCTCTACAAACAAGAGCAATTTACATGTCCACTATGCGCCGGCAATCATAAGGCAGATCAATGTACAAGCAGTAATAAACGTTGTAGCAACTGTGAATATATTAGCAATGTCTTAAAGATAAAAAATATAGAATATAATCATACTATTTTTGATCGAAATTGTACTTCATATCTTCGGCAAGTGGAAAAGACTAGGCTTAAAACAAAATATGAATAGCAATCAACGTATGTTCGAGAAATTTGTTTGTCCATAAATGTACAGGGCCTAAGACGAAAAGTTGATGGATTGAAACAGCTGGTACTGGATAAGAATCCTCTTATAGGTATTATGTGTTAATGAAACCCATATTACGGAGGATTTTGAGGATGGCGAACTGAATATTAATGGCTATAGTCACTGCATTGCCCATGCTGAAAGTTGTCATACAGGGGGAACGATAATTTATGTAAAAAACAATGTTACTTCTACAGTTGTAAAGAATGTCGTACGTCACGGCCATTTTTGGTTCTTATGCTTAAATGTTCAGCTAGGATTGGAAAATATAATTGTTGGATCACTGTATAGATCTCCGAACGGTAGCATGGACTTATTTTTCCAATTTTTTGAGGAATTACTGGAAGATGATTTGATTACAACTCATCAAAGTATTTTTTTGGGAGATTTTAATATTCGCTTAGAGACCGAGAACCCAAGCTAAAAAAAATTAATAAACATCGTATCAGATGCAGGATTTACACAAATAGTTCAAGAGTTCACTAGAGTGACAAATACTTCAGCCACCCTGATTGATTTAATTGTGACTAACAATTACTTGCTTGAAGAAATCAGGGGTGATTTTCCACAAATTTCAGATCATCGAATTATAGGCTGCGTATTGGATGTGCAACATGGGATTAAAACAGAGGAAATGAAATATAAACGAAAATTTAATAAGGAAAATATTAACACTATTATAGCTGAACTCTACGGAAAAGATTGGGACTATTCAACAACAGATGTGGACCTATTATATGAAAAGTTTATGAAAAATATTACAGAAACTGTAAATAAAGTTGTACCTCTTGAAAACACTCAAACCCGCAAACAACCGTGGATTAATAGGTTCGTAATCCAAGGCCGAAGAGACAGGGACGAAGCTTAGAAAAAGTTTAAAATAACCAAATTAAATTCAGACTGGAATCTGTATAAGAAAAAAAGGAACATTTACGCTCGTGTTATTCGAAACGAAAAGAAAAAATATTATGAAATTACTATTGACCAATGCAAGGGGGATACAAAAAAATGTGGCAAACTTTAAAGCAAGTTGTAGGCAGCAAAAACAAGAATGTTCTGTCATATGATAATATTGAGTTTAAGGAAGATGCTGGATCTGTTCAAGTCAATTTTAACAATTTTTATGCAAAAAGCATAAAGGAAATAGCCGACAAAATACCAAAAGTTCCACCGACATTTCAAGAATTGCCACAGTTAAGTGATGGTCTGTCAAGCTTCAACACTATAAGCATTGATCAACTTAGAAAAAGGGTAATGGAACTTAAAAACAAGTCAACAGCGGATGATATTTGTACTGTTAAGTTTTTGAAAACGGCTTTTTGTGTACTCGGATACCCTTTACTTCACTTGATCAATGCATCCCTTACAACAGGAAAAGTTCCAAAAGCAATAAAAACTAGTGTTATAGTGCCTATTCCAAAAGTGTCCTCACCAAATAAACCAGCACAATACCGACTCATTAACTTGTTACCAGTGATAGACAAAATCTTGGAAACCGAGGTTTGTGCGCAGTTACGGGAGTTTCTGGAGGCAAGAAAACTGTTGTTTAAGGGACAGTCGGGATTTCGGGAAAAACACTCGTGCGAGTCGGCGCTGCAGTATGTGTGTTCGAAATGGCGTTCATACATTCATGACGGGAATATTGTGCTAAGTGTATTCATCGACCTTCAACGTGCATTTGAGACTATTGATAGGAAAAGACTGATCCAGAAATTGCAGACCTATGGGATTACAGACAGTGCACTAAAATGGTTTATGAACTACTTGAAAGACCGTTGTCATGTGACGAAGATTAATAACGTGGCGTCAAATTCAATTGATAGTGAAATTGGGGTACCTCAGGGTAGTGTGTTGGGCCCGCTTTTGTTCCTACTTTATATAAATGACTTGGACAGGGTTTTAGTAAATACATTTCTGAGCTTATTTGCAGACGATACATTGCTTTATGTGTACGGTAAGGATTTTAGACAAGTTGCAGATAGTATGAACTCAATACTGGAAATTCTGTATAACTGGTTATGGGTGAATAGGCTTAAGTTGAATGTAGAAAAAACAAAATACATGGTTTTTGGGACAAAGCAGAACTGTAATACATTTTTAGAAAAGAAATTTTGTATTGAGATAGATAATATTCAAATTGAAAGTGCATCTAGTATGAAGTATTTGGGCGTAGTTTTAGATCCTCAGCTAAATTTTTCATTGCATGTTGATAATGTTAGTAAAAAAATTGGGAAAAAAATAGGATTTTTTAGGCGAATATCTGAAAGTCTTAGTCACTGGATTCGTCTTCTTGTATATAATACCATCATATATCCACATTTTATTTATTGTTTTTCATTGTTGCTATCATGCAAAAAAACTGACATTCAAAGGCTCCAGTTACTACAAAATAAGGCTATGCGCACTATATTATTTTGTACACGTTATACGCCTATTAATTTAATGTTAAAAACCCTCGGATGGCTTTCAATACAGCAAAAGGTTGAAATGTCAAATGTCTTATTTATTTTTAAAACAAAAAATCATTTATTGCCTGAATACTTGCAGGAATATCTAATACCGAGGTCCGAGAGGCATGCATATAATATCAGGTCACGTAACACTTTTGACATAGAATTCGCTAGAACATCCCATATGCAAAAATGTCTTTTTAGTGATGGTTTGAGACTTTTTAATGCATTACCTACAGAAATTAGAGAAGCGACGTCTGTAAATATATTTATTCGTAAGGTTAAGCAATTGTATTTAGATAAAATGGCATAATATATGTACTTTCTGTGTTAAGATAACTGTATGTCATTATCTCGCATTTGCTATTGTTGCATTTACTGTGGTTGCAGTTACTATGATTTTAAGGGAATCTAGAATTACTGTTTTTTGTTTATTACTGGAGTAAGACACTATTATAAACTATAGGAAGTAGCTTTAGGGCTAAGAATAATAAACATTTCATTTCATTTCATTTCATTTCATTCATTTCATTTCATTTCATTTCATTTCATTTCATTTCATTTCATTTCATTTCATTTCATTTCATTTCATTTCATTTCATTTCATTTCATTTCATTTCATTTCATTTCATTTCATTTCATTTCATTTCATTTCATTTCATTTCATTTCATTTCATTTCATTTCATTTCATTTCATTTCATTTCATTTCATTTCATTTCATTTCATTTCATTTCATTTCATTTCATTTCATTTCATTTCATTTCATTTCATTTCATTTCATTTCATTTCATTTCATTTCATTTCATTTCATTTCATTTCATTTCATTTCATTTCATTTCATTTCATTTCATTTCATTTCATTTCATTTCATTTCATTTCATTTCATTTCATTTCATTCATTTCATTTCATTTCATTTCATTTCATTTCATTTCATTTCATTTCATTTCATTTCATTTCATTTCATTTCATTTCATTTCATTTCATTTCATTTCATTTCATTTCATGTCTTGACGTGGCCCCCCGTTCACCGGATTTAAATCCCATCGAACGTGTGTGAGATGATGGGGAGGAGACTATCTACTCTGCACCATCCGCCACAGCTCTGCCACAGCTAATCCACGAAGTTCGAGTCAATTGGAATGAAGTGCCACAACCAGACTTCGATTATCGCTTTTGTCGATGCCTAGACGTATACAGGAGTGTATTCAGCTGCGGGGTCGCCCAACACATTTTTTTATCACTTGTCAAATTTCGTGAGAATATCGTTTCATTCTTGATGTACCTAAGACTACCTCATTGCCAAAAAATCAAGTTAAAGAAATTATTTTGCCTGAGTGTAACACTTCAAATGACACTGAGTATATATGTTCGTGCGGATTAGTAGCTAATGATCCAATTTTTTTGTCTCTTGGTTTTCCTTTCTATCCTACTTCGTTTTCGAGGTAAAAACAAAAACAACATGTTGAAAAATTGTTATAATATGAGACCAAAGTATTTTGTTAAGTTGTTACTTTTCATTCCTTACATTTAAGGAATGGCTTATAAATAAATGTTGTGCGTCGTTCAAATTAAATAAACTTTATTTTAACAATTTTTCGACATCTAATGAAACGAACTAAGATGCGAAGGGATACCAAGTTAAAAGAGCTGTATCATTAGCTGCTTAATCTGAAAAAAGTATTATATTTTTTAGAAGACAGTGGCGTAATTTCTATTGTCAGAGCCATGTTAAGAAGAACACACTCCAGAATTTTATGAACTAATTATTGTATGAGGGTCCTGCTTGACCTGTTAGTCATGCTTGTAACTCACTTGTTTCTCAGAGGGTCCAACTTAGATATGCTACATTCATCCGTCCCTCCAAAGACAGTCAGCCAAGGAGAGCTGTTTCAATCTTTTTTTGGCAACACATCAGCATGGTTTACGCTTGGTATCTAGGACAACAAGCGAAAACATAGCAAAACTATCCTGTATCCAGAATATAAGGTCTATGGCGCTGTCTTATATCCGTAGAGTCTAACTTGCGCTGAGCATAATACTTTATGAACTAATGACGGCGTCGCGAGTTAATCCACTTGACGTCATTTTTTGTATTACGAAATATGATCAAAAAAAAGAAGAAATATTAATATTTTTCACAGGATTCTATGTCGTATGGCCTGATGTACGCCTTCATGTCCCCACATATCGTCAGGCTTGGAGGAAATCATCTAACTGTTGGTATTTTGACGTCAGTCTGTTCGGCTTGTCAACTGCTATCTGGCAGTGTTGTGGTGAGCTCTTTTCTGCGACAGAACTTAACAATACGGCATAGTATACGATGTATTGAGAATGCGATATACAAGTTCTCTAATGTATGATATATTTCAGAAATTGATAAAGGATGAATATAGGCCCAGAGAATCAATGTTAATTCTTTTTACAATAGCGATTCTCTCCAATTTGCTGATTGTGGTTGCCAAAAATTATTGGATTGTTATTTTGGCCAGGAGCATTTACAGTAAGTATATTTCAGACTTTCAATTTTTCAGAAATATATGAAAAATTGTTCCCAGAGGGGTCCAAACTCCGAACCCCGAACACTCTCAAAATTGTGCACAAAATCATGCTAAATATGCTAGTTTTAAGGTACAACCGGATTCTCAGAGGGAGTCACACCCATCTGCGGCGCCCATGGTTGTAATTTTGTTATTTTTTATGATATCTGGCATTTATTTAAGCAGAAATGTTTCTGCTTAATGTAAACAATTGCCCCTACGGTCATCCTTTAGACTACCCATGGATATGCTCAGTCCGGAAATGGAACTTCCTAAAGGCATCCTGCGTCGTCCCACATATAGTCAACGCCAAACAAAGTGGCGTGCACGTCATCAAGGTGGGTGTGTTGAAAAATTTACATTGTTGCCAAACTTTTTGTAAAATAATAAAATTTATTATTTACATATCTAGGTTTATAAGCAATATTAACCTCAAATGAGAACAAAAATAATAGTATAATAAAATTATAGATCTGTACTTGCATAATCATTAAGTATGACAATTATTGATCAGATGACACTATGAAACTACCATATTTAATTGATAGCTTAAAGGTACTGAATAAAAATCCAAATGGGGTCCTCCAAATTTTATGCATGGTATTTATTTTACAGAATTCATACAGAAAAATGCATTCTAAAATTAGGTAAGCTACTGGTGTAAGCTTTTTCTGTACAATAAAGTTAGTCGGAGTTTCTTTCTTCAGCGCTGTCTGAATCTGAATCTTCATCACTCTCAAAGTTGATTATTAAAGGTTCGATGTCTGGTCGATCAAAAATTCGTTCTCTTTCATACCATTTAAAAATTTCTTGCTCAGTATGTCGAACACTATTTTTCCACATGTCTGGGGTAACCGTTTGTAGAGCCTCGTTCCACATATCCAAACAGTCTTTTTCACTGTTACCATCTCTACCAATATGTCTATTATAGTAACCTTTTGCTATGCCCCAAATTAACTCAATAGGGTTAAATATACAATGGTAAGGAGGCAGACGAAGAACTTTGTGCCCATGTTGTTCCGCCAATTCATCAATCACGTATATTTTAGGTGGTTTGTTTCTAAAAAAGCAGTTATTTTAAGAATAGGAATAAACAAAAGAAATATAAACTGTCGACCAAAATATATATAATTAAGAAGCATTATGTACCGAGCAACAATACTCAATAGCTCTGTTTTAAACATTGTGTTTAAAAATGGTATGTTTTGATTTGTCAACCAGTCTTGGATATTTTTTTTTTGTCCATGCATTGTTGGGCACTTTGTTCAATATCATGCTGTGATAAGGGGCGTTATCCAGTATAATCATAGATGGACTCTCCAATTTTTCTAATAACTGATGTTGAAACCATTTCAAAAAATTGTCCTGGTTCATCTCTCCATGGTAATCGCTCAATTTTGTTTTCGAAAAAAATATCGCTTCACTACCCTCAATAAACCCATTTTCATTTCCAGCATGTAATGTAATGTATCTAAAATATATTAGTTTTAAATTTTATAGTGCAAATTGTGTAAAAGTACATACCTTTTACCATCTGTTTTAATAGCTTTCACGCTTTTTTGGTTTCCATTTTGCCAAGAGCGACCTATGGTCCCATTTTGAAATATCCAAGTTTCATCGAGTAAGACAAACTGGTATAAGGCCTCAACCTTGGCTTGATTGTATTGCCTTAGAAATTCCACCCTTTTCAAAGCTATACTTGGTAGTTCCATGAGCCCTCGTCGCGGATTGTCCTTAAGCCACTTAAATCCAAGATCTCTAAGCAACCGCCTTAAAGACGTGGCACTACCATCAAATAATGCCCTATCTCTTAATCGAGACCATAAAGTTTGTATCGTAACTTGTTCTTCTGAAACCATGTGTAATATGACATTATAATTTAGTTAACAAATTAATGCAAATTTCTGATAAGTTATTATAATAAGATCTTACTTTTGTGATACATATTATAGATCACTTCTCGAATGGCACTTGTATCCAATGTCGCTGTGTTGGTTACACGTTTAATATAACTCCGCTTTTTCTTGGGCGATTCTAAATTTGCATCACTTTTCACACCCTCGGAAATACGACTAACTGTCCTTAAACTAATTTTTAAAGCAGCAGCAACACGCTACAAAAAATGAAATAAAATTTCACTATTATTAATATACATTACATATAATTATTAGTAACCTACCTCTTGAACAGCATTTAAAGGCAACAAAGGCCCGTTGTTGTCCCTTTCTTGCTCAAAGTAGTGCATTAACGAGGCCACGAGTTCCTTACACCGACTATTTAACTGTTTGGGCATCTTTATATACCAAAATTGCCTTTATCTACTCGTAAAATGAATAATTTTGTTTTGAAACAAACAGTTGTTGATTTACAGTATGCGGGGCCAAAGGATTTATAAAGATTTGAAATGCCACAAATTGATTCAGTGTCAAAATTAATACAAATGTCAGTTCCCAGTTTAAATAAGTTTCAAGGTGACAATGTGTCAACGCTGCGAAATCGGTTTAGTGCGTTTACATGTCGATAAGTGATTGGAGCGTTTGCAAAACATTTTATTTCGCATAATGCGTCTAAATTTATCAGAAAGCAACTTATGTGATATTTTAATAACAATGTTTATATGACTATTAACCATAATAAGAGAGTAATGACCATTTTACAATTTATATATCACATTAATATGAAACTGCAATAGAGCAATTGTTTGTGATAGAAACCTAGGCATTAGGTCGGGGAATTTTTATCGTGATGACGTGCACGCCACTTTGTTTGGCGTTGACTATAGACCTGTTGCGCATCCTAATCTCACAGTTTTGTATAGCCCAGGGATGTTCTTTCAGTACGAGTGCCTGACGTTCTCATAGGTTTTTTAGGGAGTTACTTAAATTACATCGTAGGGAAATGTCTTTAGCGTACGTGCACAGGATATATCTTAACACCTCGGCAAAAATGAAAACAGGTAGCAATGCCATTATTTTTATCAAACCATTCTGAAAAAAATATTCTTAGATATATTTGTTGATTTCGTAACTTTACATGTTGTTTTGTGAGTTTTGGGGTGAACTCACGAGGAAGCTTCAAATATTCGCCGATGCCCAGAGAGGGTTACGTGGAAGACCAAAGCTAACTAAGCTAAGAAAATTAATTAATGTATAATAAATGCATTCCTTGCACAATGTATTGATTAACATTCCTCTTTCGAATAGGTCTAACGAATCAGGTGCCGAAATTCACTAAAGCCATATTGACTCAGCTGTGTATTGCTCATGATGCAAAAATCCATCTGCAGATAACTGATATTCTAACAAAATTGGGCCTTTTGATTGGGCCAGTAATAGCAGGATATCTTTTCGAGACTGGATTTGTATTCAGTTGTCTACTAGCTACAACTTTGGCTGTATCCAAAATTGGTATGTATGACTTCTATACGACAAAAGCTTAGTTTTTGGAAAATCCCTCAAGAATACATATATGAAATTATCAATAGAAGGTGTTAAAATTAGAACTTTCCTTTACATAGCGCATAGTTCTTTCAAAAAAATTATGTCCCTATTAACATACACCAATGCAATGTTTTGAGATAACCGAATTATCAGGTTCCAAAAAAATCTACAATATCATATTCGATCCTGCTTCCATCAGCACACCTTTTGTTGTGATGTTTTGATACCTTCTTCCGTGTCGGTACCAGGCTACAGTACATATAGCAATTGCTTCAATCCGTAACCCTAATTTTTGTATCAGTAATAGCTTGAGGAGGTATAGCAACACAGATGAATCGGTAAATATTAAAATAGGTTTTAATAACACAAGAATACGTATTAGGCTCTATCGGCACTAATATTTCGCAAGGTAGCCCGATGCCTACTTGATAATGTTGGTTTAACAGTTATGGCAGTTTTTATAAACTTGAACCCCTTTTAACTTTTTTGCGTGACCTTAAACAGTTTTGTACAATAGTTTTGTACAATATCTAAGGTTTAACAGAAGTAAATCAACTGCCCACTAGAACTATTATTAAAAAACTCCGTAATTATGCTGCTGCTGCTCTTCGGGGAGAAAAAAAAGGCTTATATGGAATATATTCTATCTGGGAGGAACAGTAAAGCAATATGGAGTTCTCTTAGGAAACTTAATATAATTAAGTCCTCTATAAATACTCTTCCAGATAACTTCAGTGACGCAGATAAAATAAATTCACATTTCACAAATATTCCGATCATAACCAAGACACAAAAGCAATTAGAACTAATGAACAAATATCAAAACAATCAGTTTCCCAAGTCATTCTGTTTTCAAAAGGTTGCCAAAGAATCTGTTGCGAGGAGTTTCTCATCCATCAAAACTAATGCTGTAGGGGCTGACGGAATCTCACTCATTATGATAAAATACACTTTTTCACTTTGCTTTTAGACCATATTACATTTATTATCAATCACGCCATAGCAACATCCTATTTCCCTGATGCTTGGGAGCAGGCTATCGTCATGCCTATTCCGAATGTAGCAATTCCCACGTCTGTAATGCAACTTAGACCAGTCAGCTTACTTCCCGCATTTTCGAAGCTTTTGGAACGGGAAATGAAGATACAAATATCTGAGTATATTTTCAGTAATGAAATAGTTCCATCAATTCAGTCTGGATTCAGAGAAAACCATAGTACAACAACGGCTCTAGCCAATGTCACTGATGATGTTATAAGAGGCCTTGATTAAAGAAATGTCACTTGTTTAGTTCTGCTGGATTACACAAAAGCTTTTGATATGATAGACCCTGAAATTTTACTAGCTAAGCTGTCTTACTATGGTTTTACTGACGCTGCAGTCAATTTGATACGCTATTATTTGTCAAATAGAAATCAAAAGGTCCTATCAGCTTCGAAAATGTCAGTCAACTGCTATAAAGTTTGGTGTTCCTCAAGGTTCCATATTGGGACCTTTACTTTTCTCTCTGTATATATCGGATTTTCAATATGTCCATAATTGTACAGTCCATCACTATGTCGATGACGCTCAAATTTATTTTAGTTTTCAACACAAATATTTTAAAATGGCAGAGACATTGATCCACGAAGATTTAACAAGGCTAGTAAAAGTCTCGTGCTCGCATAACCTAAAAATTAATCCATCTAAATCTTCAGTTATGGTTTTTGGCTCAACGAACGGAAATTAACCTTAAAATCTATGATTGCAGGCTTCCTATAATGGATGAGTGTAAAAACCTGGGACTCTGGATTGACACAGAACTAAAATACAAAAAGCATGTAAATTCGTTATGTAGTGCATCATACTGCATTTTGAAGCAGTCTTATCCGCATAGGCAAATAATGTCTACTTCACTAAAGCTGAAACTGTGTGAAAAATTAATCATGTTAAAGCTCAGTTATTGTGACAGTATATATGACCCTGCTCTATCATATAGTGAACAAAGCAAATTACAACGTATTCAGAATTCGTGCGTCAGATTGTCTTACGGAATACGAAAGTTTGATCATATTTCTTATAAATTTAAGGAACTTGGTATTCTGTAAACTTCACTTATTGACACTCACACATAAGGTCTTAGCTTCCAAACAACCACAATATTTGCATAATAAGTTAGCACGATGTAGTGACATAAATCAACTGAATACAAGGAATAGAAATATGTTAGTGATACCCTTACATTCTGAGGCTGTTTACAAAAAATCATTTAGCTACAACGCTATTGAATTATATTACGATCTGCCTCTTACATTCCAAGATTACTCATTATTTAATTTTAAAAAGAGGCTTAAACTAAAACTACAAATCGACGTCTGATGATGAACACAAAATACTGGAAATATGGACTAAGTATTCTTGTAAATGATTCTATTTTTTTGTGTTGTTAGTTAATTAGTTATTATTGAAAATTTTTAATACATTTTTATTGGTTGAATGTTTTATTATATTTTTTTTTTTGTTCTTTCAAAGGTTAAGTTGAAAAACGCTTCGCCTTTTTTGTACTTCCGTAAGAACATAGTAAAACTCATCAAAAAGATAAATTAGGTATTATATTTATTAAACCTTTATTTCAATATAAACTTCGATAAAGCCCATTTATTATTATTATTATTATTATTATTATTATTATTATTATTATAGCACTATAGATGCAATATATGAAAAACATTCTTAGTGAAAAAAACGGCACAAAGTTCCATCTATTGCCAGAATGAGTTGACCACTGCGAAACTGAAAACAGCAGACTGTCTGTTGGAACTGTATCCCAGTTCGCTTTGTCAGCTGCCTCGCCACTGTGGTCGCTAGATTCTGGTGCTATAATAGGTACGGTCTACTCGTCATTGAAAAAACTAGTAATATAGCTTTTGTTCATCAGACCACAGACGGCCAACCATGGACAACTGTTTCGTGAAATTTGGCAACCGCTCAGCGTGGTCTAGGCTTTGTCCCAGGTAGGAAAACGAACGAAGAACTCTATCCAGAATATAAGGTATATCGAAATAAGACAGCACAAAACGGTTGGACGTCTGTGGGCGGACGAACGAAAGCTATATTAGTAGTGAGTCCAATGGCGAGTAGACCGTATCTACTATAGCACTAGAATCAGCGGTGTCTAACAGCCATAGTGGTAACCCCGCAGAAAATGCAACCCGGGAAAGAGTTCCAATAGACAGCTTGCTGTTTTCACTTTCACAGTGGTAGTAGATCGCTCTTTGTACTTTATTTCGATACACCTTATACTTGCTCAGCTGTTTCCGTTGTCCTAACTGAGACCAAGCCTATACCATGCTGAGGAGTTGCCAAACAACACGACACAGCTGTCCATGGCTGGCCGCCGGTCGGACGAACATAAGCTATTGTGCTAGTCATTTTCATTCTTAATGGTTGAATTAACCGTGACTACCTCTTTCAGGGATCATTATGACGGTACCAGAGGTAATACTAGAAGACCTTTCCGATCCAGAAGTAAGCAAATCGTTCGTACAGCTAGCTCACGTCCCCGATACAAATTCCATCCTAGGCACCGTTCTGCTAGGAATCAAGACCATGATCAAAAACTTGGCAAAATGCAACATCAGCCAAAACTGGGACCTTTTGTTGGTCAAATTCCTCTACACTGCCAGCACCATAGTATTCTTCTCTAAATTCACCCAGCTTCTGAAGAACAATATGGGATGTAACTCCAAGATTATCGGAGCGACAGTATCTTATATGAACGCTGTCACTTTTACTGCACCGCATATTACGCGATTTTTGAAAGAGAACCTTCACTATGACTCCTTACAGAACTTGTTCTTCTTCTCGTTCACGGTATTGGCAGCTTCTACACTGCTAGCTTGTGTCACCACATCATATTATCTGTATCTGTTGGCTTGTATTCCTATAATAATCTGCAGAAGGTACATTCAGTCAATGTGGACAGAGATGTTTGCTTGTCGAGGTAACAGATACCTCAAACCTATAATACGTGAAGTCGGTATAGTCGCTGGCTTGGTGATACCAATTGCGTTTGGAATTCTTTGTAATTATATCCATGTACAAGCCGTGATGGCGTTTTCGTCGATACCACCTTTGATTTGTCTTTTTATCATCAAAACGTATAGTATCTACCAGCCTTGTGTTTGGGAAAGACCGAAACGTACCGAAAGGAGGCGTTCAACATAAGGGCCAGTCATATGCCATGGAAGCTCCAAAACACACTTTATGTTTATTGTATAGTCAAAAATCATGTTTATTATGTGAAGCGAAAATAAACAATTTTTTACAGTAAGATTTCTCCACTATTATAACTGACGCTTACTTCGCACACCTACTGGCGTATTGTATTCGCGAAACATTTGAAAATGAGATATTGTTTTTTTGGATGTTATTACATGTCACTCATTTCCGTCGGTCTGTCTGTCCGCTAATCCTTGTCCTGTCTATAACTTAGAAAGTTCCAGTCGGATTTTGATTAAATCTTCACACAAGGTTACTGCTATGCCAAGGACAAAAAAGCTTTGTACTTTTATAGTGTACCATTTAAAATAAGCAAGTATATATCGGTATAACCGGATGTGCCACCATTTTGGAAATGTTTTAGTCGAATTTCATGCTCAGTTTTACCACAACTTCAAGTTTTCATAATTGTCTAATGTCAACCTTTCGAATAATTCTTCGCTGCAGTTCTACGTGGTACACCCTGTGCAGTAATAGGTATAGGTATCAATGATCAAACAGCACAGATTCTATACACAAGCAGATCAATACATGTAACACGAGCATCTAGATGCCACCTTAATACTCGACCATAATTTCTCCGTCACATCTTGTTCAAAAGCACACCCCCGACCAAAGAGTAGTTATATACTACTACCTATATACTACTCTGCTCGAAGTTGCAGTCAGTACTTCAGGCAAAAGGTGGAGGTTAGGTGCCATTCCTCCATAGTTGGCGCTCACAGGTGGCTCACAGCGAGTGGCTTGTCATGTGCTAGCGACTGTAGTTAGTACACAAAAGACAATCATGGATTATGGAGATCAGTTTGTCATTTGGCGGGTGCCATGTTCGACCGGTGCGCAGTCTGCGTCTGCGCAGGGTTATTACGTAAAAAACCGATAAAATGTCAACTTGTTGACTAAGTAGGGACCAGGACCAACCAGGACCAGGACCCGCCACGACCAGGACCCACCAGGACCAGGACCCTTCAGGACCAGGACCAGGAACAACATATTGGTAAGAGGACTTGAAACTCTTGATTTTTCGAAAACAAGAGTTTCAAGAGAAACTAGCAGACCCTCTATCGATGATCGCTTAACGACATCGATAGAATGTGCGAGGTAAAGGGAACCAACCCGGCGTTCCCAGAGACTGAAACACATGAGGAGACGTTGTAGCAGACCGCAGGTCACGCACAACACATGGCCTACCGAGACGCTGATGAGTCGGGCCACGCGGAGGTTTAGGGTTTAGTGGGTATTAGGTGATCTCCTCAAGACCCTGGAGTCCCACACACGCCGTAGCTCGGGCTATGGTATGGTGCGTAAATGCATTCCCCCCTCACAAAAAAAAAAGTAGGCTAGTGTGCAAATAGTTCATTCCGCGCATGCTACAAGTGAGTATGACAGTGAATGACAGCTAGTTCCAAGTTGACGTTGGGAAACCCACATAATATCAAAGAAACGACATAATGTCATATGTCACTTTTCAAGTTATGTAATCCCCCTGCCGATCAGTGGACATACTTATTGTATTACGTTACACGCAAGGAATTGTAAAATATGTTTAGTGCGGACTGTAACTGAAAAGAAAGGATTTTTAAGTGGCTCTATCAAGATGAATCTAAGAATTCCTTAAGTATCAACATTCATCAAGCCGTTTGGTCTGTAGCCTGTGAAATAGGAATTTCAATACAGATTTGTTTACTAAAGCCCACCATTTTGTTTTTATAAAAAAATAATATAGCCGATGTCACTCGCGCTGACAAACCCAACGACATCTCATATTCGAAAATCCGTCGTGCAGTTTGGCCTGTACCTCGTGAAATAGAACTTTTTGGATACATAGATAGATATACACATATTTACACGCGAAAAACCCTCCTGAGGCAGTCGGGTAATAACTAGTTTGTCTTTGTCCTCCCGGACTTTTCATTGAAGCCTCACACTCCCAAATTTGCTACGCTTCTGGTGAGGCAATATTTTGTGTATCCCTCATTGCCACGGTAATGCTGATTATCTAACTATGAAGGTGCTCGTAAGACCTTATTCGCAAACGTTACTATATAACAAAATGACAATATACTATAATCATTGTTATTTTTTGATTACAAAAAATGAAGATTATTGTGTGGCTCTGTAGCAAACCGGTAAAGTAACAAAGTGTAAAAGGAAGCCGCAAAGTTGCTCTAAAAGTGTATGGTATGGCAACGTTGATTGTAACCGACATATTTTTGAATTACCTTGGACATGCGCAAATGTCACTGTCAAAGTGTCAAATCAATTGTCATATTCAGAAATTTCTTTTTTGGGCACTACGTCTTGCTAATATTTGATGTGTTTGACTGTTTGACATAGCTTTGGTTCAAAATAACTGACTCTACGACATCTTGAAAGCTCAATAAAAAACATTATTTTTTGTGTCAGCATACCATCTCATGAAACTGATTCCTTTTATAGCATTCAACTCGTCAAGTAGTCCATTTGTCTTTTGTAGCCCTGTAACGTCTTTAGAAGGTAAGTTGGTTTAGAACTACAAATACTTTTAGTTCAGGGTTGTCTCGGCACCTGATACAGAAAACCATTTATAAACATCTCTGTGTCCCATTTCGCATATTTTCTTGATGAATATATTTAGAGTATCAGTATTTTTAGCTCAAAAATTTAACATTCCAATTGTCTTTCGAGCACACGGACCTTTCAGCTCACTTCTTTGATTACATTCACTAGCAAGAAATTCTGATGCACTCGCAAGGTCTGTGTGTTGCACTCGCAAGGTATGTGCGTATGTATTTCCTCCATATACAGTAATGGGCATAAGTATATCGACAAATTAATATTGTGCTGTATTTTTTTTAAACTTGTTTTATTAATACACCAACCTATATACATAATTCGTTATAGCATAATACTCACTTATACATAAATAAAAAATTAATTGAAAACACTGGAACTATGAAGGACAAAAATATATAGACAAAGGAAAACAATTATAGAAAAAAGAAGCAACAGTTCATTGTATTATAGAAAATTGTAATCGGTCCTTATGGTTTTTCCTCGAGATTAGCGGCTTCTTACTCGGGCGACGTGCAAATAACTTCAAATCATTTAATCTTCTACTTATAGTTTTCGTAGAAACACTGCCAATTCCTTTTGTCTTGATTTCGGCTTTTATTTGTCTTGGGGTTTTAAACGGATCTTTGGACGAAATTACTTTTATTAATCTAACTGATCTAGCATTTAGTTTTCTAGGCCAACCTCTTAGAGGCTTCCAAGATACCTTTTTGTTCATATTTGTTCAATATTGCCCAAACTGCTTTACGGTTCAGCTTCAAATTTTTGGCAATGTCGACTTGACATTGACCATCTTTGTATAACTCAATGATCTTAGTTTTCACATCGAAAGAAATTTCTGGACCACATGGCATGGTCTTAAAATCACTCAACTTATTCCACAATACTTGATGAACACAAACTAATCCTCTTCTGACATGAAACTGTACTAAACTAATGTTGAAAGGAATATGTCTACATATTTTTGTCCCTCATAAAAAAGTGCTTATATTCAGACTTGTGTTCAATGCAGATAATGTAAAAACAAGGAATTTAGTTTTTCTACTAATAACGCATTTGTTTATGGATCAATGAAGTATGAATTCGTTTTCTAAAGGTATTTAGGTAAATATTCATATTTGTCTATATACTTTTGTTCATTATTATATGTCACAACATTTAGTTCATTATTTTTGAAGGGTACTCACACTCGCGAAACTTTACAGTAATTCAAAATGAATCTGCACAGAACAGGTAATCAGCAGCTGTGTTCAACACTTCTTCAAAGTACTAATAAACATAATATGTTTGCAGATGATAGATAATAGTATAGAGTAATATTTTTTGCACTTTTTGTGGTTTCCAATGCCAGCAGTATAGCATTGGGATACATCTATCCATTCAATTATAATTAATTTTGAAACAGCATTATTGTACATTGTTATAATAATAATAATAATAATAAGCGTTTATTGCCCAACAGTTTAACACCATTTATAGAGCAAACTACTATAAAAAAAAACAAAATCACCATGAGGCAGCTTGTGAAGAAAAAAAAACAATAATTTTTCATGTATCAATAACAAAAAATAAATATAGCTACAGCTTAAAAATGAGAAACGTAAGATAAATCAAAAGTGAGCACGCAATTTGCACTTCAATTCACCTATGCTATATAAGAATATGTCACATACATCGGCTATTTTATTTGCATTCACACACAGCATGTTGACAGGCGCTTTCGACAATAACTTTGTTTGAGCTCTTTGACATAAAAAAGGAACATTATACCTTGATGTTAGTCGTGGTACCAGAAACTGTATTTGTGAAAGTATTGTAGGGCAGTCTATTAGATTATGCAGTAATTTATATAAAACTATAACTGCTGATTGCTGACGCCGTTGTTCTAAGGATTGAATGCCAAATTTATGAAGAAGGATGTTGTATTCTGTACCTCTAGTAGGATATATGCCATCGATCTTAAAACAGGAAAATTTTAAAAATTTCTTTTTAAGTTTATCAACAACATCAATATACTGCTTGTAAATCGGACTCCATATCAAAGATCCATATTCAAGCTTAGACCTAACCAAGCTAAAGTATAATGTCTGCAAAGTCAAAACGTCAAAAGATTTACAATTCCTGATAATGAAGCCATAGGTTCGGTAAGCGCTTGAAATGATTTGATTGATATGCTCATTAAAGGTTAGATGTTGATCAAAGTAGATACCTAAGTCTTTCACAGTTTCACTGCGCTCAAGAACATGTTCGATCATTGTATAATTATATACCATGGGGTTGGTTTTCCTTGAAAAAGGTACTACTTTACACTTACTTATATTAAGATGAAGTTGATTCTTGGCATACCAGCTTTGCAATTTATTTATTGACCTTGAACAAATGCACAGTCTTCCAAGCATGAAACGGTTGAATAAAATTTTAGGTCGTCTGCGAACATTAACTTAGAACAAGCCAAAGATTCACACAGATCATTCACAAACAATATGAACAACAGTGGTCCTAAATTCGAACCCTGTGGTACGCCACTGGTTGAGACATAAACATGTGATATGTAGCCATTATAAAAAACATACTGTTTCCTTTCAAACAGATATGATGTTAAGAGCGCTAAGTAAATGTTGTTGAAGCCCAGTTACTCAAGCTTTCGGAGCAAAATACTGTGGCTGACCCTATCGAAGGCCTTGGAGAAATCGGTGTACACCACATCTACCTGTCCTCTATTGTCTAATCTATCGTACAAGTATTGGCTAAATACCATTAAGTTTGTTAGTGTTGAACGCTGCCTTATAAAACCATGTAGGGCGATGGAAATATTATTTTTAGTGGACAGGTAAATGCAGTACGATCTCAAAGAGTTTTGCAAAATTATTGAGTATAGATATAGCCCTATATTCACTGATACAGTGATAATTTTTTGACTTTGGAATTGGGCAAACTTTGACAATTTTCCATTTATCGGGGAAAACAGTCGTTGTTAGGATTAAATTGAAGATAACCCGTAAAGGATGAACTAATTTCCTGATACAATCTCTAACAATAAAAGATGGGATTTGATCAGGTCCAGCAGTCAATTTACTTTTAAGCTTTCTACAGGCCAGTAAAATTTCCTCATCTGATATTGGGTCACAACTAATGTCGACGAGTCCACTATGACTGTTATATTTGACAAGTAGTGTTATAAGGGACAGGTGAACCTTATATTTTGTTTATTATGCAGAAACACTTATTTGATTGTTCAGGAAAATATAACAACCTGCATTAATTATTACCTATTATGACCTTCCAACATACTCCCAAGAATTCATCAAAATCCAAAAGAATTGTTTGAACAAAGTAAATTAAGAAGATGCATGGTCTTTTATAATATCATTGGTCCTGTATAAATTATGATTAGTTAGGAACGTTTTTTTTAAAGGCATTTAAGCTTAGAAATGCATCTGAAAAAAATAACATTGGAAATAGAAATATACCGAATGCAATTCAACACTTTGCTTGAAAGGTTATAAAGCTGCACAGATGACATGATTATTATATAAGGTGTTTCCAATTGAATGTCAATATTCAGGGGGGTGATTTTTAGGTCCATTTTAAAGAGAAAACCTCATGTGGATCTATATCTTATATGTCTTGACTTGAGATACAGGTTGGTGAAGTTTTCACCAGGAAAATGGACAAAGCGGAACATCTATTTTCATGTAGTACTTGAGCATTTTGAAAACGCAATATGTGGAGGTCATGGTCAGGAAACCCCTCCTAGACCTCCTATAGAACCCAGAATGCCCCAGTTAGGGTGTGTTGTTAGATGTAGGGTATTATTATAACTTGTAATCTTGACAGAAGAAGTAATATGTACTGTTGTTAAGATTTATTCCAGTGTTACCAATGGGGAACATCGGTTTGACCTTTATTGTGGCCTTGAAGGTTATAGCCAAAGACAAGTCAATTTTTTTAAGTGAAACAACCTATTTGGCAATGATGTGTTATTTTGACTGACTGAGCGGTAATGGGTCTTGCTGTTACTGGTTGGACAGACTTTTCAAGTCCCCCCTTCACATGTCTATATACTATGCCCAGGCAGAAAGCCTGAAGTCCTCTGTAACTTAGAAACTCACCCACCCTACCTTCTAGCCCATATTTCAACAAAATATTCAATTTTCAAATGCTTTTATTACTTCACAAATCCTTATAACTAACACTCTCCTAGTTTGCAACGATCAATGCAGAAAATGTTCTGATTGTGGACAAACAGAAGAACATCAAAATATTGGAACATCTTAACTTGATTATCATAAACATGGAAATGTTTTGTGATATTCATTTGCATTGAAATTTTGTTTGTAAAAACTTATTTGAGCATGGCCTTCAAATGTTGCGTTATCGAAATGCTCAAGTACTACATTAAAGTGGGTCTTCTGCTTTGTCCATTTTCCTGGTGAAAAGTAGTATAGACGACTTTTAAAAATTTTCAAGGTCACTGTCAAGGTCAATTTCATAATCACTATTGGCCTGTTTACCTGTCTGGGAGAAATCTTAGCAACAGTATGTTTTGTTTCTTTAATAACATTATTTTAAGAATTTATGTTATCCTCCCATATTTATTAATAACCTCTACTTGGGGGTTTCTGGGTCCTATGGGGGTTAAAGGAGGAATGTTAAGGGGTTGGCCGCATTGAGACTTTTGATTGCCAAGTTGAAAACTCTCTATGCAAAATTTCAACAAATTGAGTCAAAAGCTATTTTCACTAAGGAAACTGCATGTCTCTTTGGTAAACATGTACTATGGATCAAGAGGCATTTTGTAATACACATTTTTTTCCACCAATTCCGCGGAATTTTTGCGGTTATTGACGGTAAAGTAAGAATGCTTTTGGAATCCCCAATCTTTGTAAGCAAATTTGAGCACTAGATTTTTTTCAATCCAGTGCAATCTGAATAATATTTACATTTTTATAAAAGTTTACCCTGTATATTTGAAATCATAAGTCATGTGTGTTCTTAAGGATGCTCATTGATTTTTGTTTGATTTTGAGAACTAATTATTAAACACGCTATGTTTGTCGCGCGACAAAGTTGCGCGGCCTGAAAAATTATCTGTTGCATCATTCAAAGTAATGGGTTCATCCATTATATTAGGTACTTTCTCTTTTGTAACGCGCGGCTCAAATAGCATCCATAAATAAAATCTTAATGATCATTAAGTATAATTAATAATCCTACTGATATATTTCCCATTATGCAGAAGTTTTTCTGCTAATAAATGAGGAGCTTTGGAGCAAAACCATACAATTTTTAGGAAAAGACTGTTTTTCTACAGCGCGAAAAGTAATAGCATGCTCGATTGGATTTATTCGGTTTTGCTCAAATCTTATGGATTTGTTTGGTTTTGCTAAAGAACTTTATTGACAAACATTAGTAATAATAATGTTTTTATTGTTTAACAGCTTTGAGTCGCTAGCAAAACATAAAAATAAACAAAAACATTTTATAACTTTAAAAAAAGTAAATTCCCAAATGATTCACATATAAAAAATATGGAGTTTTTAAAACGTATTAAATAAATAACAGTTTATTTTTTAAGTGCAAAACACATTGTAATCACGCTTTAATATACATTTCAGATTCCTCTTCCAAACAGTCGCACTCATTATTCATATCTGCTACCTCATTATCTTGATTTTCACATAAATTGTTTTTCCATAAGTTGTTTAACACTTTGCATCTTTTTTTGTGGGATGTTATCTCGCAACTGAGACTTCTGATAGCGAAAAGCGCCTTAAGGTTTTCCTCTTTTATAAACAGGTCGACAAACTTCCGATTGGGCTTCAAATCGGTAGTGCTGAAGCATGCGATTAATATTCTAATTTCCCCTGTTTGGTGTATTTTTTCTGTATAGAGATGCGTTTCACCATATGTCGGTTATTCCAGTAGTCTTATTAAGGTAATTTTGAAGTTCCCTTATATCAAAAATTGTTCAATCTTTTCCTAACACTTCTACATTGCCAGCTTTTAAATAATAATGGACATTTACTTCTTTAGACAAAATGGGTAAGTGATGATAACTCCGGTAAAATTGTCAGGAAAAAACCTTAGAAGCCATAAAATTAGCATATGGATAATGTTGGAGTTATTTGGGCACCCACATCCATCAGAGAACAATCTAATCTGAGCTATGCCAGTAAAGTCCGGTTACTTTAGATAAATGATCAAACAAAGCAAATCCAATCTCTGTGGCGCCTCTATAATAGCAGCCTGGTCTTCTGTCCAAATATAAAACTTAGGATTTCTTGAGCTTATGGCAACACAGCAGAAATAGTAGAGACTTATTTGTTGCGAATAAAAAACATCAGAAATAAGAGTGCGTGGTAAAGGCTATATATACCTGTTGCAGGTCGAAACAAAATGTCAAGGAATTTTCTGGTTCTTCTTTGGAAAGGTCGTAAAAAGCCTTGGCTCTTTTTTTATGAATTGGATATTCTGTCATATAAGTAATTTTTGCATCCTCTTTTTCTTATTTGAATTCTCCTACAGAACATCTATTGCTACCTAACAGCTAGTTAGCCTAAATATAAACAATGCACTTCTCAACCCCATATTATATGTATTTATTTGATTTTGAAGTAAACTCGGATTTATTTGGCTTTGCGTGGATTCCTTTACTGAAATTTACGCAGACCTAGTCGTTTTTGCTGGGTACTGTGTGCTTATATTATGTATTTTAATAAAGTGAGTCGATATTTGCGGATAATTCAATTATCAGAAAATGTGAATTTATTCGATTTTGTCGCGAAGCTCCTCAAATATTTTATTCTCCTTGAAATTGTTTTTTTTTTTTCGTTTGCTCCACATTTTTTAATTTTAATGCCATGTACCTTCAGGCTCATAATGGAAGAAGAGGATTTCAAGAAATTACCTGCTGAGGAGAAATGTGTCCACAAAGTTTGGAAAGTAAGAGTAGCGGGCTATGAAGAGGTGACAAAGCTTTTTAAGCAAATTGATGATGAGAAATCATCTGAATTCAGCAAATATTTAGGATTAGTGAAAAAATTTGTTGTGGACAGCAATGCTGTTGGCCAAGAAAAAGGTCTTGAGGCCACATTAGCCTATGTGGAAAACTATGCTCATGCAGGAAAGACAGTATCTGAGGTAAAATTTATTTGTTTTTGTTACTTGAAAGAAATAGATTTTAATATTCATCATCCTAGGGATTTATAAAAGCTTATGAGTCATCTTCACTTGGGGGTTGAGCAACAGTCAAACAGTTGCATTAGTATAGACTATAAAGTATTGTGTGTGGTTGATTTTTGGTCACCTATTGATATTGCTTGTTGTTATTTGTTAAAATACCTTAGAGTCAGGTTAGACCAATATTTGATGAGTGACAATCATGCTGCAAGCTACACTTTCATTTTGTTCTATTTATTTATGAAGAATTGAATCAAGGTGGCTCATCTTTATCGTCATTTGGCTCTGCTGCGAAATGATGACTTTCAACACTTTCATAAATTACAGTAAGAATTTATTTGTTTTTTGTAATTTTATTGATGGAATCTCAAAAAATTCAAAATTTTACCACGCTTTATTTATTTATGCACGCGAATTGTGTCGCCTGACAATTTCGGACATGTGCTTGTTGAACCTTGTTGAGTGACACTATGTGACAATACAGGTATTAAAATCACTAATACAAAATTCTTCATTATTTTCTTTCATTTAGGTTATGTCTGGCATTGTATCAAAATGTGTAGCAGCACAAAAAACAAAGACAAGGGAACTGGCACTTCAGTTGATTTTGATGTACATTGAAATAGAGAAACAGGAGGCTGTCCAAGAAGAGCTCATCAAAGGCATGGAGGCAAAAAATCCAAAAATAGTGTCTGCGTGCGTCAATGCGTCCACGGTATCGCTCAGGGAGTTTGGTTCAAAGATAGTCAATGTCAAACCATTATTGAAGAAAATAAGCACATTGTTAGCTGACAGGTAGATTGGTTTTTTATGCATTCTAGCTGTACTTTCAACTTGATAACATATTCTTCCAAGCCTCACATTACTGAAATAATTTTAAAAAGCCTTATTTGAAAAAGAAAAACTGAATTTGATCCTCCATAACTTTTTGTTATTAAAGAATAAGGTGAAGTTCGACGAAATCTATTAATTTCAGAGACAAAACAGTTCGAGACGAAACCAAAATGATGATTGTGGAGATGCATCGCTGGATTGGCGCCGCATTGAAACCTCAATTACAAGCAGCTAATCTTCAAGCAGTCCAAATGACAGAGCTGGACGCTGAATTTGCAAAGATTGAAGGTCAAAAGGCATCACCAACAAGATACATCAGATCACAGCAGGCCAAGCAAGCAGCTATGGCGGCTGAGGAAGCAGCAAATGGTGATGAAGGTAAGAACTTACTCGCCATCTTGAACATTATAAACTCATTTTTCTCTTTGTTACCAATACCTATTTATAGTGAATCATATAGAAAAATCTGGTAAATATTTTTCACCTTTAAATGACCTTGAAGATCACAGTTGACTGCTGTGGTGCATTTCTGATAGTTCGGCTGAAAAATATATCTAAATACTTCTGCTCTAATCATTTCTGAGGTCATTTGAAAATACAGGGATGGCATTTGTAAAACTACACTTGAAGGTCAAGATCAGTAAGGAGATGACCATGAGTTTCATTTGAAGGTCGAATTCTTAAGGTGGACGCCCAATGAGGGGAAGAGGAGCGAAGCTTCTACGCTGGATTCCTTTGAACACAATTAAATGAAGGCTCGTATTTCGGGAAGACGCGAAGGGAAGCGACAAGTCGCATTAGACGCGTGCAAACGGCCAATGTCACGGGGCCCTTCGCTTAGCTTCGGCTCAGTGTGCGTGCAACTCTAGTTATAATAATGATAATGTGCCTTTATTCAACTTTGCAAACACAAAATAAAACAAAAGAATAATATCTTGAAAACAGCAGAAGTGCAAAATTGAAAAAGTGGAGTGTTACTCTTAAAAAAAAATTGTATCTATATCATGAACATATTTAAGGGATCCAATAATAAAGATAAACATAAGTATCAGTGTTAGTCATAATAACTATTCTGTAAGATGTACCTAGTGCCTAAGAGAAAGGAACTAAAAATTAAAAAAATGTAGTGAGTTTCAGCTCATCCATTTAACTATGTTAACTTTCACAATGAAACGTAGAATTAAAAGTATTTTGTTGCTGGTGCAGGTATCAACATCTTACCAGCAAATCATAATATATTTTTGAAGGTAAGGAAAAAGTACTTTGTATCAACAATTAGTAGAACAAGAATGAAAGAGAGACAAGTAGAAAAGTAGTGGGCATAAACAGAGTTGGCATAAAGGATCTTTCACACTTCAGACAGATACAAATTATTTAGCTTTTTCTTAAAGTTCAATAAAGAAAAGTGATGAAAATCGTTTGGGAGACAATTGAATAGTTTGGCTACATTATATGAAAAGCTGCGTTTAAAGGTTGATGTTGAGTGAGGTGGTATAACGATCAGTAGTTGGTTAAAGGTTTAATCCTATCATCATCTATTTAATTCTAGCTTCAAATATGTGATGTCCATTTATACCTCACCTTCATGTGACCTTTAAATATAATTTTTTATTGTTACAGGAGATGAGGAAGAAGAACATAATGATGAGGCAGTTGCAGTGGATCCTTATGAATTAGCAGATCCAGTAGATATACTTTCCAAGCTACCAAAAGACTTTTTTGACAAGATTGAGGCAAAAAAATGGCAAGAAAGGAAAGAGGTGCTTGAGATCTTAGAAAATCTAGTAAAAACACCCAAACTTGAGAATGGTGACTATGGGGATCTTATAAGGGCACTGAAAAAGGTAAAGAAAAAGGATTATGGGTTATGTATGAAAAGCAGTATTCAACATTTGATACAAGATTCTGAATTTAATATTCGTACACTGCAAAAAAAACTTTCAACATAATTATATTGTATAATCAAGTACCTAACACTATTTTTTTTTGTCAGGTAGTGCAAAAAGACACGAATGTAATATGCGTCGCTATCGCTGGGCGAAGTATAGCAGGCATTGCCAGTGGATTAAAGAAGAAATTCCAGACTTATGCAGGATTTGTTGTGCCAGCATTACTAGAAAAATTCAAAGAGAAGAAATCCAATGTTGTTTCTGCATTAAGGGAAGCTATTGATGCTACATACCTCACTGTAAGTGGAATAGAAAATAAGAAACTCGTATATAGTAAGCGTTATTCCTGGTTTTTCGGTAATGCTGTGTGCTGTATATGACTTTTCTGATAAGCGTATTAGCAACAGAGAGTATGTTTAGTAAACCGCACCTGCCAACCTACTTCTAGGATTGACTGTTAGAGGTAAATCCGGAATGGAGATGCTGGCTCGAACTCCGCCGGCTCCCATTTTTTCTATCACTCATGTTGTTGTTTACTAAGTACTCATTGTGTTACTTCGTATGAAGATTGGCGGGGTGATTTATCATTGTAATTGCAATAAAGAGCGGAATTTTGTTCTACAAATGAATGATATAAATTTTCAGTGTGGTGTGCCTTAATGGATATTTTATTTATTTCAGACAACTTTGGATGCCATTCTGGATGATGTCTTGGAATCCTTGAATAATAAGAATCCGTCAGTTAAGTTGGAGTCATCGTTATTCTTAGCGAGAGCATTCACGAAAACTTTAGCAACTTCTGTGAATAAAAAGTTGCTGAAGGCCATAACAACTGCCTTAGTTAAGAATATCAATGAACCTGGTAAGCATCATCTCATTATAATTGTTATATTTTATGTAGGTTTTCCCTAATGACAAAGATAACATAAAAATAAAGGGTAAGGAAATTACATATGTGGATATTAAATAAATGAATTGTAGAACACACATCGCTTAATATAGTTTACAATATTAGAATTCATTCGTGGTGGTACATTTTTAAATTGTTGATTACATAGGCGACATCAGGGAGGTACTTGTGAATTTTCAGAACAGCTATCAATCTAGAAACTTGGCTAAGGTTATTTGGCTCAATATGCCTTAATTTGGATCGATCCAGATTTGGATATTTTTTGGGGAAATTTTCATATGTAGTTTCGGCTATAGCCTTTTGTCTTATTAACATGGAAAGTTGAGTAATTTTTATCATAGCATTTGTACAAGGTACAACCATTAATTAACATGTTCCACCAGAAGATACCAAAGTCAATTGGGAGCCTGTCCGCGCGAAAATAAGCATACATACACCACCAACGATTTATGCATACAACTATGTACTGGTAAGCTGTCTTCAGGCATCACTGTTGCCACGTTTCGAAGTGTTGTCTGTCGTTGAAAAATTTTTAGAACATGAAATCGTAAAAAATAAACAATTTTCTTTAAAATGAAAATTAAGTCTGTTTTGGTTACTCGTGTACTTATTGAAATATGGAAAATTATGTTGAAAAATGTTTATCCATTCAAGATCCATCTGTGAGAGAAGCATCAGCAGAAGCTATTGGTACTCTAATGAAACTGGTTGGTGAAAAAGCCATGGCGCCATATATCATCGAATTGGAGAAAGATAATCTCAAAATGGCGAAGATCAAAGAGTTTTGTGATAAAGCTGTCATAACTGTGAAAGTACCTGGCATGAAGAAGGAGAGAGCAGTTACTGCACCACCAAAAGTAGCTGCGCAAAAATCGGCGTCTTCGAGTGCGGTCCCTGGTGCAGGTGCTAAAAAAGCTGGTAAGGTTTGATTATTTAACAACTTTATTTTAGAGCAATTGTTCCCAAACTTTCTTCTCATAGACCAAAATTACATCCCTATCATATTCCAGAATCTCGCCAAATAGTGTAAAGATATAAATTTTCAGTGGTAAAAGTAAAAAGAAAAACATTTTCTTATATCCTATTGATTGGAATATCAGATTATAAACCTATTAGGGATAAAATTGATCATCAATAATGTAAAATATAACACTTCTTTTGCAATACAAAACAATGCAGAAAATGGTATAACAAATTAGAATTTTAATGGGAGGGATCCTCTATAAATACATATTTGGCTCCAGTTTTGTAGGGAAGAAGTGCAGATCGCTCTAGTTTGCAATATTCAATTTTCTCGTTTTTTTTTTTTTGTTAATAAATTTGTAACCATATTAAAACTTTGTTTGACTATTAAGGAGCAGGAAAACCCTATTAAAAATTTTTCATTCAGAGCCCGGGATATTTTTCAGGTATTTCTGCCTACAGCCAAAATGGCTAAAAGCCTTTTTAAATTTCACCATGAGCTCCTATTCAGTACTAAGCTCGAGTAGATTGTCTTGAAATACCACATTTGCCACTTCAATTTCATCAAATAGGTTTATTATCCCTAATCATATTTCCATCGTCAGAATATCATCAAATCATATCACTACTCAAAAAAGGGAGCAAGAAAATAAACAAAATTTTTCGGTGCTTTTGACAGGCTGTACTTTGGTGAAACATGGTCGTATTCTAGTTTTCATCATTCTTTCCCGTAAAATTTTACTAGCAACGGTTCTTATGCAATTGTAACATAAGTAAATGTGTTTTCAGTCAAGAGGCATAATTTCTTTTCTGTTAGGCCAATGTATGGATCAGTAGCCCGCTTATTCAACTTTAATATCCTATTTTTAAAATCTCGATGCGATCATTTTCTCCTAAAAACATTAGCCTTTTCATTAGCAGCCCCAAAAATGCGATCAGTGTTTCAAAACAAGGCAAACAGGAAGACTTTTTTAAGATAAACAAAATTCTCTTAAAGATTGCAATCAAATCTTATAGGAGATGTATTCCAGTTTTTGGAAATACACTTATATTCTCTTTACGATCACTTGTTACCATAATATTAATGGTCAATGACAAAAGATCGTTTTTCATTCAATATCAGAAATCTTCGCGTCAAATGATCGTATCGAGACTTTAAAACATTGATATTGAGTCGGTTAAACGGGCTCTGATCCAGATGCTTGCCAACAGAATAAAAAAATTCAAGCTCGTAGACTAAAAAAAGATTTTTCAAAAAATGTTTCTTGCGCTATGTTAGAATTGCATGAGAAATGTTGCTCCTGAAATTTTTCCTCCTAGACCACTTTGAGCATCACTACCTCAAACTATAGCTTCTACAATAGATATTTGAATCAGAGGCTTTATTATGACGTATTTCAGATCCGAAAAGAAAAACTGTGATAAGTTCAGGTTCTGCAACCGTGGTAAGGTCTAAAGGTACAAAGCCGATTCAAAAGTCGCCATCTCAGAGTATTGAAAAAGAACTATCAGATGAAGAGATTGACGAAATAATATCTGGATTACTTGAAGCGAGTGTTATTGAAGATCTCGCAAGTATCAACTGGAAAACAAGGTACTTTACATATTTTCAATGTGTTTCTCAATACTTTGTCATAAACGAGCTGATCTTTCAGACTAGCAGCAGCTGAGCAATTACAATCGACAATTCAAATGTGGGATTCTAAATCAGTACCAATACAAGCAGTTATAAGGTTTATTTGCCGCAAACCTGGGTTAAAGGATACACACTTTCAGGTAGGATGAATATTGTCTGTTATATTTACATTTTCACTTGATATGTATCTTGGAAATATTTGGTCTGACAGTATAGTGACAACTTCGTGCCCAAAGGGGCTCTACATAGATTCACACATTTATTATTTACCTATATAGAGTAATGTAACTGTCTTTAGAAGGTCCATGTATGCCATTTTGTATGAAATATTACAAGCAGCACCGGTGGCCGCAGTGGTAGACTCTTCAGTCTCCTGATCAGTCGCCGTGCGCTGCGCGGGTTCGAATCCCGTCCCAAGAGAAATTTTTTCTCTTGGCTATGGATGTTGTTATTGTCCGTAGGTGGTAGACTGTCGAACACGGAGGTACCACCCGGCGGATCTCGAAGGCGTGGCCAGAATGTGAGCATGTTGCATGCACACGTGTTCCCTCGCCAGAGTCCGTGTGGCGCGCTCTCCCTGCCCCTGTTTCCCCCTATAGCACCACGGTACCGAATTGGTGTTTAGGCCTTAGGTAGTTGTAGTAAAAATAAGTACTTCAATGTCCATCGTGACCCAGTGCTTTGACACGGATTCAAGATATTTCATTATGACTCTGCTGAATAGATCCCGTTAAATTTGAGCAATGACATAGGTTATGTTGAAAGGCTTCGGTGGATTGCTGCTTTTTGGAAAAAACTTGTGATTTCGAAAGTCACACAATCTTTGCAAAAGATAAACCTAGCCTTAATGCATTCATTCAAAATATCTATTAAGGTGTTTCATATGTGGCTCGTAGTTCCGTCCTTCTGGGATTACAGGTCACGACACGCTTACATCGTTTATTTCGAGCTAAAAGAAATGTGATATCAACAAGAATCAGCAAAGGTAAATTTGACGCTCACGACAAGGAAGTTTGCATACTGACCGTCACAAGCATACATGTCGGAAGAGAATATTTTCAAGGCGGGCGGTGAAATTCAACAAAAAAAAATATGTCTCAGAGCTTACACAATCGTGTGTGAGGGAGATGGATAAATAGTTGTAATTCCTGCATTTTTTTTTGTTTCAATATTTACCTAGGAAGAGAAATGTTACTCCTCAATAAGGCATTGTGACCAATAATGGTGATTTCTCGGGTTAGTAGAGCAAAAAGAATTTATTCATTAGCTTGAGGATTTTCTATTTAATAGTGGATGAAAAGTCGGCATTCAACAGAACTCAAACGCATGTTCCACTCAGACATAATAAGTCTCAGGTCACATATTTTGCTGTTGATAGGTATTGAAGCAGAAGTTGGAATCTGTCCGCCAACTAGCCGAGATGTGCCGTTTCGGACAGACAACAGTGGATGCCTGTCTGGTTGACATCGCTGAGAAGTGCGGCGACGCCAAGAACGGTGCCACGGCGATGGCGGCGCTCACCGCAGTCGCCGAGGCTGCCGGAGGACTGTTCAACGTCGCGACGCCCGTGCTGGAGTATGCGTTCCAGCAAAAGAGCCCTAAGGTGCAACAGGAACTGTTGGGGTGGATGGCCAACGCCATCACAGAGTTTGGCTTCGGGTGAGTTTGAATTTAGTCAGTATGTGAAGTATACTTCGAATTCAGGCACACTTTTTGTGTAACAATAATGAAACTCACATGAGGCAGACAATGATTTTCCTATGTATTTTTCGGCGCTGAATCCGAATCCGGGATCAGAAAAGTTCCTGGCTTCTAGAATTCACCTTCGGGCCCAAAAGATACCCTAAGAGAGGTGAAAATTGAGTTTCGGGATCCAGATATGGTATTTCGCTGTTGAATTCGAATCTTCGAATTTTGGAAGTCAGACGCTGGAGCATGGTATTTTCATGTATACTAAGTGACATATAAATCCGAACACCCAGTTTAAATGGTTTTATTTTAATAAAAGTTGGTGAATGTATTTATCTTACTGTAAATAACAAGTGAAAAACTTTTCAGTCTTATCAGTTGGACATTCCGGTTTTTATACTGCTTTTTTTTAATTCACTAACGCTCTAAAAATGAAGTATTTCAGCCGCAGTAAAGAATCAACGTTGGCGGATTTTGGTTCTTGACATCCTTTACGATCGGTTACGATGCCTAGAGTACAGAGACCTGTACGATTTCGTCAACTTAGTGAGTTTGTTAGGGGCCGTATAGTGGGACTTCGGGAAGCTGGACTTTCTTTTCGGGCAATTGCAGTTAGAGTGCAGAGAAGTGTAGACACTGTGGTTAGGTGTTGTCAGGCATGGCTTCGAGAAGGCCGTACGCAAAGAGCAAGGGGCACTGGACGCCGCCGTAGAACAACAGACCGTGAAGATCGCCGCCTAAAATTATTGGCCTCAAAGGACCGTTTCTCCACTACCAGGTCCATTGCAAATGAATGGTTTGCAGAACACGGAAGACAACGGTCACTCTGGGATCAGGAATGGAACAGTATTGTCTTTAGTGACGAGTCTCGATTTTGTTTAGGCATGCACAATGGTCGCGCCAGGGTTAGAAGGCGACGTGGTGAAAGGAGCAATCCACAGTTTTTTGTTGAAAGAAATGTTCATCACACTGTTGGAGTTATGGTTTGGGGTGCTATAGCTTATGGTTCCAGGTCACCTTTAATCTTCATCAGAGGTAACATGAACGCGCAGCGTTATATCCACGAAGTTCTAGAACCCCATCTTTTACCCTATCTTGACACCCTGGCAGATCCAACTTTCCAACAAGATAATGCCCGACCACATGTTGCAAAAGTCACAATAGACTTCTTTCAACATAATGATGTCACATTGTTACCATGGCCACTAAGATCTCCCGACTTATCCCCAATTGAGCACGAGTGGGATATGATGGGTAGGAGATTGCTCAATTTGCAACGTCCTCCTCAGACTCTAGAAGCACTTCGAGAGGAGTTGGTGGTTGCCTGGAATGAGATACCACAGGAGGACATTGACCACCTGATCAGAAGCATGCCTAGGCGCGTTGGAGAATGCGTAGCACATCAAGGTGCATCCACACATTATTAAAGGTCAAAGGGCTTTAAAGCAGTGCAATCATTTTGAAATTTTTATCATTTACTTATTATGCTTCATTAAGTACTTATACAAAATTTTCTTAAAATAAAACCATTTAAACTGGGTGTTCGGATTTATATGCCACTTAGTATATTTTTCGACACTGAACGTGTATATCTTCGTAAAAAGTCTGGCCTACATTCGCACATCTATGTTAAGCCCTGAACTTGGTGCATACATATGCTGGCACACCTACCAACATGAGTTTGTAATGTTTCATAATTTTTGATTTTGAGTCATACTATATGGGTACTCCACTTATGGGTAGCCCCACCCCAGTCTTGACAAAACCAACAGACTCTAGGGCTCAGCAGGAAGCAATGCATTAGACTATCGAAATTCGCGTCCTTTAGTCGAAAATACACAACCAGATGCCTATTGCTGTAATTGATTTGCTTCACGAGATCTACTGCAAGTAACGCCGTCTTTTTGAAACCACACCAATACTGTCCAGAGGCCTGATTCTAAATGAATTTCGACCATTGAAATTTATTTCTATAGCACCTTAGGACAATGTAGGTACTTGATTCGCTATTATAGTCTTGACAAAGCCATGATAATTTGAATATAGAAGATCGATATAGGGATATATCAAAATTATTATAGCGAGTCAAGTATATCGTCACAAGTCGCCATCGAAATTAATTTCAACGGTTAAAACTCATTTAGAATCAGGCCCCAGTTCAGGCAGAAAGAAGCCCACAGCCCAGACATACATGATTTACCTGCCATAGTCAAAAAATGCAAAATTCAAATTTTCGCTGATGACACTATGATTTATATAAGTACTAAAAATATTCAGTCTGGTATCTCTTATATAAATGAAGACTTGAAGCTTGTCTCAAAATGGATAACATCTAACAGACTAAAATTAAATGCAAGTAAAACGAAAGTCTTGTTAATCGGAAAAAAACAATGTACAAATGTTCAACTGAATATTGATGGTGAAGATATTGAATTCGTAGAAAATTTTAAATACCTGGGAGTTTTTGTTGACTCTCGATTAATTTTTGATATTCATTATGAAAAAGTTATAAATAAGATTAGTAGTAAAGTGGGATATTTATCGAGAGTTTCTGGATGTCTGAGTTCATATAGTAGAAAAATTATCTATAATACCATCATTCTTCCAAATTTCTTGTACTGTTCGACTATTCTATATTTAGCAAATAATTCCATTTTTGAAAGACTGCAAATTTTACAAAATAAGTGCATGAGAATAATACTAAATAAAGATAAATATACTCCAATTAGGCAAATGCTTAGCAAATTAAAATGTAAAAAATTTTATCAAATATCTTGTAATGATATTCATTTATAAAGTAAAAAATAATATATTTCCATCAAGTCTAACTAATTTAACATCATCAAATGTCGACCATCATTTACATAATACCAGAAATAAAGATGACTTCCATTTAATGACCAAAAAGTATAACATGTGTGTATAACATCAACCCTTGATGGAATTTAATAAATTATACTCGGAGATAAAAGACCAGAAAACTTTGACAAAATTTAAAGTAAAATTGAGAAATCACTTGTTAAATCTACAATTATAGGTGGCCCAGCATTTACATAATACACCATATGGCTTGAATTTACTAGTTCTAAGTTGTTTACAATTGTTCTGTTTATGTAGCCAAATGTGCTAAATAAATCTTTCTACTACTACTACTACTACTACTTGTGGTGACCAATCTTAGACCATGCTAATTAGTTTCCAAAAAGCTATTTTACTAGTTCAGCTACATTTATGCAAAATGGTCATGGGAAATATAAATAAAAGAAGAGGCTATTTGCTGATGCGCTATACTTTATAACTCGATAAAATGATAATCTAAATCCAAATTGAATTTTGCGTGACTTTTGGCATACATAATTTTTTTCTCACATCCCTTACTGATTGTTTTATTTCATAATGTCGACCCAATATGTATGACTTTCAGCATTCATTATGAAAAACATGAATACGTGGGAAATGTTTCTCCAATTTTTGAATTATTTTCAGTAACATGAATGTGAAACAACTAATCGAACATTCAAAGAAGGGTTTGTCTTCATCGAATCCTGGCGTTCGACAATCTGCAATCAGCTTACTGGGCACAATATATGTTTACGTGGGCCCCACCTTGATGGTATTTTTAGAAAACGAAAAGGCTGCTGTGAAAGATCTGATCAACGCAGAAATTGAAAAACATGAAGGTGAAAAACCGCCAGCTCCTATCAGAGGTTAGTATGTCATGCTAAATTTGCTACTTTTTTATGTATCACGGACAAAAGCTTGTACGAGGTAGTTTTGACAAACAACATTTTTTTTCTTTCAGCAATCATATAAAAAAGCACAGCTATTTTTTGGCGTATTTTAGACATGGTGTCTTTTCAGGAGTGAAAAAATCGGCAAGCAGCAATAGTCTTGATGCAGTGGAAGATGACGAACCTACAGAACCAGAACCTGTGAACATACAAGACCTTATACCAAGAACTGACATTAGTGGACAGATTACAGAAACCCTGCTGAACGAACTAGCAGATAAAAATTGGAAAGAAAGATGTGAGGCACTGGGAAAGATCAACACAATCATACAGGTAACTTTTTTGTAGTAGTTTTGTTTCTTGCTGAAATCTCAAACGGATATGTTTGTGGTTGACGTAGGAGTAGCCCATGTCACTAACCCGTTAATTTTTCTTCATTTTCCATAGGAAGCAAAATTCATCAAATCAAATTTGGGTGACTTACCTCAAGCATTAGCAACAAGACTATCAGATAGCAATGCTAAAATTGCTCAAACTGCAATCAATTTATGTGACACGATTGCAAAAGCTATGGGGTCACCATCCAAACAGTACATCAAAGTGTTTTTCCCAGGGCTCTTGCAAGGTATGGCAAAGTAAACATGTCTCCTAATTTTCTTGGATACTATAAGTAATAAAATAGACTGCTCGTCAAAATTAGCGCCCACTTTTTTTTAATTCCTTTTGACTTTTCTTTTCAATTTGCCGCTCGGTCCACAAAAGGCTTAAAGTGCCATTGTGCAAAGTAGTTTAGATCATTCGTTTCCTCAGGTTACACCCGTATCCGGATGTGTGGGCATGTGTATCTACTTTTGTTGTTGCATATGTGCATTCATTTCGTGCCTGATGAAGCCAACCAGCAGAAATACGTATCGCTCGGGTTACCTATCCTATTTTCTGCTTGAATCCACTTTTTGCGGATTTTGCCCATTATTTTCCTATTTTTGTTATATACCTTTCTCCGCATGATAATTTTATCTATATATATATATACGTGTCAACCAACCGTTTTTAGGGATCAGCGTTGCTATATCTCGGACTGTCGACGCAGTTTTTGGGATTTTCTTAGAAATAGTTGGAGGTTCCTTGGAAGGCTCATGACATGTTTAAGAATAAACAACTTTCTTCAAAAACAAAACTCAGTCTATTGTTATTATTTTCTACGAAATTACTGTGATTCTACTTGGCCTTATACAGTAGCGGACAAAAGTTTGGAAACAAATATTAACATTATTATGAACTATTTGATATACCTAAATTAAAATCGTGAAGGAACAGATAATATAAATATTAAAGTCTACGTTTGGTTGCCGTACTAATACAAGGTTTATCTTATCAATATTCAGATTCTCTGAAAACAAAAACTAGCATTTTTTTTTAAATACCACAGTTTTTTGTAACGACAAAAGTATGGAAATATTTCAGTTTTGCTGTATTTATTCATTCTGCAATACTCTGATATTTATTTGCGTGCGCTAAATATTAGCATCAGTGAGAACGGAAAAGTAAAAGGATTTTCCACCACATACCGATTTGATGACCCTGGCAAAACAACACATCTGCATTATTTGGCAAAGCCAATGGAACAATTGCACCACCAAACTGCGGGAGGCTATTTCAAGTGTGACGGAACACCTCAGTCTACCCAGAAGAAGACGCGACCAAGTGATTATCTCCCGTCTGCTAATTGGTCATACGCTAGTGACACATAAATACCTGATCAGCAACAGAGAAGCCCCAACATGCCAAACCTGCCAACTCCCAGACTGCAGACTTACCGTGAATCATATACTCTTAGAGTGCACTGCCACGCAAGACGTACGAAACCATGCTTGCATGCCAGAATCCATAAAGGAGGCCTCACCACGTACTACGAACGAACACTACAGTTTCTCAAAGAATCCAATACCTATAATTTAATCTAATGTCTTATGTACTGTATGTAACTATGTACCCTATCATTGTAACCTTGTCGTCCAGCCGCTAATAACCCTCCATGGTTGATGCAGCTTTTGTGTTTTCTCAATAAAATAAAAAAGGATTTTCAAAAGATTTAAGAGACAAAGTATTTGAATTATTTAGAAGTGTTGTCAGAAATGTTTCTCAAAGATTAAAAATGAACAAGACGAATTCGAAAATTATTAGTAAATACAAAGCCTCTCATTAAAAAAAATCGTATTGCTCGGCTTGAATTTGCTAAAACTCATGTAACTTGGACATATTAACAATGGAATACATTTTTATGGAGCGATGAAAGCAAATTTAAGTTTGTTTGGATCTGACGGTACGGCATATGTGATACGTCCAATACGAAAAAGATTCGACAAAAAGTATCAGTTGCCAACAGCACGGTGGAGGCAACATTATTGTTTTGGGGCTGTTTTTCTAGTTCTGGAACGGTTCAAATTGTTGAAATTGTTTTGAAAATAGATCAAAAACTTTACAAAGATATTCTTAGTGAACACATGCTCCCTTTGCTGAAAAAGAAATGCCTTTACGATGAACATTTCAGCAAGATAATGACCCCAAGCATACCGAAAAATTTGTAAAGGACTAGTTAAGACTAAAAATGTTAATGTTCTTACATGGCCTTCGCAATCCCCGGACCTAAACCCTATAGAACATCTCTGAGAGTATGTTAAAAGACAACTGACAAGAAAAATTTGAAAAAACGAACGATTTATTTGATTATGTAATAAATATTTGGCAAAATATTTCAACAGAAGTCTGTAAAACATTGGTGTCTTCTATGAGTAGCAGATGTCAGACAGTGTTGAATGCTAAAGGCTATGCTACCAAATATTATCTAAACAGTATTTTTTAAATCCTTTTGTAGAGTTATTGTATTTAATTGTGTAATAAAAAATGTTTCCATACTTTTGTCATCTCATTTTTGGTCATAAAATAATTTGAAGGTATTTTAATGCTAGTCTGTAGTACCACAGCAAACAAATTGTCATTTGTATCCTCAAGACTGTAAGTAAACTATATGCGAAAAAAATAGTTCTTAATAATAAAGAATAAAAAAATAGCACACTTTTTAAAAATTACGAAGAATGTTTCCAAACTTTTGTCCGCTACTCTATCTGGAAGTTGTATGTGAACGTCCAGATATACAGTGATTAAATAGAATTAGATATACATATTGATTTCAGCTATGGGCGACAGCAAAAGTACGACAAGATCGGCAGCGCTGGACGCTGTCAATGCTTTCGCAGAGCAATGTGGATACAGAGAGTTCTTTGAAAATGAGATGGTTAGTGATGCACTCAAAAGTGGATCTCCAGCACTCAGAGTTGAACTGTGGAATTGGCTAGCTGAACACCTACCTAAAGGTACACCATTTTTCTAATCGAAATATTGAGCTGTTATCAACAATTGCAAATCGAACGGCACCTCAACAAGTGTTTTTATTAATTTTTAGTTACTCCAAGAACTGTTCCTAAAGAAGAGATTGTTTCGCTAGTACCTTATTTGTACAATAACTTAGAAGACAGAAATGCTGAGGTGCGCAAAAACGTGCAAGAGGCCATTTTAGGTGTGATGATGCATTTAGGATATGAAAGCATGCTTAAACAGACTGAAAAATTGAAACCTGGTTCTAAGAACGTTGTTGTAGCCGCACTCGATAAGGTATTGTTAACTGTTTGTCCAGTTATGTATTACAAAAAGAGTGGATCGGTGCTAATGGACCCGCTCACAAAATTGTATTTTTTGCAGAATAATAGACTGGTAGAAAGACTATGAGTACTACAGCTTGTAACTACTCGCGAAATTGGTTTTAATCTTGCCTTGAAGATATATTGGTAGAAAGACATTTGGTATTCCTTATCCTCCAAATAACAGAAATAATTTACTTCCACCTTCATTCCGCGTTATTTCCAATTTTGACGACACCATTTCATAGGCGCCCGCAGAAATTTTCCTCAGGAGGTAGCTGATCATCGTCAATACATAACTTATGAAAGTGTACCTATCCTCAAAACTTTTGAAGGACGGAGGTAGCATTTTGTCAGGGGAGGAGGGCAAATCCTAAAAATCCTCAAAATTGTGCCCAAAATCATTTAAATATGCATAGTTAACAATGGCCTAAATGGGGGGCCGAATGTTTGCCGCTGTGCTTATTAATATTTTCTGCAAATCCACAGCTTTGCTAATGAGCACTCTACCATCAGGAATTCACAGTGGCAAGCCGATCTCTGCCAGTAAGCTGGAGAGAAGGAGACTAGCATCGAGATTGTGTACTGATCTCAGGGGATTTTCCCAGTTCTACTAACCTTAGGCAGTTCAAAAATCTAATAAATAAAGTGTCCAAGCTCATCATAGCAGCTGCGTTGCCCCAGTATTTAGGCTTCTGCCTCTGCGGCTGCTTCGGTATGAAACAAGGTTAAGCGCTTACCCGTGCGGTAGAGGTGTGACGATCAGGATCACATATGAGATTTAATGAATTACCGAGCGAATATAAAAATATAAAAAATGACGCCAAATGAGTTAACTCTGCTGTTCCTATGCAGTGCTAACATCGGTTTATAAAGGACACAAGCTAACACCACTGAGAAAGAAGTTAGTTATGTGTAAAACACAAAATTATTAAATAGACCAAGACAGGCAATCAGGCATATACAATTTGTCGATAGTACCCACCCACTTGACACGTTCCAATCTCACAATTTCTCCCCTATTCTTCCGATAGTACTTGGCATCTGGCACCGTTGTTATGGCTAACTTTGCTAGACTCCAGCCATCCATCCCTATCAGTCTAGCAGTAAAGCAGGTTTATCAGCGTTAGATGCACTGTGTGGGATGCGTGCATTTAAAATATTTCTCTATAAGGCAAATGTACAGACAAATCTGTGACTTATGACATATATGCCTAATATCCGTAGAATAACAGGCATTGAAAGCGTATAAATATACTGGCGCCAAGAAAAACCGACGGCAATGAGTGACATGGTTTTCGATAGATGCATGTCATATAACAACAAAAAATATCTCCTATTCGAAATTTTCACGATTATAATATTTCCTCACCAATGGCGTAGGAAGTAAAAGGAAAAAGGAAATGTGAGGCAGGATTGCCGTATTTGCTTGACTTGTCATGTAAACCCAATTTCACGAGTATCCATTACGTTTTGACGTCTACTGATGTGAACAGCTGATCAGCAAGTGACATCTTTGTATTATATATAGTCTGTAACGTTGGCAATAACGAATCGGCTGTAAATCTGGCAACACTTAGGACCGTATTCAGAGCCGTTGCTCACATACCTAGATGCTTTTAGTGGGTGGGAATTTTGCCAATGAAATATAGGAAGTACATATAGAAAAGTTTATTAGAAAATCATCATAGTACATCTGGAATTCATTGATTGAGTTCCAGTAGCTGTAATTTTGCATGTAAAAATAAAATAGAAACGTGTTTCTGGTTAATTGTCCGTGATCAGTGTAATGAAATTTTATTGCCATACAAAATCATATGAGTTTCAGGTTCTAAGAAGTAGAGAAGGTTAACAAAGTCAAAAACTGTTTATTTTTTTTTATTTTATTCCTACCCGACTTGAAATGTAGTCAAGATGATTAGCAGCTATTTTGCGTGTAGTGTTTTTTTGTATGTACCGGAACTTTTCTGGATAAAAAGTTGTTAGCAAATACAAAATGGATCCATACCATACAAAAAAAAACAACAAAATACGGTCCTGTCCACCTAGCGTTGATGGATCCGTCAGAATAATTGTGTGTCATTGGTCGATACGGGGAATTTTCAAATATTACTAGATAATCAGTTGTTATTCTACTGAAATGGATACTCGTGAAAAATACAATAGACAGGTTGGGATAGCATTAGATAATTACGTCAGCATACTTGAGCGATTTCCTGACGCGAAAGCATCTTGCGTGTGTTTAAAAATTATCGACGTAAAAACATACTAGACATGCTCTGACAATTCATTTAAAAAAAATGTAGTTATCGAAAATCGCAATATTTTCGAGTTATGCATTTAATTTGTTGGACGAAAAATACCACAAAGTGTTTGTTACACAGGTTAGGCCAAATTTACCAGTAACTGCCTTGCCAAAGAAGCAGACTGTTGAAAAGGAAGATAAAGCAATTAGGGGCACTAAGCCAGCTGGAAATGCGAAAAATGCAGCCAAGTCCAAGGTATGTTTAGCAGTTGTCACATTCTATATTGGGGCCTTATCCAAAAGACTGTTGATGTTTCAATTCATCCTCAAAAAATAACTACTAGTAACTTAGATCAATTTTTAGGGTGCTGCAGGTTCAAAATCTGCACCAGCAGCTGCAGGTCGAAAAAAAGAAGAAGACATCGATACATCTCCATTACTGTCAGTTAACAACCTGAAACATCAAAGAACGATAGATGAAACAAAATTGAAGGTGCTAAAATGGAACTTTACTCAACCTAGGGAAGAGTTTGTGGAACTATTGAAGGATCAGATGATGACTGCTAACGTGAACAGGACGCTTATTGCAAATATGTTCCATTCTGATTTCAGGTAAAAATTGCTGCAATGCAATAGCATTGGTACAATACATATGAACATTTTGGTCACAACACAAACATTGATAGAGTAGATACTTTAAAATATCACTGAGTATGACTCGCATTTAAAATTTGATTCATATATGTAATAGAAATCTACTTTAACATCTAGTATTATGGGATATTTTTGGGCAATATCACTTCAGTTCAAATGGTCCAATATGAAATCAATGAAATATGATGTCTTATGAAGATGTCTCATTTATTGGGACTGGTAAGATGAAGCTGGGACATTGTCAAAATTAGGAAGTACTTTTCACTGCCCAATGTTCTTATATTCTATGAAACCTCGCGTACAATATTGCCACACTACTCAATTAACTTTCGCCAAAATACTAAGGGAATATATAGAAAAAATACAAATTTTAAATTATTTTTGCAACATAATCATATTTCAGGTATCACATAAAAGCCATTGAATCATTAAATGATGATCTACCAGACAACAGTGAAGCATTGATTGCCAATTTGGATTTGATTTTGAAATGGCTGACTCTCAGATTCTTCGACACTAATCCTTCGGTTCTGCTCAAAGGATTAGAGTACTTGCAGTCTGTATTCAATATGCTTATAGACACTAGGTATAGAATGTTGGAGTATGAGGCATCCTCGTTCATCCCTTATTTGGTATTAAAGGTTCGTTTTTATTTTCTTCACAATTTTTATACAGATTCCATTCTATTCGGGAATGTTCTTACCGCGAGCAACTAGCAACTAGAACCCTACAGTAACCCGACTCGGCTCATGTATTCAAATACAATAGTTACAGTTAGACAAATTACTCAATGGTTGTTGTCACTGTCATCTCTTGCCGGTCGCCAGTTGATAAAAGATGTCATTGTGACCCCTTCAGCTAACGTTCGATGGTTAAGCGTTAACAATCTAACTAAAATACTTCTTGGTCACGTTTTTGTATTCTTCAAAGTAATTCAGGTAGAGGTATAGTTGGTCTCATGAAATACAGTATTGGACAAAAGTATGAAAAGATTTGTTTTCTGGTTGTACTCTTAATATTTGTTAATCAATAATAAATTACATACTAAAAAATAAACATCCACTACTTACTAACATTTTAGAAATAAATGAGAATACAAAATAAAACCAAGTCTCATATACAGGGTGATTTCGAAGTTGAGTCATTTATTTTAACAGTGAGTAGATCTGATCAAAAGAAATGTTTATTTCCTTTAACATTTTTCTGGTAAAATTAAAGTAACAAAGTTATAGCCCTTTAGAAGTTTGAGTACCGCCCTGTCTCAATAATAATATTATGTGCTCGTGTTTGGCAACAACGGATATAATCCGCCTTATCCGTTCATCGCATCGGAAACAAAAAAGCGAAAGAATTTGAAACGATGTTTTTACTACAATGTACAATTTTATTCAGTCGATGTGTCAGTCGGTAACGCGTGAGTGAATAGTGGTGTTTGTTGCGTGGCTCAAACGAAATAAAAAATGGCACATGTTTACGAAAATGCTGAATGTAGTACAAAGGGCTCGTGAATCAGGTGACTTAAGACCTCACAGGGGAGGGCATGCCGGTGCTCCAAGACCGCACGATCAAATACAGGTCCGCACTGAAATACTTGTCGGGAGGATACTTTATAAAACAAGGTAAAATTTTTTTTTTTTTTATTTTTACACACATATTTTGGTTTATCTTCCTTCTACAATCATTATCTGAAAATTAATGACTCAACTTCAAAGTCACCCTGGATAATAAATAAATAAAACGGATCAGCTATCGAAATTCTTTTAATACCCTTGTCAACATAGGGGGTAGTTTTTCTAGGAGGACCTGACTTTGACAGATTGCTATCGTTTCCTAGCAACCGAAACTTTTTTAGAATTCTTGAAACAACACCATCGCTAAGTCTAAATTTATTGCTTTACACTCTGTTTTTTCAACTCGACAACTTTAAGTCGCAACTCTTCCGGCAAATACTTATTCTTACCCATTTTTAATAGGGTGCTGGTTATAGCAGTGATACAACAAAACTTATCCAATTATGTTGAATATGTAACAATGCTGATATGAAAAAACTTTCCATACATTTGTCCAAGACATAAACAAAAAACCCAAATAAGGTAGGAATGTCTACTGCACAAAAGGTAAACATGTGAAAATATGTGATACCTAAGCAGGCATATAAAATGAACGGCACAATTTATTGTTTTATACGAGGCGAACTGGAAAAATGTTTGAAATAAAAATCTTTCCATATTTTTGTCCATGACTGTATGTTTTTTTAAGTAGGTTGTTAATTATGCACAGTCATGTATTTTGATTTTTTTGGTGAATAATATTATTGATCTTTTCACAGTTTTTAGTTTTCGTTTACTTTCTGAAATGCTCCAATAACTTTAACGCAGACTGTCGAAATTGTAGTTGTATCTTTAGGCAACAAAGATAAACTCAAATAGTATACTCATGACAAGTAAGTTGTAAGCATAGGTGTGAAAGCCTCATATATTGATGAGAAATTGTTTAAAGCGGTGAAACAAAATTAAAAAAATTGTTTTCCGGTAGCTTATAGAAACAAATTCTGTAGTTTTACTGCGACCCTTCAAAAACCGTGAAAAGAACTATAGATGTATTGGTTGATCTGACCAGAATTGATATTTGAGTAATGCGCGTGCATTTCACTCATTTGGTGCTTCTAAGAACCAAAGTAGTCTATATTCCGCCTTCTTATTAGTAAGTACTTAATCAGAGACTTCATGCACAACCTCAATACGAGACTCTCTGTTGCTTGGCAGTAGATTTCGGCGGAATTGCAAGGCCCTCACAACTGAAGTCAAAATGGGTTGAAGTCGAGTTACTGCGTGGTTGCTTTTGGTGAGAACAGTGCCTTCCAATTTTATACAGATTCCACGATGTTAATAAAATCATGCGGATAAAATATTGTTTTGTAATATATTTTACAAATCTACCGATATTTCTATCTTTGAGAATATATTTATGGGAATTTGGTTTCAGATTGGTGATCCTAAAGATACTGTACGAAATGGAGTAAAGGCTTTGTTAAATCAGACGAACAAACTGTATCCTGTGAACAAACTTTTTACATACATTATGGAAGGCATCAAGTCAAAAAATGCTCGACAAAGAGCCGAATGTTTGGACGTTTTGGGATCGCTAATCGAGGACTTTGGTAAGTCTATATTTACCGTATTTGGAGTTTTGTTTTTCAAAAAATGAAAAAAGATTTGCAAGATTAGCTATTGTCATTATTTTGCTATTAGACCTTCCGTACTACCATTAACTAACGTATTATCTAGGATATTCTGTAATTGGAGGCTGACCTACAATGGCAACAATGTTCCAATTTTGCTCCCCCTAGGCCGCGCTAGTATCGATGGAGGTCAAACTACCAACAGTAGGTGATGAAAAGGCAGCTGATTTTACTGCCAATATGATTAGCGTTATCTACTTCTAGCTTCACTTATTACCCCCATTTTCATCGATATAGCTATGCTGCCGAGTAGGACCACATGGCTTTCCTTGAAAGTAATAGGAAAAGACTGGAAAATGTTCATGTTTTATTCTGATCAAAAGTTTCGATGGGCACAAAGCTCAAGAGCCACATGTTCAATATTTAACAAGCATCAAGGTATATATTATGTTGACTAGGGAAATCAAGGCATTCACGTAGAGTGGGTGTATAGAGTATGCACTTGTTAGCGAGTGGTGCCAGCTTGGTATTAATCTATTTGATAGGTAAGTTATGATTGGCATTGGTATATATGACATTTTAAAGTGGGACACTGATACACTCATACAGGGTGTTAGAGAAATAATATTCGTAACTTTAAGAGGTGATTCCTTGCATTATTCTAAGCAAAAAAGTTCATTATAACTTGTGTCCGAAAATCAATCGTTTTCGAGGAAAGTGAGTCGTGAATAATTAAATTTAATCAAGCATTTGACAACGCTGCAACGCAACCGCGATACGAGCGCACGACGCCGCAATTGATTCATCGAATTGTTTACGTTTGTATGATATTTTTGTTGAAAATATGCCTTGAATTATTGGATACTTTTACGCAATTTTTTGTCGCTAATATTGTTTATTTAGTAACGCTTCATTCCAGTACATTTATTTAAAAAAAATGACAGAACTTACCGGTACCTGGCGATACACACCACCAATTCCCGCGATTATCAGTCTCTTATTTGAAACGATGCGATGCACGAAAAAAGAAAAAACCAACATCCGTAAATCACGGTACGGTATCCCCCATAGCCCCACGGTACCCCATGGGTGTTTAGGCCTTCGTGGTAGTTGGAGTATAAAAAAAAACAAAGTTACAGTTGTATTATAATCACAACAGCACGCGATGATACATGCAGTGCAGGCGGAGTACGACGTTGCCAGTTGTGTAAGGGATTTTGTTTGTCTGTTTTTCTTCGGAATATTGTATTTAATAAGCATGAAAATTATTTTGTGAGAGACAGTTAATTAATAAATAGATGTATTGATACATTTTACGCTATTAGGCATATGAATTTAAATTATTAAGGTGCAAAATTAATTTATTTCATGACTAAAAAGATATAAGTTCAGCATTTTTTTGCTCCGAAGCGGTTGATTTTCGGACCTAGGTTGTAATGAACCTTTTTGCTTAGAATAATGCAAGGAATCACCTCTCAAAGTTACGAATATTATTTCCCTTACACCCTGAATACTCACCACTTCACAACTGTCTCGTGCGTTCTCGATATAAAATGCAGGGGGCTAAACCAGATTCTCACGGTGATGAATATATGGTATCCGATATACCATAATACTGAGACTAGATAGGCACAGCATCTCAGTGTACTGGCTCCAGTGTTGGATGCAATAACAGCTCAGTTTTAATCTTGATCGCCGTTAGGTGCCTCATATCTTGAAAAGGTTCTGCATATCTTATGTTTTATACTTCTGACGAAGATGAATATTGTATTGTTCGAATTATCTCTGGCTCCTCTATTCGTAGGTCTCACTGAAAGCTGCCTCTATCTCGCCCCTTCTAATCTTGTAACTAATATACGTTTGATAGTGGAATCGCAAAATGTGCACATGAAAACTATATTCAAACTATCTATAAACTAAGTATCAGTGCTCCATGTCAAGAATTTGTAAGCACTCCTTTGAAGATGGACAGCAGTAATTAATAAATACAAATATCCGACTAATATGGTTGGTGCTAATGCTATATCCAAACCTGACGCAGACTAGCTTAGATGATGTAGATAATGCAATTACATCTAGCATTGCTGGATAGGCACTTTCCAGTTTCCATCATCCCACATTGGCGTATTTAGATTATCTCGTTGCCAGCAGTTACCAATTACGTTTGACTCTAGTATATGCCCAGGACAACTGTAGAAGGGACAACAGAGATAGCTTTCAGTTAGATTTCCGAACAACAGATCGGAGATCATCAGAGTGTTACCCTTTCTGGATTATATCGAAAATGTATGTAACGGTAATTGAGTGGTATATTAGTATAATGAGTATATCCTTAAGAGCGTCTCATTTATCTACTTCCCTATTTTGACATATAACGAGTGCCCATGATGGATCACCTGTCAAGTGGTTAACACCGAGCTAGCATTACTTGGCAGCATGTGCATACTCTAGACACATATCCTGTCATTTTAATCATTTCCTCCAAAAATAAGGTATAATAAAGCTTGAAGATGAACCACTACAGCTTTGTCCCCATTGACACTTCTGATCTGCATGAAATGGAAGATTTTCTGTTTTGGAGAAAGTCCCATTGCAAGGTATGATTACCACTCAACCCCCTTGTGATTATTTCTAAGATCTCTAATTTTGAGAGCTGCTCAACTACGAAAAGGAAGCACAACCTGCGAGAACAGTTCGAGAGGTGGCAACTTGGATACCAGGAATGGTCTAAAGACGCCGGTCAGCACATATATAGTCTATTTTGAAACGCCCTGTACATTGATGCGTGTCATCTTTGTATTTATTTTCTTGTTCTTCTTCTGTTGGCATTGGAATTTCACTTATCTCTTGTACATCCATAACTTTTTGCAGTTTTTTGTTTTACTTTTTATGGACATGATTTTGTTTTGCACTGAATTGTGCTAGTACTTTGGAGTAACCTAATATCATTCCGTTTTTGGAAATCCATTACGAAATGAATTTCGTGATTTTGAACATACATTCTACACTGTGTTCAGTGTAATTTGTAGATAGTGCCTATAAATGTTGCTCAATGTTTCGTTAATCCAGTCAAGTTTTTTTTTGTTTTGGGGTTGCCTCCATGGAAATGACAGTATTTTTTATATTCACGGTAAGGAGACAAACGGTAATGGCATTAATTGATACTATGCTTCTATCATCATTAGATGTGGGGTAATAATTCAAAGACAAAAAGCAAAACTTAGTATATAACCCACTGACGATTAAAAAATGGGGGGCTCGTTATGATGGGGATAATAGTCTAGGCAGTGCCTTCGTATCTGCTAGAAAAAATATTGATTTAGTTTTTGCACATTCTAATTCGAAAAGGACCCCCTTTTGACAAATATGCATGTTGCCGGACCCAAAATAAATTATAAAAATATTTTTAGATACTATGGAAAAATTCAGAATCAGGATATTTTTCCAAGCAGATGCGAAGATACCGATGGGACTATAAAGATGAAGCTTATTGGTTTTAAATTTACACTTTCGGGTTTAGGCTTCACAAATATATCCGTAGGTCAGAGGTATACTGTTTCAAGTCCAAGATTCAAGGTTTCAAGTAATAAGCATAACATAAATATAGAAATTCCAACACAGTTAAATGGATGCATTGCAATTTCAAAATTAAAAATATGAACAGTCTTACGATTTTACAATACGAAACTAAAATAGTGTAATGTAGTGGTAATATCAACTCTCAACTCTCAAACTGGACTTGCGACATCTACTGATATATGTATATTTGAACACCTCTAAGGCATTGCAGTCAGTAACTCTCTTTTTCTTTTCAGGAATAAGTGTTTGTATGCCAACTCCAGGAGCTTGCATGAAAGAGGTTGCTAAGCAGATATCGGATAGAGACAACTCCGTCAGGAATGCAGCTTTAAACTGTGTTGTTCAAGCATATTATATCGTAGGCGAGAAAGTATACAAACTTGTAGGAAACGTAAGTTACTTGAAATTCCCTTTTCATATTATAATTTTGCACTTGTGTATGATTTCAGATATCTGATAAGGATATGTCTTTGCTAGAAGAAAGGATCAAAAGAGCCAGTAAAAAACAGCATCAACCAAAAGCTGCCGAGATGTCAACGGTTGTGCCCATTTCCCCTCAAAAAGAAGTATCTCACAACCGTACTATCGTCGTGGAGGACCAGGATAACACCTTAGAGGCGGATGAGGAGGAGGCTGTTGAAGAGGAACATCTACCTCCGATGCCGTAAGTCATTTTTTATTGGGTATTTTAATATTTAGGACCTCTCGTAATAGGTTATATTTGAATACTGTCGTGTTGGGTGGACTTGAAAAATTCGGACAGAAATATCTCACACATAAAGTCCTCACCTCAGATGCCGTAAGTCATTTTTTGTTTGGTGTTTTAATTTTTAGGACCTCTCGTAATAGGTTATATTTGAATCTTGTCGTGTTGGGTGGAATTGGAAGATTCGGACAGAAATATCTCAAACAGAAAGTCATTACAGGTTAGATCTAAAATTAATGATTAGCTGCTTATTCGTAAGATTCTCTCAGGTCAAATATATTGTCCAGAATTATCAATCACTCGTTAAATTAATGTATCTGTGACGTATTCACGAGTTATGAACACTTTTGCACCTGAACAACATAGAACTTTTTATGGTCAGCACTCTGTCATAAATTGAGACATGTCATCAGCTATATATGTTGCTGTTCAAACTTTCTTTTAATTTTAAATGAATGAGTAGTACCAAAATCAACACTGTAGGTGATTCAAAAATTTTTAATTGTCTGAAAATTTTTGCTTTCTGAATGCAACAAAAAAACAGCAATTTAATAATATTCTGCTATAAACTTAAAATCGTTCTAATAAATAAACCATACCATAAACCTTGTGTGAGTTTTATAGTATTTTTCACTAGTCTCCATTACGTTCGACGTCACTGAAGTGAAGAGCTGTTTAACAAGAGTCATCTATTGGCAATAATGAATCTGATAAAACTCAGGAGAATATTCAGAACTGCTGATACCATTGTCAAAAACTCTGCTTCTATTCCTGCTTGACTTGAAATATAGTCATGATCAACATTTCTGAATAAAAGTGTTGTTAGGAAGTAGGAATAGCATACCAAAGACCACAGCAAAATACTACTCTATCTACAGATCTAGCGTTGACAGATGTCAGAATTGTGTGTCACTTGTCGATATAGATAATACTCAGCTGTTATTTGCTGTCACGCTTGATGTAAAGGATACTCGTGAAAAAGACCATACAATGCATTTACTTTAGATTCACATATGTAATTTTGTTATATCTTAATCTTAAGTTAGTTTATAAACAATAAAGCATATACGATATTATCCAGTGGATGTGTTTATAGCTTAAACCTTTTTCCAGGGCCATTCAAACACGCATTCAAGATACATCTCGTGAAGAGTTCCAAGGCCCCTACAAATTGGATCCGGACTATTTGCACCAACTTGACAACATGGTGACACCCATTCCGCCGATACCTCAAATGAAACTGGTGGACCTGTCATTCCTAAACGATGAAATCAAAATGCCCACATTAGATGAAGCCAGGCAACAGTAAGCATTGTGTTTCATAAGAGTGTTTTTTTATTATTCTTATCGAATTTATAGAGTAGTTTTTTTTTTACAATTTAAATGTAAGGGTTCTCGTACCTCTCACATTTTTGAGACCTCCTAAAGGTGAAAATAAAGATTTTTGAATTTATTGAACATCCTCAATATACTCGTTTGCTTTCCAACTAGCGAATTTTGTGTAAACCGTGGTGCAAATATGAAAAATCATGTTCCCCTCACGCTTTATTCGTGACTTTCAACTAGTTCGTTATTTATTCCTTCACTGTTCATTATCATGTTGGTAGAATACTGTTTTTTTTTAACTATGTTTGTCTCCGGTTTCAGGGTTAAAGAAAAGGCTAAAATATTGATGGAACAACGAAAGGTTTCCTCGCAACAAACAAGATTGAGTGATGCGATGGCTGAATTGGAATTGAATATAAGCAAAGGAAACAGCCCCAGGAAGACCAAGTCTGACCCTGTTATCGAACAGTTACTACGACAAGCGGTATCTGATAACCCCACCACAGCATACATGGTAAGAATATTTACATACTTATCCAGTGCGCATAATTTTGTGATCGAGTTTTCTTGTCTCCAGTTCCCATATGCGGTGAATGTGAACTCCTTAACATTACTGTTTCGAACGACTTGCGAATTGCATATATTATTTTAGGTCCACTCATTTCCCAAAGAATAGAGTATTTATTCTCTGCTTGCATTTTTAATAGTTGAAGTATTTGTTTAGATCAGTTTTCAAGGTTATGTAATTTAGCCTGATGTTTTTCGTTCCTTTGTTGGCAAAAAACGTATTTGAATTGAGTACTATGGAAGAGAGTTTATTTAAACCCTCAGTATTTCTTTCCGATGGAATCGGCCAATATAATTTTATTTATATTTCGCGTAATTTCATGTTCTTATGTCTTTTATTCCGCATAAAGATAGAAAATAGCCACATTTTTATGCCAAACTGTCAATGTCAGAGAATGATGGTTGCTTTCCTCACATCTCACGATGGCCTAACCAGTAGAGTCACATTCTAAGGTTAGTGGTGAAAAAACTTATACTCGCGCTAAAACTCATTTCGTCGCAGCGTTGGCGCGATTTTGTACATTTAAACTTCAGAAAGCAGGTTTTGCAAATTATTCATAGAAAAAAGTGGTAGTATACTTTTTAGTTGCAAAATTTTATTTCGTCGAAAAAAAATTTTTGGAAAATACCCTATTATGGTAATTGATATTTTGCTTTCATATTTATACATTTTGAGAAGTTGACTTTGAAGTTGAGTCATTAATTTTCAGATAATGATTGTAGAAGGAAGATAAACCAAAATATGTGTGTAAAAATAAAAAAAAAAATTACCTTGTTTTATAAAGTATCCTCCCGACAAGTATTTCAGTGCGGACCTGTATTTGATCGTGAGGTCTTGGAGCACCGGCATGCAGTCCTCTGTGAGGTCTTAAGTCACCTGATTCACGAGCCCGTTGTACTACATTAACAAAGGCACGAGGGGTTGGTTGCACTCGATTGGGAAACCGATCCGCATAAATATGTGCCATTTTTTATTTCGTTTGAGCCACGCAGCAAACACCACTATTCACTCACGCGTTACCGACTGACACAGACTGAATAAAAACATCGTGATCAGCGTTTCAAATTCTTTCGCTTTTTTGTTTCCGATGCGATGAACCGATAAGGCGGAGTATATCCGTTGTCGCCAAACACGAGCACATAATATTATTATTGAGACAGGGCGGTACTCAAACTTCTAAAGGGCTATAACTTTGTTACTTTAATTTTACCACAAAAATGTTAAAGGAAAAAAACATTTCTTTTGATCAGATCTACTCACTGATAAAATAAATGACTCAACTTCGAAGTCACCCTGTATATACATATAATACTCTTATTTTATTTGCAGGCTATGACGCAGTTACAGGAAGTACTTAGTCAGCCTAAAGGCCTCATGTTGGCTGAATATGAAGATGAATTTTTCAAAGCATTGATTAAACAATTCAAGAATCTGCAACATGCAAATCCAACTGTTGATTCGTCCGTTTGCAAAATGTATAGAAGTCTGCTCACTGTAATTGATAGCGTAAGTATGGATGAAAAGTAGTCCATTTTCAACTGTTTTTGCTTTTTTATATTTACATTAGTTGTCTGTTTGGTTCAAATATATGTAGAAGGAAGCATAATCTTAATATGTTTCTGATCAGTTGAAGCTTACAATCTGATCGTAATATTTGTTTTCCAGACTCATATATGTATATGATTCATAGTTATTGTCGAAAATAACCAGTTAAATGGAAGACTCGTCTTTGGGGAAATCGATAAATTATGCAAAGTGTACTCTTTTGACTTACAACTCAAGCTTTCGACGTTTACGCTCTCATCATCAGGAGTGAGTCCGCGAGATTGGTGCGAAAATTTGATTTTATAAAGTGTAGATGAGAACACATGGTAGGATGATCAAAAACTGGATTCATGAGGAATTTTTTTTGAAAAACGAAGCAAAACATAGCTATGTTTAACTAATAAACCGCAAACTGTTTTGGAAAAGCGTTATTGATTAAATAATTTATAAAGCTTTTCTGTGGCACATATTGAAATAACCTAAAACATTCTAACATGGTCAAAAGGTTAGAAGATATGTCTAAATCATCATTACATGTCGAAAGCTTGAGTTTAAGTCAAAAGACTACACTTTGCATAATTTGTCGATTTCCCCAAAGACGAGTCTTCATATTTAGCTTAATTTCAAATATATGATATATTCTTTTAGCGCAAGTTTTGTAACAGCAAATTATTTTATTTCAGTTCTACTTCAAAAAAGTGTTGGGCAAAAAACTTTCTGTACAAACAATAAAATCGTTAATGGACACATTAATAACGTTAATAGTCGAAGAAAAGTTAAACAGTCTACCTGGAGCTGAGGATTATATAAAGGTTGTGAATCTCCACTGTGTCAGGGTTATTGAAAGATCTGATCATACCAGTGTCATGTGGTAAGTTATTCGTTGTTACTGTGTATTCCATTATGTTTTAATTTTGATTTTGAATAGTATTTTCTTAAAAAAATTAAGGTCCAAACACCATAACATATCAATGTTAACAAGGAACTGTCCCAGAACTGTTCTGATTCTGACAGTAGCTAATGTCAAGTGGCTTTGACCTCAATAGAACCAACGGCACGGAAACAACGGTTCTGGGACAGATCTTCTTAGGACCCGAATACGGCTTTTACCTGTCTTAACACGTTGACTGTCAACTACGAGATAACTCGTAGATTGCATTCTTTTCTACCAGTTATATCGTCTTCTGTGTACTTGCCATTTTTGTGCCGCTATAATTAAAACCCTTAGTGCTAATATTGATAAATGGCTTCTGCGAAAATAACAAAAAATCAATGCAATGCAATGAACAGAAAATTTATTAAAAAACCAACAAGAAATAATTATAAAAATGGTTAATTATACAATGTGATTAAATCAAATTATCATTTTCGGCCAGATTTCTGAAAATTGCCGTGGCAGTCAACGTGTTAACAAAGCCTATGGCTCAAATCCAATATCTGTTAATTGAGAAAGACGTAAAACCATAGTTGTTTAATATCACTCTGCCCAAAATGTTTAAATGTTTTTAATTCCAGTTTTAAGAGTTTTTTTTGTGTAATTTCGATCAGTTTCTCAAATCTCAACCAAAAACACCCCTAGACAATGATAAAATATATGTTTGTTAACATTGAGATAGCTGCGTTACCATAGCGCCGAAAGACGTCTTGAAGTTGTTAACAGGTAGTTTTAAGCTGAAGTGCAGTCATATTATAGAAAAAAACTTCTTTATTCTGTATCGGCGACAGGCTGTTGATAGGCAATCCTGGTGTGAAGTGTTACTTGCATTTGGTCACAATTTATATACCCTATTCGTAGTCCACTTACGCCCCGGCACAACAAAGATGCAGCGTGGAAAAGCGCCAGCCTCCTAAGCGTTGCATTATCAATCGGCCATAAAACTACGAACAAGTTCAGGATTCGACAGGATAGAACTCAGGCTCGGGGTATTGCCGGAATGCCGACGCCGGCAATTGCTGGGAAGAAGGGACATTTGAATATTTAGGCAAAAGAAATTTTCCTTAACGTTTATAAGAGCGAAATTTTAGAGCATCCTAAAATGAAAATTCATGATATTGAAAGACGTGTGGTGAACAAAACAGGCTTATGTCCGAAGTCAATTTTCAACATTGTTAAAGAATATAAAAAAAAAACAAAAAATTGTGTCCACAACACAAGAGGCTGCATTACACGAAGCTGTTGGACACAATTGATAACTTTGATCGGAATGCCATCAGACGCAAAGTCCATCAATTTTTGAAAGGCAGGAACTTCCCACCATAGACATAAAAAGTATTACAGCAGATTAATAGTGATGAACACTTACCTACTTTCAAAAGGACCACATTCTATAGTTTACTCAAAGAACTTCATTTTGGGTCTAGAAAACGGGACAGAAATAGTATTTCTATGAACAGCCAAGAGATTAGTTTATGGAGAAGAAATTACTTAAAATCAATAAAGAAATACCGCGACCAGGGCAGAAAGATTTACTACTTGGATGAAACCTGGATAAATGCAGGACAGCAGGACATACAAAACCTAAGGTATGGGCTGCCTCTACAATTAAATCAGCAAGACAAGCTTCTTAGATGGACTAACCACTGGCCTAAAGAATCCGTCAATTGTGTTGTAAAAATTGTGTCGAGTAGACTACCATGAAGAAATGGACGGGAGTTTATGGGGGTATTATGTATCTTGAAAAGTGGCATGTGTGTGTTATTATAAATGAATTGTCACTGTCTTCTCTACTAACAGCACATTTGGTAGTTCTAAAAGGAGAGCAATTTGCTTATTCCAGAGAAGATTTTTAACTGCTGATGATAATATCTGGAGTAATGGAGGCTACTAGTGAGCAGTGGTAAATTGGAAACAGTGATCAAAGCGACTTTTTGGAAGTTTTACGGATATTTAATTTTGAAACATATTAGTGACATAAATTGTCAGGTTTTCTGGGTCAACTTCTTTCTTGAAAAAATATCGAGTTGAACCATGTGGAGACTGATGAAGATGGGACTGAAGCTGGTGGAAAAGCAAATGAGGTGAATGTATCATATGAAGAAAAAGGATCTTGTGTAACAGACATTTCAAAGATAAAAGACTATACTATTTCAATACAAGAAAAACTGATAAAAGAACTATATGAAAAAATAGATAAACTAAATAAACAAATTGAGAATTCACAAGATACATCTGCAAATAACAGTAAATCTTATACAAACATGGTCAAAAGTTCTACACATTTAAACACCAACATTACTTCGCCATTTAAAAAAAACTGTAAAATATACTAAAAATATAAACACAACAACACAACCGGAAAATACAATTGTTATTAAACCTAATAATACAAATCAAAGTTGTACCCAAACAAAGAAGAAATTGAGCAAGTATATATATCCAGCAAAAATGAATTTGTCTATCAAAAAAGTTAATGATCTGAAAGATGGAGCACTGAAAATTGAATGCAAGGTATCGATGATATCAAAAAGTTAAAATTGGAAATAGAAAAAAGTGTTGGACAGAATTATAAAGTAAATGTAGACTACAAAAAATTACCAATGATTAAAGTCGTGGGTTTCAGTGAAGAATTGGTTAGAGACTTAAAAATGAGAAACAACGTTATAAATAGTGATGCTTCGATTAAAGTAGTGGCAATCAAAATATGAAATTTCGGTATATGGCAATTGTGGAATTGGATAGATCGACATTTGAAGCAGTAATGAAAGCAGGAGTTTTGTTTGTATCCATGGATGTTTGTACAATTTCTGAGTATTGCGATCTTCTGAGGTGTTTTAACTGTGGCGTATTTCACCACACAGCAAAGAATTGCACCAAGACCAGTATTTGTTTAAAATGTGGTAATAGTGAGCATCAGGCCCAGAACTGTATGATATCATAAGATGAAATAACGTCCAAATTGCAGAGAATCAAATTTGAAGTACAACACAAATTTCGATATAAATCACTCATCCTTCCACTATACCGGCAACATCGTCCAAAGCGAATATAAAAAATCTATATAAAGTTTCTTATGGTGACAAATAGCAATTACACGTTAAAAAATATTCTAACAACGTATACCATATAAATATTCAAGGATTTTTATCGCAAATGGATGTAGTTATAAATTTTTGAATATTGGTCAAACCATTAGTCCTTTGCTTGACTTCAACACATTACAGAAGATATTGAAGATATGGAGATTGATATTCATCAGTATGATGTTGTAAGAGTAAACACAGTTTCGAAACATACAGGTGGCATACTAATATACAAACTGACTATGATTGAAGTAAAAACACATAATACTGTAATTGTAGATTATCAATGGTGGTATATTAATTTTGAAATCAAGATGAAACAAAATTGCAATGTATATGTTTACTACAGATCTCCAAGCTGTAATATTAGCCGATTTTTTGACTTTTTTGAGAGTGTTTGTGAAAAACAGTATTATCGAAATTGCTCCACTGTGCACTTGGGAGACTTCAATATAAATTTTGATAATCAAGATTTTTATGTAAAAAAATTAAACAGGTACTGAACTATCATGGTCTATGACAAAAAGTTAATGACTGCACAAGGATTACAAACTTTTCACGAACTAAGATCAATTTAATAACCAATGAACAGAATTTGAGTATTAAGCTTTTACATACTCCAAAAATAAGCGACCATCCGTGGATATGTTTAATGAGACAGAATCAAGAGAAATCACAATTACTGACTTTGAAACGTTACGAGACTCACTCTTACAAGCCAATATCACTGAAATTTTTAATGATGCTGACACTTCTTAAAAATTATGGATTGTATGGAGAAGTGCATGAGAGACGCACAAATTAGGAAAGTGGTATATCAAAGGAAAAGCCAACACTCTGGTTTTCACTAATATTTCTAGACTCTAAATTCACGCGTGATAATGACTATAAAAAGTTTATGAGCACTCAAACTGAGGAAGATTGGATACAATATAAGAAATCAAGACACAAGTGTTTAACAAATCTTACTAACGAAAAGAAAGAATATTATGAAAACAAAATCGATAGCAATAAAAATAACAGTAAAATGATGCGGAAGACACTAAAAAATATTGTATCTCCCAGTAGGAAGAATGAATTATCAAGAATGTGCTTCGAAGATGGTATAGTAACAAAAAATATTGATTGCAGAACGAATGAACGCTTATTTTATAGAAAGTATAAATGAGATAGTGGAATCAATCGAAGATGGGGATCCAAATCTGTCACATGCAATTTACTAATAATTCTTTTATGAGACAATTCCAAACAATAAATATCAGCGATCTTTCAAAAGCTATTACAAGATTGAAATCGAATAGAAATCCTAGTGAACATCTTTCAAAAATGGTTAAGAAGGAATGTTTCAACATTATTGGAGAGAAGTTATTATGGTTAGTGAATCACTGTTTAGTTTATGGCGAATTTTCTTCAAAATTACAATGTTCTCTGTTACTCCTGTTCCAAAAGTGCAAAATTCTGAGTTATATACAAACATGCGGCTAATTAATGTACTGCCAGATGTCGAGAAGCTCTTAGAAGGAATCATATATGAACAAGTCATTGAATATATTGAAGAAAATAAGATGCTGACAAAATTTCAAGCAGGATTCAGGAAAAAGTATTCTACTGAAAGATCAATTCAAATGGTAGTAGAAGAATGGAGGCGAAATATGGATGAAAAAAGTTTACAGTAACATTGTTCTTAGATTTCAAGAGAGCATTTGAGACTATTGACAGGGAGAAATTGTTAACGAAATTGCATTGCTATGGATTTCAAAGTTCAGTATTCAACTTACTACAAAATTATTTAATCAGTAGAAGTCAAAGAACTAAAATTGGCAATGCATTATCAAACATTAAACACATTTCTGTAGGTGTGCCACAGGGTAGCAAATTAGGTAGATTACTGATTTGCTGATGATACATTAACATATCGAATATAGACATTGAAACTTCAATAGAGCTGTTAAATAATGATATGAAAAGCATAAATTACTTAAATGTAAATAAACTTAATCTAAACACAAACAAAACAAAATATATGCTAATAGGAAAATATTTAGATCAAAATACGATAAATCTTCAATTAATCATGTCAATCGAATCATTTAAATATTTGGTCATATAAGTAGACAGTAAATTAAAATTTGAAGGGCACTATGAATATATTATTTCAAAAATATCCAAGAAAATAAATTACTTTTATAGAATTTTGCATAGCCTAAGCGTTTATTCTAAAAAAATTGTGTACAACACTATCATTCTTCCTCATTTGTTATATTGTTCAACTATTTTGTTCACTGCAAATGAAACTGTATTTTCAAAATTACAAAGATTACAAAATAAAGCTACGAGAATCATCTTAAATAAAAATAAATATCCTAGAATAAATTTTATGCTGAAAGAACTACAATGGTTAAATATCAAAAATTTCATAGTCTACTTGGTTTTCATTTTCATATTCAAGTTAAAAATTATCTTCTACCAAATCACTTAGAACATTTTATTGTATTAAACGAGTGCCACAATTATTCTACAAAAGGAAGTATAGACTTTCATTTACAAAACTGCAGTAGCAATATAACGAGCAAGTCAGTATTTTAGAAGGGATTGTACGAATTTAATAAATTAAGTAATGATATCAAGACGTCTGTCAGTTTGAAAATGTTCAAAGGGAAATTGAAAAAATATCTCATGGAAAACCAGAATTCATAGTAGTGAAATTTTGTATAAAAATATGTAGTCTTGAAGACATAATATATTTTGTAATATACTGTGTAATACGGATATTATGGACATTGTAGCATTAGTGCTAAATAAATCTGAAACAAACAATCATCCAGATACGATCTTGCTATTCAACTAATTTTCTTTCTATCACATCTTCTCAGAGATATACTCTACTTACTATCTACGCATTCGGCAACCAACAAAGTATGCTGACGAACTGACTTGCAGCATGCAGAATAACTATTTTCATTCTAGCGGCAAGTTGACATTTTGTGGATTTTTTACCATTATTTATAGGTATTTTATGTAATACGCTGTAGATTTCGTTGCTCACGTGCGGTTGTTCAAACAGTGCGTGGGGAGAAATTTCAGCCCCAATTGTCGCGCTGGTAACACATTAACATCTTTCTCTATTGACAAACATTGATACAGACTTTGAACCATGGTTTTGTCGCAGCAGATAAAGCGTTATAGAATTTGGGTGAAATAATTTTGAAGTTAACTACACCTCATATAAAAGATGTCATTTTTAGTGCTTTGATTCAACTGATCACCGACTACATAGCTCAAGATAGATCACCAAGGCATGTAGATTTAGTGACAAAATGCCTATGGCGTGTGATTAAACTAATGCCAGGCTGGGAGGACTCAGTTGACTATGATTATGTGCTACTCGAGGTGCATAACTTCCTGAAGAAGTTCCCTTCATCGTGGTGGAAGAGCAAGCAGGTGGATACTCCTTTGAGAACCATCAAGACCATATTGCATTCTAGCACCAAGATCAAGGGCGGCACCATTATGCTACATCTGGGGAAGATACCTAACACAAGTGAATCAGAAGTAGAGTCCTATATCCTAAGGTTGCTAAAGGTATGAAAGTTTCGAAAGTTTCTGGTACCTTTAGTTTGTGGCCATACAACTTGAGTGTATAATACCCGATTGCACCCCTTTCTCAAATCTACCATTTAGCAAAGGTGATTTGAATGTTAAGATGAACCTCAAGTTGAGTTTTTGTTGCACCACTCCAATCTGGTGAAAAATTACATCTGACAACAGTGCATCTGTAGTTAGAGAAATTGCGTCTACAACTACAAATTAATTTGTTTGAATTGGATGTCTGTTTATGTATGTTGCTAACGAGTAGCTGCAAAATATTATTGTTAGGCGATTTTTTTACAACTTAAGGAAGAACTTTCCTTATCCGCAGTTTTTAATAAGCCAAGAACTTAACAAACAAGGGCCACTTGGTCAAATCATAAAAATATCAAACTGATGAGTGATGTTAGCTCAAAATGGAAAAGTGAATCTTTGGGCAATTTCTGCCATATCTGTATTTCGAGTTTTTTTAAGGCAATTTATTGAATCCCCAATTTTAAACCACTCGGGTCAACTTGATATTTTTATGTTAGCAGATAAGTTCCTCTACTTAGCCCAACTGTTCAAGTTCCACTCAAATTTTATGTGTATCTGGTGCATACAAAAATATGGAAATTTCGGCTCAGCTTAGCATAAAGATGGCCTTAGGAAGATTGTGCAACTGGATATTAAGATTGAGTCCAATACACAAGTTTACTTTGGCACTCAGCCGTTTATATACCAAATTTTTCCAATTTTAACATTTACCTTAGATTTTGTTTGAGTAATATGCCACAAGTATGGTCTCAGTGGGAACAACCATCTTTACAATTCGGGATAGGGATGCATTATTACTTTTTTAATATTAGCATTAAGTACAACAGTTGTGATTATTTTTGTTTAGAGCCTGAACATAACAGATGTAGCCCAACCTGCTCCAAAAGTAGATCCACCCCGAAAAGTTCTATCAAGAGCCAATCAAAACATGTTGACCGAGATATTTCAAAAAATCGGCAGTACGCATGAGACCAAGGAAGGTTTGACTTTGCTGTACGATTTCATGCATCACCATCCAGAGGCTGAAGTGGAGGCGTATTTGAAAAAATCGACAAAGTTCTTCCAAGACTACGTCAAAAAAGGCCTATCGGAAATCGAGGAGTCAAGGAGGAAGCCAATGGAAATCAGTAAGTTTTGTATCCTATGTCGTATTATCCCGCTTTGGTTCCTAAAAATTACGCTGAATATCTCCAAACCTCGCGAGGCTCGGAACACGCAGCGAGGAGCTACTTCCTTATCAACCTTGGCAGTTCTCTCTTTCTAATTTTTTTGTATTCGCCACTGATGATCTTGAATGTTTCAATCGGGTCCCCTCGCAATCTCAACGAGTGCTGTCAAATTCATAGCCCTTAGACGTTGTTCATATGGCAAATGTATCTCTAGTGGAATTTTTTGGTATTGTGAGTTTCCCATTGAAATTTTTTAAAAACGAGATATTAAGTTTTTTGGATGTGATATATGACCTGTACATCACGAAAAACCATGTTACTCATTTCCGTCAATCTGTAATCTTGAGAAGTACCGTTCGGAATTCTGATGAAATTTTTACACAATGTTACCACTATGGCAAGAATGCAAAAGCTTTGTAGTTCTTGAAAATCGGTCCAGTGGCAGCAGAGAAAAGAGCCAGAAACGAAAAATAAAACACCTCCAAACCTTGTTTTTTGACGTTTCAGACGACCCGTATCATTTTTGAAAAAATTTGCAGGTAAAAAAACTTGGGAATAGTGGTGGTACGGAGGGTTTAATTCAAATATTTGATGTTAGTACATTTATTTGCTTCCAACCTTGGTATTCTATACGCTCCTATCAGACATATTTCTCATATTATAGACTTCTCCGTACATTAGCCCTTTTTTTTCGGCACTACATAAGGGGCCAGGCTTTAGGCATAATCCCTTTGCGAGAGCTTCAGTCATAGCATAAACTAGTGTATTGCATGAAGTGGATTCATATTTTTTTGGAAATATTGATGGAATATTGTCACAAAGAGCTCTTGTGATTTTATTTAGCGGCCAGACAATCATAAAGTTCTATTGTAAGGATTTCTTTTTCAGCAGAGGTTGACGTTCATGTAGAAGGAAACGGAGATGCTGTTCACGCCTCTGATAATAAAAAAGACGCTGCATATTGGGAACAAAAGTTATCACAGCTGAATAGGATGTGTGATGAATATATTCCTGGGCAAGATTTTTGTATGCCAGAGTAACTTTAAAAGCCATATATTGTTGAACGATTTGGCCATATACGTGATGTCTGTGAACTCCTTTAGTCATTTCAGATTGTTCATTCAAATTTTATATGTGCACCCTCATTGATCTGAAGGGAACGCGACCTCCCACGCCTCAGTGGGCGTGCACGTTAATACTCTCTTAAACGACTGGATTCGTTATTTAATGACAATATCAATATTCAGATATATTTATTTGTTAAGTTCGGTCCAACATTGATTCGAGACCGCGCCCGAAGGGATGTACGTATCCAACATAACGTATATTTAGATCCCCCTTTTAACAAAATGGCTAAAGGAGATTTATCTGTAGGTACTGTGTGATTGGACGATACTTTTGCTATATTGTTTGTGCTGATATTTGCGAATGATAGTGCATGTGTTTTATGATTTTACTTCAACATAATCTATTTATGTACATAGGTCTCCGCACGTACAGGCGTAAATGACAAAAAAAAATCGAAAATAGAGTTACCCCATAATTTCACATATTTTTTGTAGTCTCTCACCTCATGAAGTGAAGTAACTGTATATCAGTTCGCTGCTTGGAAATAAAATTCTTAAAAATTGCTTAAGTGTTAGAATTCTGGAAACAATTTTCACGTATCGGTTAAAATAGATTTACGCCTCTGCTAAAACTCATTTTACTTTTACAGAATTAAACCATCCCAAAACAAAGTTCTACATAATTCTAGTCTAACAAAAAAACGGCAACGTGCAGACTAAAAAATCAGTACGTCATATTCAATCTTATTTATTGCTGATTTTCATTTTCCAGCTCTCCTCTAAAATTTGTAAAATGTTAGTTACGCCGGCGCCGGTACGTGCGGAGACCGACGATATAAGCCAGTATACTAGACAAATATGTCCATTTAAAAATCCCTGTTGTGATGATCCTCCTTTGTATTTGAGACATTTCCCAAATTTAGAGTTGTTAAATATACTTGTAGTTTATATAGAAGACATAGTTTGATAATATTAAGCTTTTACATCTATTATCCAACCATTAATTTTACTTGTATTTCTGAACTGATTTATTTTTAGTGTAGTACACGTTTTTTACGAGTTTATTTAATAAATTATTACTACTTCCAAAATAATGAGTTATCTTTTTGTCGCATCCCGTAAGGCCTCTTGTACACACACGTTTTTTCTGCCGGAAAATTCACGGTCACTTCGCCATGTGTAGGCACGGTTGTCAGTGTTGTACATATCACTGTGGGCGCTTGTTGACATACTTGCCGGCGCTACGTCACGGCACCGCCTCCGTATTCGCCGTATCTGCCCCTTGGCGCGTTGGGTCTGCGCACGGCGTGATTTTCATCAGTGCTGATCGCAGACTATGCGAGCATGTTGACGGTGCAGAACGTTTTCACGTTTTTGTCACAGATTACATACGCTGACTTTGTTTTACGGGTAAAATGGGCATAAATCAAGAATTACTAATCACATTAGTTCAAGAAAGACCTGATATGGGATAAGACTATTGAAGATTATAAAAACAAGCGGCTCAAGTATGTTTCCTGGAAAGAAATATGTATGCATTTAAATCCCTTATTTGAAGATTTAAGTGGTGAAGAAAAAACCGTTTTGGTAAGTTACGTACCTATTTCTTCAAACTTCTCACCACGGATTCATCGAAAACCACTGATTAAAAGAAAAAACACCGAGACACGTCAAAAGATTTGTCAAGGGAGACATTTTTTTAACCAAATAGCTACTTCACCCTCTGCCCCCAGGGCCATCCCCTTAAAAATTTTAAATGACAAGGGGTATCGACTAATAGCTTGCTTGAAAGGTCTTTCCGAGTTCTTTATTTTAACGTTTAATTTTTTTAAATCAATCGATTCGTTTTCGCGAAAATTAGAAAAATCATCTTAATTTGTTCAGATAGAAAACAATTAGGGTTTGCCAAATCTACAATTCGTTTATAATTTAAAACAGAAACTACCATCATAAACAGCAATTCGGTATTAGACGTGGCAACAACCCGAATTTCCGCATTTTTCATCAACAAAGATATCCTGGGCGAACTGTATCTGTTGTTTAGTTATTTGTTGGTAAGGGAAAGAAAAAATCGATTTGTTGTCAGTTTCCTTTGTGACAAAAATTCACTTAAGCATAGTTATTTTGATAAGAGAGGCTATCTTCGTTAGAAATACAATATTCAACAATTTTACTGCGAACATCATTAGCCACCAAACTTCCACTAACTGGATTCGTAATAGGCAACTGTTAGTTTCGATTCTGATTCAAAGGTGGATTCGATTTCACTCGCATTATCAAATTGAAACCTTTCCTCTTTATGTACAAAATTTTGAAAAATGCAAAAAGCTTTCACATCTACAGTCAGATCAATGTGTCCATTGATTCTTGACAAGTGTATGGAATGCGCCAAATTTCTCCCGATTTTTTAAAATATGTATCCAAAACCTTCTTTTTGAGTTTTCCATATATATACATAGTATGCAAGGATAATCTTTTTCTTATGAGGATTCATAGCTAGGACGTCTGTAGCTAGCCGCAGAAAAATCTCAACTGAGCGTCACCTGGTCCCCTGGCCGTTGTCCCGACCGATAGCTTTGCCATGCCATATACAAGCCTGCACGTTTTGTTAACCGTGCGGCTAACACACCGCATGGTTAAGAAATCGTGCCGTGTACAAGAGGTCTAAATATATGGGAATACGGTATGACGCGTCTCCGGATAGAAAAGTGATCTCTAGCTAATGACTTTACTGTCAAGCATTCGATGAACGCGCAGCTGGAATCAACGGCTTATTGGAAGTAGGCATGTTTGGTAGGCAAATGGCCTGGCGCCTAGTGTTTCAAACCGGAACAAGGGGGGGTTGATGGTTCTACACTACAAATATTCCTTCGGCTAAATTTCGCCCTAATAAATCCGGAATTATACGTATTTGTCAAGTCGGACCGCAGTATGTGAGCTGCGAGTGTACGACCTCTAACCTTTAGCCTGTTTGCAGTGGGATATCGTTAAGGATCAGCACTTCACCCCAAATATTTCTAATGTATATCATTGACCCTCGAGTATTGGATCCTGCTTCGTATTTGCAGACAATACCACCTTGCTATCTAGGCCTAACCAAAACACGTGTGTGGATAGTCTAGAACAAGCCAAAAAATGGTTTTTAGCAAACAAGTTATCCCTAAATGAAAACACCTTTACCTCTGACGGGTGGGTTGTGAAATCGGACTCGGTAAAACTAAAAATTTACATTCTAGCCTATCTACACAATTATTTATTCTTAGGCAGCATAGCAGATGCCTCAATAACCATACTTTGCGGGTAGGGTACTTCAGCATTTTCTATAGTCACATTACATATGGCACAATGCTCTGAGGAAACTCGGTAGTGTCTAGCAAAGTTTTCATTTTACAAAAAACTGCTTTGAGGATAATCACAAATGCCAGTCATGGATCAGCCTGCAGAAATCACTTCAAAAATTTACAAATATTACCACATACTATCAATTTATGTTTTTGAAGTCCTATGTTATGTGCATAGAAATTTAAACAAATATCAAACCTCTGCAAAAACACACGCCCATACCCTACATCAGGGCTGTCCAACATACGGCCCGCGGGCCGCATCACGGGTCATGTATACATATATGTATACCATATAGTATCATACCGTCATTCGGGAAGGTGTAGGAAGGGCCTCTCAACATCCATGGTAAGTTTTAATTTCATCCAAATTAACTTACAACACTGCATAGCGGCTTCGAGGGCCCTTACTCAGGAGATCACTCGAGGCCGACATGACGTGGCTCTCATCCAGGAACCCTGGCTGAGAAACGGTTCAGTAAACGGGCTTAGTATACCAGGCTATACGCTTTTTAGCGATACTCCGGACACTAAGCCCAGAGCTTGCGTAATGACTTCCGTCAACTCATGGCAACTTAAAGAATTTACATTCAGAGACTTAGTTGCAGTCAGAATTAGATATAAGAAGGAAGGCAGTGACAGGGACTTGGTTGTCTGTTCGGCTTACCTTCCTTACGATTCAAGAGACCCTCCTCCGTCTAAGGAAATGGGGGACCTTGTCGCATTCTGTAGGGATTCTGGACTCGACCTTGTGATTGGATGCGACAGTAATGCCCATCACGTTGCGTGGGGCAGCTCGAACACCAACAGACGAGGCGAAGACCTGATCGAGTTTCTTGGGGCATCGAACCTTGAGGTTCTGAATGTCGGTAACATGCCCACTTTCAGCAATAGTGTAAGAGAAGAGGTTATCGACGTAACACTGAGCACGCTTAACTTAGCTCAGGACATCAGGGACTGGAAAGTGTCTCTAACACCCTCTCTATCGGATCACAGGTATATACTGTTCAAGACTGATGGAGAGATTCCGGATAAATATGCTCGGAATCCCAGGCATACTAGATGGGGGTCCTTTAGGGCAGACATTGACAGTAAGCTTGGAGCGGTCCCATACAGGCTTGGCAGGGGCTCTGACATAGAAGCAGCTGTCGAGTCTCTGAGCAGGGACTTGACGGCCGCATATGAGGAAAACTGCCCGTTACGCAAAGTACAAGGTAAGGGCGAGGCAACCTTCTGGACCAAAGATTTAGAGGATAGAAAACGAGCGGTGCACAAACTTCTTAGCAGAGTTAAGCACAGGAGAGGTTCTCCTCTATGGGAAGAATACAAAAAGGCATTGCAGGAGTACAAAAAGGAGATTAGAAGGGCCTCCAGAGAATCCTGGAGGCACTTCTGTCAGTCCATAAATGACATTCCTGCTACTGCAAGAATACACAGAGTCCTATGCAAAGACACTAAAGCAAGATTGGGATCTCTGCATGATCCCTCGGGAGGGAACACTACTTCCGAGGAAGATACTCTGAGGCTTCTGATGGATACGCACTTTCCCGGTTCCACAGTAGCGCGATCAATCACAGAGTGCATGCAGTTGCGCAGGCCCTCAAGGGAGGACTGGCGCACGGCAAGGGAGATTGTCACCTTCGAAAGGACGGTATGGGCAGTAGATTCGTTTGCCCCATACAAAAGTCCAGGTCTGGACGGCGTATTTCCGGCCATGTTACAGCAGGGACGGATTTCGGTTGTTCCTTACCTGTTGAATGTGTTTCGAGCATGTGTGGCCACGGGCTTCACACCTAGAAGTTGGCGGCAGGCTAAAGTGGTATTCATTCCTAAACCGGGCAGAGATAGATATACTGGCCCGAAGGATTTTCGACCGATTACTCTTTCATCTTTTGTGCTTAAGACCCTGGAAAGGATAGTTGATAGATACCTAAGGGATGGCCCACTGGAAAGGTGTGTCATTCATGCAAATCAGTTTGCATACCAAGCTGGAAAATCGACTGATCTGGCCTTACACAATCTGGTTGGGAGGCTGGAGAAGACTCTAGATCAGCGAGAAGTGGCACTCGTGGCCTTCTTAGATATTGAAGGTGCATTTAATTGCACCACAACCGACTCTATCAGACAGGCCTTGGTTAGACACGGGGTTGGATCAATCCTAATAGATTGGGTCCTCTCTACTCTGGAGGGTCGGGTAACAACAGCTATGCTGAATAACGTAAGCTGCAGCGTGAACGTAGCTAGAGGCTGCCCTCAGGGTGGAGTTCTGTCACCCCTACTGTGGTGTATCGTGGTGAACGAACTGCTCGTTAGGCTCAACAGTATGGGTGTCTACGTGCAAGCCTATGCTGATGACGTAAGCATAGTGGTTAGGGGGCGTTTCTGTAGAACAGTCTCGGAAATTATGCAGGGCGCTCTGCGCTCCGTGGAATCGTGGTGTAGGGAAGTCGATCTTTCTGTTAATGCTGAAAAGACCGAGCTGATCCTATTCACTAGGAGAAGAAGGCTTGACGGACTGGTCATGCCTACCTTCTTTGGGACTAGATTAGTTTTGTCCCAGTCAGTGAAATATCTGGGAATTATCCTGGACTGCAAACTGAACTGGAGAGAGCATGTGGAACACAAGGTTAGCAAGGCTCGCAATTCAATGTGGGCTTGTAGACGTGTTGTCGGTGTAAGGTGGGGGCTTAAACCCAAAGTGGTATACTGGCTCTACACGACGATAGTACGTCCATCTCTCTTGTACGGCTCCCTGGTCTGGTGGCCTTGCATTAGAACTGAGTCAACTAAGGCCAAACTCAATAAAATTCAGCGTTTGGCCTGTATTAGCATTACAAGCGCAGTGCGAACAACGCCATTGAGTGCAATGGAAGCTCTGTTGGATCTCCCACCGTTGGATCTGGTGATCCGCGGTGAAGCGAGAGTAGTCGCTCATCGACTGTGGAGTCAGGGCAGCTGGGCTTTCTTGAATCCGGTCAAGGGGCATACTGCCATATTAGTCGAATTAGAAAGGGAGGACCCCGTCCTTCTAAGCAGGGGTGATCGTATTACCCCTAAATATCGCTTCAACCGCAAGTTCATTGTGGAGTACCCAACGAGGGAGGAGTGGGACGCCGGTAGCCGAGGACTCTCCGAAGTGAGCGGGCAGGTCTGGTACACGGACGGCTCGGTCACCGAAGAGGGCTCAGGTGCTGGGGTCTCTGGACCTAGAACTAGGCTATCTCTGCCTCTCGGTGAGTACACCACCATTTTCCAGGCGGAAATCTTTGCGATTCTGGCTTGTGTATCTCACATTCTGGAGGAGGGTGGGCCTAGGAGAAGAATAACAATCTTATCCGACAGCCAGGCTGCAATGAAAGCACTAAGTGCATGTAAGATTACTTCGAGTCTTGTATTGCAATGCAGGGAGGCTCTGGATTGCCTCGCAGCGAGGCATCCGGTATCGTTAATATGGGTACCGGGGCACGCTGGGATAAGGGGCAATGAGACGGCGGACACTCTGGCGAAAACAGGATCAGCCAGCAAGCTCGTTGGTCCTGAGCCAGCTCTAGGAGTAACCGCGCATAAAGCTAGGAGGAAAATGGAGACGTGGGTTGCAAGACAACACTCTCAGAAATGGAGAAGTATCTCTAGACATCTCCGCCAGGCACGAGAGCTCATTGAAGGGCCCAGTGCTAAGGATGGACGCTTCTGCCTATCTCTGGGTAGAGCCAACCTAAGGTTGCTGGTGGGACTGTTGTCTGGCCATAACACGTTAAGGCGGCACCTGCACGTGATGGGGGTGGCTGAGGATCCCTTATGCGAACGCTGCGGAGTAGAGGAAGAGACCTCGGCGCACGTTTTGTGTCGCTGTGAAGCTCTGAGCTACTATAGGCAGACTATACTGGGGTCCATTACTTTGGACCCTCAGGACGTAAAGGAGCTTGGACTCAAGGCGATTCTCAACTTCGCTAAAAGGGCGAGGCTTGTGATTTAAGTATTGTAGAGGTGCATAAGGGCCCGCTTAAGCGGCCTATGCACTGGCTCCTTATGGTGGCCGGGATGCCTCTAAAATTCAAGATTCATTCATCACCATATAGTATAGTATATACCTATTAAAACTCAGAAATAATGTTGTACAGAAAGATTTTATAATGCGGCCCTCCAAACTGCATTTTTTTTAAGTTGTACAGCCCTGCCCTACATAATGTTAATTACCCAAGGAATCCCTACTCGGACTGAGTATAACAAACAATAATGGACCTAAGATTAAATTAAAAAATCTATTCGTCAATGAAAATTAAGAGCAAATTTGAAAATGGGTCTAATCGCTGCTTCATATGTGTTTAAAAAAACTCATGTTTCTATTCAATTGAGTACGTTTATGCTATGACGTCACTCGAATAGATAATAAAATAGTTCGTAAGACCTCACAAGTACATTGTATGTACATAACGTGGTCAATAAATGGTATGGTATTATTAGGTTTTTATCTTTTCATTCATTCTTCTCAACCTAGGTAAGGTACAATAAAAAATGTCAAAACACAGATAATTATTACGGAATATATTTTTAAACTTGACTCACTGCTTTTTACAAACTATAAGAACTGTGAACTACCTATCGGAAATAAATATCCAGTTTAGGTAAAAAGACTGGAACAGAAATTAAATTGCGATGGATGACAAATAAACGAACGACTGTTTCATATCACCTGCTTCTCACTTTCGTCGTAGATCCCACGGCGAAATCCTATAAAAAGCAAATATTACTGAAATCACACTTTCACGCATTTCTTTCACGCTAACCACGATGAAAAATCGGATTCCGCTCACTTTGCAATCATTCAAACATTTACACTACCCAAGTTGGTAGATTTCGAATTTCAAGAAAGAAGTGTTTTGTAATGTTGAGTTCAGTAGGTTTAAATAAAAATGTAACCAATACATAGGCAACTTACATATTTCTGAAGAATTGATAATTGCTATGGGAAAATCAATATTTGCTACAGATTGCATTAATACGCGTTCATTTGAACTGAACGGTGATTTTTGAAATTCATAACGGAAGACATGAGAGTATGCATGGTTCCATTCCATTTTCAGACCTCACAACCCAACATTTAAAAACATTTGATTCAGTTTTTTCAACGAATCCGAACCGAAAACCGACTGAACAACATTCGATCGTAATCGATTAATAAAATTTAGTAAAGCCTGTAAATAAAGGAAAATTAGCGCCGCCTGTATGCTCCGTGCCGACTTTCTCTAATTCGTTCTCTCTTCTCTTCAATTCTGCGCTTGTATTCTTCCATGCAGACCAGACGTTGATGTTGCTTTTTAGCGATCTGCAAGCAAAAATAAACTGTTGTTGCAATTTAAGCAAAAGTGTTAAGTGCTTAAGAAGTATAGTAAAAAATGGAGTCAGCAGATTTACTCGACACTGAAATAAGACAGCACAAAGCTCCATCTATTACCAGAATCGACCACTGCAAGAGTGTATTTATAGCTGCTATTAGTTGGAACTGTGGCCGATAGAGGCTAACGATTCTGGCGGTATTGTATAAGTGATCTACTCGTCATTGCACAACCATGTGGCAAATAGTTAAAAGGGCATGATTCGTTGAGAGAATGGCTATCAGAACAATTTACAAGGAGACCCTACTCCCTTCAGGTCGTCGATTTTGCCACAGTTCTATGTGTTGGTAGAGACTTGGTAGTTTAGTATATTTCTAAAGACCTACCAAAAAAATAAGGAAGATATTTCTTTGTCATTTGTCCAAGTTTCAAAAACGCTTGAATATAAGAATTGACAATGTACTATAACAATTGTCCATCTGAAATGCACTGCAATTTGTCAAACATGCGATAGTTAATTCCACCGACAAATTGGACTTCATTAATTGATCTATCATCCACTTCCTTGTACCAAAAATCATTATTTAAAAAACAACAGCAATTCCATAATTTCATTCCTTACAATGAAATGATGATAAATAAATACTATCGTAAAATAAGATTACAAAAAACGTTAAAAGCTGCCTATTTTAAGAATTTTCGTAAGTCAGAATTTTTGAAACTTTGCTAAATGGTGAGAATGACGCTTTCGCGAGAAATTTCTCACCACTGCGAGTTGTGAACCTTACGACTTTAGGAATATACAGTAATGGACAAAAGTATATAGACAAATTAATATTGTGCTGTATTTCTTTTTTAACTTGTTTTAGTAATACACCAACCTGTATACATAATTCGTTATAGCATAATACTCACTTATATATAAATAAATTCATTAGACTCCCTTCAATAAAAAATTAATCAAAATAAACTGGAACTATGAAGGACAAAAATATATAGACAAAGCAAAACAATTATAGAAAAAAGAAGCAAAGTTCATCGAATTATAGAAAACCAACCATGTTTGTGTTAATATTTTGTAGCATAACCATTATTATCAATCACCGCCTGTCATCGTCCGGCATAGATTGTAGAAGTTTCTTGATATAAGATTCATCAATCTGTCTCCACTTTTGCTCTAAAGCGGCAATATAAAAATAATTTTTATCTCGTATTTGCTTATCTAAGTATTCCCATAGATTTTCATTGGGGTTTATATCGGGAGTCTGTGAAGGCCATTTAAGAACTGGTATTTTTTCATCCAGAATTTCTTTGCGAGATTTGAAGTGTGCTTCGGGTCATTATCTTGCTGGAAGATTGATCTTAAGGGCATATTGTCTTCCATATAGGGTAACATCACATGCTTTAGTATGTCTATGTATACAAACTTATCCATAATGCCATCTATTCTATGTAAAGGTCCCATCCCAAAGCCCGAAAAGCACCCCCAAACCATGTTTGACAGTGGGCAAAGTGTACTTGGGGTTCAATCTTTGTCCACTAGGACGTCTAACGTAATGAACACCATCTGATCCAAACATATTGAACTTGGATGTCACAGAAACATACCCTCTTCCAGTTACAGATGCTCCATCAAGATGCAACCGTGCAAATTGTAATCGGCCCTTACGGTTTCTCCTCGAGATTAGCGGCTTCTTACTCGGGCGACGTGCAAATAACTTCAAATCATTTAATCTTCTACTTATAGTTTTCGTAGAAACACTGGCAATTCCTTTTGTCTCGATTTCGGCTTTTGTTTGTCTTGGGGGTTTTAAACGGATCTTTGGGCGAAATTACTTTTATTAATCTAACTGATCTAGCATTTAGTTTTCTAGGCCGACCACTTCTCTTAGAGGCTTCCAAGATACCTTTTTGTTTATATTTGTTCAATATTTCCCAAACTGCTTTACGCTTCAGCATCAAATTTTTGGCAATGTCGACTTGACGTTGACCATCTTTGTATAACTCAATGATTTTAGTTTTCACATCGAAAGAAATTTCTGGACCACGCGGCATGGTCTTAAAATCACCCAACTTATTCCACAATACTTGATGAACACAAACTAATCCTTTTCTGACACGAAACTGTACTAAACTAATTTTGAAAAGAATTTGTATACATATTTTTGTCCCTCATAAAAAAGTGCTTATATTCAGACTTGTATGGTATTCATTGCAGATAATGTAAAAACAAGGAATTTAGTTTTTCTACCAATAACGCATTTGTTTATGGAGCAATGAAGTATGAATTCGTTTTCTAAAGGTATTTAGGTATAGTCAACGCCAAACAAAGTGGCGTGCACGTCATCAAGGTGGGTGTGTTGAAAAATTTACATTGTTGCCAAACTTTTTGTAAAATAATAAAATTTATTATTTACATATCTAAGTTTATAAGCAATATTAACCTCAAATGAGAACAAAAATAATAGTATAATAAAATTATAGATCTGTACTTACATAATCATTAAGTATGACAATTATTGATCAGATGACACTATGAAACTACCATATTTAATTGATAGCTTAAAGGTACTGAATAAAAATCCGAATTGGTATTTATTTTACAGAATTCATACAGAAAAATGCATTCTAAAATTAGGTAAGCTACTGGTGTAAGCTTTTTCTGTACAATAAGTTAGTCGGAGTTTCTTTCTTCAGCGCTGTCTGAATCTGAATCTTCATCACTCTCAAAGTTTGTGCCCATGTTGTTCCGCCAATTCATCAATCACGTATATTTTAGGTGGTTTGTTTCTAAAAAAGCAGTTATTTTAAGAATAGGAATAAACAAAAGAAATATAAACTGTCGACCAAAATATATATAATTAAGAAGCATTATGTACCGAGCAACAATACTCAATAGCTCTGTTTTAAACATTGTGTTTAAAAATGGTATGTTTTGATTTGTCAACCAGTCTTGGATATTTTTTTTTTGTCCATGCATTGTTGGGCACTTTGTTCAATATCATGCTGTGATAAGGGGCGTTATCCAGTATAATCATAGATGGACTCTTTTTCTAATAACTGATGTTGAAACCATTTCAAAAAATTGTCCTGGTTCATCTCTCCATGGTAATCGCTCAATTTTGTTTTCGAAGAAAATATCGCTTCACTACCCTCAATAAACCCATTTTCATTTCCAGCATGTAATATAATGTATCTAAAATATATTAGTTTTAAATTTTATAGTGCAAATTGTGTAAAAGTACATACCTTTTACCATCTGTTTTAATAGCTTTCACGCTTTTTTATGGTCCCATTTTGAAATATCCAAGTTTCATCGAGGAAGACAAACTGGTATAAGGCCTCAACCTTGGCTTGATTGTATTGCCTTAGAAATTCCACCCTTTTCAAAGCTATACTTGGTAGTTCCATGAGCCCTCGTCGCGGATTGTCCTTAAGCCACTTAAATCCAAGATCTCTAAGCAACCGCCTTAAAGACGTGGCACTACCATCAAATAATGCCCTATCTCTTAATCGAGACCATAAAGTTTGTATCGTAACTTGTTCTTCTGAAACCATGTGTAATATGACATTATAATTTAGTTAACAAATTAATGCAAATTTCTGATAAGTTATTATAATAAGATCTTACTTTTGTGATACATATTATAGATCACTTCTCGAATGGCACTTGTATCCAATGTCGCTGTGTTGGTTACACGTTTAATATAACTCCGCTTTTTCTTGGGCGATTCTAAATTTGCATCACTTTTCACACCCTCGGAAATACGACTAACTGTCCTTAAACTAATTTTTAAAGCAGCAGCAACACGCTACAAAAAATGAAATAAAATTTCACTATTATTAATATACATTACATATAATTATTAGTAACCTACCTCTTGAACAGCATTTAAAGGCAACAAAGGCCCGTTGTTGTCCCTTTCTTGCTCAAAGTAGTGCATTAACGAGGCCACGAGTTCCTTACACCGACTATTTAACTGTTTGGGCATCTTTATATACCAAAATTGCCTTTATCTACTCGTAAAATGAATAATTTTGTTTTGAAACAAACAGTTGTTGATTTACAGTATGCGGGGCCAAAGGATTTATAAAGATTTGAAATGCCACAAATTGATTCAGTGTCAAAATTAATACAAATGTCAGTTCCCAGTTTAAATAAGTTTCAAGGTGACAATGTGTCAACGCTGCGAAATCGGTTTAGTGCGTTTACATGTCGATAAGTGATTGGAGCGTTTGCAAAACATTTTATTTCGCATAATGCGTCTAAATTTATCAGAAAGCAACTTATGTGATATTTTAATAACAATGTTTATATGACTATTAACCATAATAAGAGAGTAATGACCATTTTACAATTTATATATCACATTAATATGAAACTGCAATAGAGCAATTGTTTGTGATAGAAACCTAGGCATTAGGTCGGGGAATTTTTATCGTGATGACTTTGTTTGGCGTTGACTATAAATATTCATATTTGTCTATATACTTTTGTCCATTACTGTATATTATAGATGACACTTTGCACTGTCGTACCTCGAATAGATGATAGTTATTATGCTTTCGTTATTGTCCCAGAGACCAAGCATGAGCCATGCTGATGTGTTGTAAAAAAGCACAAAACACCTGTCCATGGTTGGTTGTCTGTGGTCGGATGGACCAAAGCAGCATCTTTAGTTGATTCTGTGCGTCTCATGCATTAATATTAATCTATTACCAAAATATATAGATACTCTAAAACTGTTGAGTATTGTTGAAGCGACTCCCAAATTACCGATCGAAAAGGATTAACAAACCGAATGAGGCATTTACACTCAAAACTTGAATCAAACGCGTACATTTAAAATGTTTAGACGGCCTAAAACTTGTTTTCATGTAATGGAAATAATTGTATTAAGTCTGAATTAGGCTTTCAATCGAAATAATCTTTGGATGATAAATCTAAGAATGGATTTAAACCACCTACATACATACCTCTTCTGGAGAAAGGGGCTGCCAATAAATACTTGGTGTTGTTTTTGTTTTCAAAAATAAATCGTCCATTAATTTTTGAGGTACATCATCATCGTGTTTCTTATGTTTCTTTGGCAAACCTAAAACAAAATAATAGAACATCATTTTTGCCAAAATATTATAGCGTTTAATTCAGTCCCAAAAGATCAATGTCCATGTGTTTACAATTGGATATGTCAATGCAAGAACACATTGTGGCCTAATAGAGTGAAATGAATACATTTTTCAAGGAGGGTATAGGGTGTCAACAAGAATATCAAAAAAATCCATTTTTGCGTTTCTCTAGTCATTGCTTACTGCCGCTTGAATGGAATTCTTTTTCACCTATCTACAAGACCATGATGCAAAGTTTTGATCTGTATTTTAAAAGATTGGTTTCAATGTTATTAGTTTTACGCCCGTTAGTTTACTCAAGGCGAAATCGGCGACTGCGTTATAGGAAATCATATTAGATCCTTTTCATAATCACCTTTTTGAGGACCCATAGGATTAAAACTAAGATATGAGTCACTCCAACATGGTTAGATTGAACATTTTCTAATCAGTATTTTTTCGTTCCAATAAGAGAAACAAAATGTCTCTAGTAAGAAGAAAGTTCAGCCAATTGGAGTTAAAAAATAATGCAACATAGCAATGAAGTTTCATCAAATTCTGAATGGTAGGTACCAATTAAGGAGGGGCCATAACTTTGCCGCCGTTGTACCGATTCTTAGATGCTGTATTTTCACATGTTGCCACTAGTACTAACTTCATGTCAAATATCAAAATCAGAATACTACTTTTCCAAAATATTAAGAACACAAGATGACTATAGTCAGCCAACAGAATAGAGGAAATTATATTTTTTTGCTATATTTGGCATGTACATCACGAGAAACCATGTCACATTTCCGTCAGTTTGTCTGTCTGTCCGCTAATCCTTGACCCATCTATAACTGGATAAGTACCTCTCTGGCTTGGATGAAATTTTCACACAAGGCAACTACTGTGCCAATGACGGAAAAAATTTGTTTTTACAAATATGCCGAATTTGCAACAAGACTGAAGTGTTCTAGATAACTCCTTTTTCTAAAGTTAAGAATTCCGAGTTGTACTCCAATATGCGGCCAATAAATGTTCTGCCAGATGTTGAAAGTGGTTGAATATAAAAAATTTCATATCATATTTGGTTCTTATTATTATACTTAAAATAAAAAATCATCTTTTGCCAGAACATTTAGAACACTACATAGAATTGAATAATCATTACCACAATTATTATACAAGAGGAAATATAGATTTTCATTTACAAAATTGCAATAGTAATATAACTAGCAAATCAATATTTCAGAAAGGATTACTTGAATTTAATAAACTAAATAATGATATAAAGTCTACTTGTAATTTAAAGATATTTAAAAGAAAATTAAAGCAATATTTGATAATGATTGAATTACATACATTTCTGCAGACGTGTGATATTGGTCTAGATTTCTGTGCAAGTAAGACTTCAAAAATATAAATTGATGGAAATGGTAATTCTTGGTAGATCTTTGAAATAAAATACTGAATTATGAGCAATTCAGAAAAAAATGGCGTCAAGTAGGTTGACTGCGCTGCTCACGCGATGGTGTCATCAGTTCATCAATGATTATGTTTAGCACAAGTTAATCCCTCTGAGAAAAAAGTTAGCTTCGAACATGTATAACAAAGAAGTAAATGAATCAAGTCAGTTAAACATGCTCATACAATTAATCCATAGTATCTAATCTATATGACAACGTTATGGTCCCTACCGAGAGTATCGACTATCTGACATTTCTATGACTAACCTCGCCATTTACCAGCCATCCCATGGATCAGACCTGAATGCTGGTATACCTACGTTCATTGCGCTGCTACGACGCGTAATATTCCTTCATCAACTTAAGTTTTAAATGCAAAAATTGAAATAAACTCTCCCCTATGCCATACCTCCAATTATTAACCCATAAAAATGTTTTTCTGAACACGAAGAGTAACCCTTAAAATGTTAAGAAGCCAGTTTTTAATTTTATCTCTTACATTTTTTGCTCAGCCTCCTGTGGATCGATTTTTAAAACTGCAAAGCTTGTAACCTTGTGTCAAAATGAGAACGATACTTTCCAAGTTTATATATAGTGGAGCCAAGGATTAGCGGATGGACAAACAGACAGACGGACCAGAGCGACATAGTGCATAATATGTAACATCAAAAAAATATACATTTTCGAATTTTTTCGCGATTACAATAATTCCTCGCCAGTTGCAGCTAGTGTTCATACTGAGATATCAATGATTTGATTACAGCATAATGTGGTTCTATATAGCATATCTCATATCTTTGCTTCTGCATGGTGAATAAGTAATTTATTTAAAAATTGGTCCTAAACAGATCTAGTGTAGAAGGCTTCAGTTACTCTTGAATACTTGACATACCTTCCGGGGTGTAAGACCTCCTAGAGTGTTTCCTCACCCTTTCTCTGCTTCTACTCCTTGATCGCTTTCGTGGATCTACTTTCTTCAGCTCCCAGTCTTTGACTAAATCCCGTGGTTTTACGTCTTCTGGTTTTTCCTTCCTATCACCTAGTGAGTGCTGAAATTTCAAAAAAATACGAGTTATGAGTCAACCAGCATATATTTATATTTTATTCCCCATGCAGAATTTAAAATAATCTCGAAACATGAACTGCAGAATAGTTTTTTATTGTTGGGTTGAGTGTTGTGTGTTTGTTTTGAGGTTTTATGAGGCTAACTTAGTGATTGTCACTTATAATAAACATCTTTTATTCATAATAAAGCCTAGGGCCTTTAGTTATATGTGACCATATTACTTGCCTTGTTCTCTTTTTCATTGACAGGGTCTATAACAAGTGTAGCAACTGTCACAGGATTCTTTGCCTTTTCCAGATCCTCCACAGTAGCAAAATCGATCTTGAGCTTCTTCCCATTGCTTATTGGCCAGTTGATTCCATGGAGGGCATTCCGTGTTGCCACTGCTCCTCTACAAAAGGATAGATAAAAAATGTTAAACATTTTTCTTAAATTAAATACTTGGGGTTTTTATGGATGTTCAATCAATGACGCCATATTCATAGTTGTCATTTAAAAGTTTTCAAATTTATTGTCTATTTTACAAGATCAGCAATCCTGATTGGTTATCCCATTGAAGTGCCCTTAGGTGCCTGCTTGAAATATTTATTTATTCATACATTCACGGGAGAAACTACAATTTCATTCAATTTAAATTAATTATTTAACTGAATTTACCAAATATTTATAAAATAAGTTTCAAATTAGTGGCCACATATTTAGGGGCGAGTGTTGACGGTATAGGGTGCAATGTTTAGCAAGTTTCAATGACTTCTGGCCTCTTAGGGTCCTAGGAGGAACATTAAACTCTGACTGTGATATACAATAAGTACTAAAGACTCTTAGGTTAGGAGGGGTTGTATACTGTTTTTTTCACGAGTATCCATTATGGTAGAATAACAGCTGATTATAGACATAGTAATGTTTCAAAATCCCCTCAAAATTATGACGTATCCATCAGCCAGTTAGCTTTTTCTCAGAAGCTGTCACTATTAAGGAGATGTGTTCATGCCAGGATGAGCGCTAGGACGCTTTTTGTTCGCCAAGGTACAATACTGTTTGAAAGTTCCAAACTGAACAAGATTTTTGCGTCCCCCAGGTGTCTCATTAGAGACGCAGTCACTCCTGGTCTTTTTTCCAGCTCACCGGCAGAGATCAGCTTCTCATTTTGAATTCCTGCATGTAAAATGCTGTCATCAGCAAAACTCAAGAGCAACGGCATGTGCCTAGCTTACTCCACATTGCGTGACGTGCGCTAGGAGTGGGCCGAAAACTATACCGCCTGTCGCTAAACAAGCTGTGACGTGCCAGTTAGTCCAGAAGCTCACGATTTATGCACCTCTCCATCACCTTATAACAGAAAGCAGAACTATAAGCCTGTAGTTGTAAGGGTTGGTCTTATATCTTTTTTTTTTTGGCATGGGCTGGATATGAGCAAATTTGCAAATTTTCTGGAAAGGTGCCGGATTCGTAAGATGTCTGAAAAAGACGCGAAAGAACTGGAGCAAGCACATGAAGATAACTTATCAATCAAAAAGCCGTGATCTCAAAAAACTATGTAGGCATGGGAAGTCCAAAGCAACTTTTGAAATATCTACACTGCATACAAATTTTTATAAGCTCTTTTGGAAAAATACTCACTCTTCAGTTTCATACTGCACATAACATTTCGACTTGATCCTATCTGTCCAAAATCCATCTTCGACAATCTTTCCAGTCCTCTGCAACAGTTCTTTCAGCTGTTTGATGGTAAACGGGCGGACTAAGTTGGTGATAAGAAGTACTGGAGATACAGGGTTTTTTGCTGGACTAGGCGCTCTTGGAGGTGCTAGTATCGACATGGTAGGCTCGCTGTTTGGCATGGGTTGCTCACCATTCCGAAAGGAATCTTCTATGATGCTGACCTTTCTGTTGTGCGTGAATGGATTCGCCGATGTCGCCTGGAAAAATACGGATCCTTCGAAACAATCGCCATCAAGGATCACATGTGGGTAATTTTTCAGCTAAAATTCAGCCCCATGACACATATAATAAAATAATAATAATTTGTTTCACTGTTGAATAGAGCAGAAAATTCTATAACAAATAACCAGGTCATAAAAATAGTGGTGACGAGTTGAAAAAGTATAAAACATACATCTAAACAAAAAACTCCTCTAAGGTGTAGAAACATTTGTCTATCAAAAAAAGTTTTAGTTTTCTTTTGAAAACAGCTATATTTAATTCATTCCTAATATCATCATTGAGCTTATTAAAAATCTTACATCCCATATACCTGCATGTTTTTTGGTATGCCGTAGTTCGATGTTTCGGCGGGATTAAAAGCATCTTAGGCCCCTATCGTCAGACGTCCCTACAATTGTAGGGCGCGTTTATGGCCTTGATTGTCATACTCCTTTCTCTCCTTCAAAAATTTCTAGATTACACTTGTCCCGTGTCAGTGTCAGCACTCTTATTGTGAAGATATGTTTTCCTTTTAAATTGTAGGAAATTTCAGGCTGATAAAACATGATATAACTCAAAAGCAAGCACAATTTGATGCAAATAGATGTTTGTGACATAATCTCAAAATAGAGTGCTGACACAGAGAAGTAGAAAACTATGACAATCAAGGAGGCCATAAAGGCGCCCTACAATTGTAGGGACGACTGACAAAACGGGCCTTAGACCTAGCTGGATATTCATGCTGGTGTTTGATGACTTCAAATTCGCGCTTATTTTTGAAAACAAACAAAGCAACTCATAAATGTAAATACCTATAACAGTCAATATCTTTAGTGTTCTAAAGGATTCTCTACAGGATTGGCGCCAACAAAGGTTATCAATAATTCTAATGGCATATTTTTGCAGCAGGAGAACTCTTACAGTTAGTGAACTACTTCCCCAATTGAGAATACCATAACGGATATGGCAGTTGACAGTGGTGTAGTATAAATATGGATGGTCATATTCAGGTTGATCAATCAACCTGAGTGTTATGAAAGAATATTAAAAATCTGGGTGGTTGATCCTACTACTTGTGAGTCTGTTTACTTTGCTAATACTAACCTCCATTTCTTCTCGGTTTTCACTCATCTCTGCATCATCTCTTACACTCCAACTCTCTATCATTTTTTCAACTTCTTTCTTCTCCTTTTCTTTAGGTACAGGATCCAATTTGACGTCATCTTCTTTCAAAAATTCAATTGTAGGACATACAATTTTCACAGCATCTACATCTATTTTATACAGGGATGCATTTATATTGGAGAACCAACCTGAAGAGCATCCCCAAAGAGCTGGCCTTTTGGGTTTTGGTACAATGGCATCATCTGTTGTATTTTCAACAAAAGATCTTTGTCGGATCAAATGTATTTTTGGTTGATGTTTACGGACCTTAGCTAAAAAAAAAAAAGATACCATATAAATGTCTGAGTTTCAATGTTAAGATTTCAATTAAAAACCAAATATATCAATCAAATTTTTCCAAAGGGGAATAAATACTGTATGTACACCATCTGGAGGTCCACCTTATGAGATAGCAGCTTTTCAAATTATCATACTCTAAACATACATTTTAAGGAATGATATAATTCAGCAGCCATAGAGATATAGTTTTGGAAATTCAAATGATCTTCATCTTTTAAATATGTGTGGTTATACAAACCTAAGATATTAAACATGAAAAAGCAATCAAGATAAGACAATTATTTATTACTGTGATATTGTATGAAAATACTTACCTTCTAGTTCAGTTTTATTCTCACAACTTGTAACACTACTCCTCCTTTTTTTCTCTTCCTTATTTTCAGCCACTGCATCACTGTGACGTCTTTTCAACATTTTATCTGTCTCTGAGCTAGCCAGTTCCTCTTTACCAGTTGACACTTCTGTACTACTACTTGGCGTCACAGATGAATCATTTTCACTGGTACTTTTTTCCTTATCTTCTGGCTTGTTGTTCTGTAATGTGACCTTGCTTTGCAATCTCTTCAAGGTGATTTTTTTAGGAGGTAATTTGATAGATTTATCTTCTTCATTTGGGAGTTGTAGTTTGGTTTTCTTAGAAGTTTCAAACTGCTCATGTTTCAAATCTTTCACCTTATCTGACTTCTCAGTACTGTATTCACTTTGAAAATTATCCTGTTCTGGTTCATATGCAATACTTGCTTCACTCTCCCTCAAGCTACCTTTGGTCCTCTCATCATTTTCTGATTCAGTGGCTTCACTCTCTTTGTTCATATCTTGCAAATGATGTTCTAATTCATTTGGTTCCCTCTCCTTAGAGCTCTCCATGGTCATATTCTGATGATCTTCTGGTTTCCTTATAGCACTTGCTTCATTATCTTCATTGGTCATATCATCCTCAATACAATTTTCCACATTATGTTCATCAGGATTTGTACCTTTAGGGGGCGATTCTGTTGTCCCCTGTACATTATCATTTACAGTTTCATTCTGAGCATCTGGTGTACAGTTGGTTTGAATATTTGACTCACTACACTTACCTTCATCCTTTGTTTCCTCAACATTTTGTTTATGTATTTTCTGTAAATCTCCATCGAAGTTGTATGTATTACTCTGTACATTATCTTCTTGGATGTCTCTCGCATCATCATTGAGCTGTTCATCAGTTTCAGATACTATGTGATCTAAATTATCCTGACTACTAGTATCATTTTGAGTAGTTTCTGCTGGTTCATCTCCCTTATTATGTTTCCACAACACTGGTCGTCTCCTAGTCTTTCTGGGTGAGCCAGTTGGTGTTTTACTGGCAGCTTCTTCAGAAGCTCCTTGTTGATTTCCATTTTTTTCATCTATTTTAGAATCACTTACTGCAGCATCATTTTGCTGTTTTCTAGTATCCTTCTGGTTTGATTCACTGCCTGACTGCTTCTCTGTAGCTCTTGCACTACGAGTGCTTCTTCTACGCATCTGTAATTTATTATTTGTTTATAAATAGAAAATACCAAAATTTTAACTAAATTTGTCACAAGGCTGATTTTTTTGATACAGCATGTCTAAAATAAAGACTGCATTTGTATTACAAACTACAAAGGTTTTTCATCCTTGGCATAGTAGTAACATTGTGTAAAAATTTCATCAAAATCCAAGTGGTACCTCAAGTCATCCTTGGTTGTCAGAGTGATCTGTGGGACCTTAAGCTGTTGAGTCATAAATCAAATAAGCGGATAACCAAATGGAAATGGTATTTACCATTTTGGGTTGGTTTTTTACCAATCCGGTCAAGCGAGTGTAATTATCAGTTTGGTGTAAGGTCCGTGACGTTATGAATCAGCTGTTATATGTCATAGTTATCACCGCAAAATTGTGGTATTTACCCAACTCAAGAGTAGTTTTATATTTCTGGTTATTATTTGAAATGTGACAAGTTAGAATTTTGCCGGGTATTGGATATTGTTATTGTACTTCAGCTTCATTTTTGAGAAAAATGATACAGGCTGACTTCAGTTTCACCATAAAGTGGAGCACCTTATTAGTTATACTCATTACGGTTGTTGGGGACACTTTAAATGTAGTTCCTATGCTTAACAAAGTATCCTGTGTAGCCATATACCACAAGAATATTAAAATATGGCCATATAAACTCACTAGATGATATCCACCTGTATACGGTTTTGCTAATTTCTTTTTTCATCATTTCTGCTGAATCAATAAATGTCTTGTTTGACATGCGGAAAAATTTAGAGAATTGAAAGTGATCATAGCTACAAAGCCATGGTTCCATCATTAAAAGCACCGATTATTAAGTGATAATAAAAATAATCAGAGATTATATATGCACTTTTATAAAATAAACAACTTGCAACAAAACCGCAGTTAAAACCAACGCGTTCAAGCGATTCGTGTAACTGACGTCATCAACCCGTGTGTCATCTTGAACCATATTATAACCGCGGCACATAACACAGAAATTTTGGTTATTCGCTTGGATTTGATTATCGTGTCAGTTTGTAAGTCTGTCACGTCTGGTAACCCAGAAAATAGATAATTTCAACTAAAAAAGGTAAGGAAAGGAGAGAAGGAAGAATAAGAGCAAAGACGAAGAAGAGAATCTTTTTGGATAAGGAGCGTTTAGGCATTGTTAAAATCACCTCACAGATTTTGACATGGTCTAAAAATATTTGATTTTTCTAAATATCTTGGTTGTTCTAAGTTCACAAATTAATTCTGATTACAGTGCGAGCCGCAGCCTTTTGTGCTTGCAAACTTGCTCAACTGTGTAGTCCACTGACCCGCGCATCAGAGGGTTGCTATACGATTCCACTAGACTATAACTTCCTGCATCTGTTACTTAATGTAGTCCCTTAGGTAAGGGACATCTAGGTCTCTAAGAAGAGTTGTGTTATGAGACATACCATAGGCAGACAGACAAACTAACATTTATGGTAATAAGTAACAAGGACTTTCCTGATGTTCATGTCATATTACATTGAAAAAACATAATATTTCATTTTCGCGATTACAATACTTCCTGCCAGTAGGCATGAAAAATAAAATGAAGCAAATCAAACAAATTAGTTTTTAGATTTTGGTAATCCATTTTATTTGCTTAACAGTTTTCATTATTTGATAGCGATATTCAGCAACATAGCTGAATATTGCTTGCTATCAACATAATCTATGACTATCTATGAAATTTTTAAAGTGACCCAATCCGATAACATTTAACAAAAAGGCAAAGCAAGCAAACATAACCACTGAATGGACAACCATAAAATATTGAGAAAACTAAGTGTTCACCAATACTATTATTATAATTTAGTATAGTATAAATCACTAGTATTCATATTGCTATCAGCAAAAAGTGATGTGAAAAAACCACGGCAACATTGAAAAAAAAAATAGTGGAAACGTGCCACGAAAATGACCTGAACAGCAATAGATACGTTAGTAATAACACTGTAATAATCTGTGCGGTAATATCAGCAGGATAATAATTTTTCTGTTCTTGGAGGTCCTTATTACAGGTTATGGACAATACAGACGCCATATTCCGATTGCTTCTGTTCAAATAAAAGTTTCGCTAGCAACTTACCTTTATATGTCAAGATAATATGCCAATGTTGGTTGAGGTTTGTATATCCTAGGTACAAATAGTTATTTCATCACACTTTGAACAGTAGAACAAAATATTTTCCGATTTTTCTTCTCATGCATCCACAATTAACCAACGAAACAAGAAACCACAAAACACTAAGACTGACCTGACCTGAGACTGACTCTGAGTTCTGCGACTTGCGACTCTGCCACTCCGACATTTTTGTACCTCTTGTGTTCTGTGATATACACAGAAACCAGTGTTGCCGAACCGAAAAAGACGAAATCGGTAAACAGTGTCGTTCAAATTCGGTAGATTCAAGTTCAAAATCGATGGATTCAGAAAATCATGCCTCTACGAAAAAAGTATATTTTTGTATTGTGCGTACAAACACAGCATTGATTTTTTGAGGGTATCCGTTCCTTAAAAAATCTCAAGTTCTTTATTACAACTTGTACAATGATCATACTGGTTGCTCCTTTGCATTTATCATTGGAACTCTTCCGGCATTCTTGTTTATATAAGATTCTGAATATTTGTCTGTTTCACCCCTGAGCTAGAAGCCTCATCACCTGACAACTTAATTCAATATTCAATTAAATACAGGCGAGCTCTGGTTGCTTATTTCGGTAGAAATACCGAAAAATCAGCAAGTTTGGCAACACTGAATGAAACACAAAATATGGCGGAACTCGACCCAAACAAGTCATGATACCAAGCCATGAACACTAGAGATAGGAGGTTAAGCTCTAAGCTGTGTTAAGCTCATGGAGTGGGGGATGAAGCAAAAATGTCGACGACACGACGACGAAGTGTTAAGTAACCACTACTAGTCTAATCATATTAGCAAATTTTACCGAAATAATTGTAAAGTATGGTTTTATTAGTGCAAGTTCTTCAAGGGGGTATTTAAAACAAGGACGCATAAAATGGGTACACCAATAATTTTTGTGGGAAAACTTTTCATTTGACAACAAAGAATGAGAAAACGTGTTTTTTAAACAATTAGAAATTCTCAAAAACTACTTGACCAATCTACTCCAATTTTGTTGTGGTTATTTAAAAGTACGAATTTGAAGAATTTCAAATATCTGCGAGAAACCTACGTCGCATTACCAACAAGTGCCAAATCCTGCAGTTTGGCCTCGGTTTTCGGCCATAACTTTTTTAGTATTGGTCGGAGTTTTTTACGTGTTGTCTCATTTTGTAGGTCTCATAAAAATACGTAAATATCTTATACGAAGAGTTTTTCCGTTTCTGCCAACACTTTCGATTAACTCCCAAAAAACACGTATTCTCATTCTTTGTTGTCGAATCACAAACTATTCAGAAAGATAATTGTTATTTTTATGCGATAAACGAAGAGTTACGCTTTTTTTCTTGTAAACAAATTCAACAATTTCGTGTTTGTGTGTATGTAACTGATCAGGTTCGCTACGATATGCGAAAAACATACGACATTATATACATTTTAAAACAAAGCCGATGTCTATCAGCTTTTGTTATGAAGAAAACAATTTTTTCAAAGATTTCTTAATCCTCTTGTGTATACAGATTTAAAGCTGATTCTTTTTTCACGGCACAGATGTACTCTAAAGTTTATAAAAAATATTCCATACTGAAATGCGCTGAACTGTTTATAAAGTTAGCACGCAAACTGAAGACAGTTATGTTTCAAACTCTTGACTAGTTAGTATGTAGCATGTGCTAAATGGCTGCATTATTGATGACTGCATGACTTTGTCACTTAATCCAGTTTCTTTGCGAAGAAATTAAATTCCCTGGCCCTTTTTTCTAAAAGCATTAATATAATATATGTATAATAAATCTCAAACAATTAAAACGACTGCGAGTTCAAAATATGAGAAAATAAACTCGAGAAAACGAAAAAACAGTGGGCAAATACCAACTGATTTATTAGTATTTATTAGTCCCTAACACATTATTTAAAGATTAAGCATTGTATCTTGTATGGTTTTCAAGAGTACTGAAATTATTTGTAACATATTTGATATGTCTCCAACCTTCGTTTGACATTTGTCAGTGTCAAGTATAGTGGTATATAAGGATTCAGTAAACCAAGAGGCGTCGTAGCGTAATGGGAAGGATTGACGATTGCAGTGCCGCGGGGCGGAGGTTCGAATCCACCACGAATCGTTTCTGCCAACACTTTAGATTAAATCACAAAAAACACGTTTTCTCATTATTTGTTGTCGAATAAAAAGTTTTCTCACAAAAATTGTTGTACCCATTTTATGCGTCCATGTTTTGAATATCCCCTTGAACAACTAATAAAACCAGACTTTACAATTATTTCGCAAACGAGGGGTATTTACGTCTAATATGATTTAGACTATACACAGGAAATGAATTTCAGGTGCTGGGGATACGGCATCTCTCTCGTGTGCACACTGCGCAGAAAATGGCACATGTAACTCTTTCTGTTGCTGTCATCATGATTAAGCAACTGTAACTTTGATAGTTCGGACGAGTTGTAAGCAGAAATGGATGGATTATACTAAGAAACTACGAAGTAAAAAATTGTTCGAGGAAACTTTTAATCATTTTAAATGTCGTCAGAAAAACATAGCTATAACTAGAAGAGTATTAGCAACTGACCTTGGAAGGGGGTATTGAGGAAGTATCAAAGGATCATGCGAAGAAAGGTGTACAACAAATATAAAAAAAGTAATGAGCAAAATCCGCAAAAAAAGGAAAGTGGATTCGAGCAGAAAATAGAATATAGGTTGTGTTACCTCTCCATCTTCGTTTTCTCAGGTTACACCCGTATTTGGATGTATATGGGCATTGTAGTTGCATGCACAACTGAAAAATTCGGCAAGCATTTATGAAATCTCTACAACTATTGTTAAGACTTGAGTAGATGCAGTATGCAGTAAAGATGTATCAAGCTATTTATGTATAATAATTGAGAGATTAAACGAACTTACCTAAGTTCCCTCGGAATCGCTAAATATATGTCTTGCATCAGTTACAGATAACACAATTAAGCAGTACAACGTGGGCTTGAGGCTTTGGTGAGAATATTGCAATCGAGAAAAAATAAATATTTACACCCAGTAGGTTTCTGCAGTACTTAAATTTCTAACATTTCATTTCAATAAGGGGTCTTCTTTTAGCTCTCTGAATTCATATAGAGCAGCACTTTCACAGATTCTAGGGCCAAATCTTAGTGAAGATTTCAGAATGAAAAGATTTTTCAAAGGACTGAGTTGCTTAAGGCCTCCGCTACCTAAGTATAACAACACCTGAGATCCAGGCATAGTTTTGAACTATATAAAAAATTCATATTCTACGAATCCTACTTTATAACTGTTAACTCTCAAGACGGCCATGCTCCTCGCCTTAGCAACAGGCCAATGCGTCCAAACATTAGCTAGTATGGAAGTGTGTAATATTCAAAATTTCTCAGATCGGTTAGAAATCCGCATATCTAAAAGGATAAAGACATCTGGCGTTAACAAAATGCAGCCCATATTAGTTTTGCCATTTTTTCCGGATAATGTGAATATTTGCCCAGCCAAAACGTTACTGTTATATCTGGAAAAAACAAAGGCTATTCGAGGTAACGAACTGAGTTTGTTTCTATGTTTTAAAAGGCCGCATCGAATAGCCTCTGCTCAAACCATCAGCAGATGGTTAAAAACTATGTTATTAAAGAGTGGTATAGACATAAGTTCTTTTTGTGGTCAGAGCACTAGACATTCAGCTACTTCTGCCGCCTCCAGGAAAGGGATAAGCTATGATAGCATCCGGTTGGCCGCGGGGTGGACGGAAAAATCTAAAACATTCGCAAGATTTTATCAAAAACCATTAGTTTCTAGTAGGTCTGACTTTGCGGAAGCAGTGTTCAGTTGTGCCTAATGTTAAAGAAATTAGAAATAGTTGTTCTTGTTCACTATAGAGAAATAGTGTTACGTTTGCAGTTACTAATATGTATATAATTACGCATATGTAACTTGATGATACTAAACAAATTGTTTCAACTTACTTTGATCTACTACACTTATCCTTATTTATGAAGGCGATGCGCAATATAATTGAGAGATTAAACGAACTTACCTAAGTGAAGTTTAATCCTAATTATATGAGCCTCGCCGGAATAAATAAGCTCCCGCCCTTTACTCTACCCTCCCCAATATGTTGCAACAAAGCTTTGAACAGATATGAGGGTTCGACGGAGTGGCGGAAGGACAGGGCTGGATCCAGGGTGAGAAAGTTTGCTTTGAACTGTGTGAGATTTGACTGCAAGCAGAGCTACTACACTTATCCTTATTTATGAAGGCGAGGCGCAATATAATAATAAAAAGTGTTTATTTTCACCTGGCGGACAATCGGCAAATGCTGTTCTTCCATGCCAAGCAGGGCTCCTTACATACAATATGAAAAAAGTACATATTTAGTTATAGCATTACCAATAAAAAAAAGAAATAGTACTTAGCATGAGGTAAAACCAGATGGAGTGAAATTGATATAAGCATAGCGAAAAAATGGTTGAAATACAGTCATAGACAAAACATAAAAGTAGCAAACAAAACACATCATTTATTATTATAATTATTTATTCTATAATATAGAAATTGAGAAGTTTCTTGATATTCAGAATCGCATATCACGAAATATAGACTAAATATAATCAGCCAGTGAAAAAATTATTGAAGTCGTCCAATAAGTGACAGAGAAATTGATACTTAAATTTGGCGCATTATAGCGCCTTTCGTTTGTGTCTGACGTCACACTTCACTAGTGCCCAGCGTCTCGGCGCGTAGATGTTCGACAGCGTCTGTGCGTTTATAGACAATGGGCTCGTTCAGCACATTTTTTTATTGCATATTCTGAAAGAGTGTGTTGAGTTTAGTAGTTGTGCAAAATTTCAAAATTTTCTGAGCGCGTTTTAATTTTTTAAAAAATTATCTAAATCGTCGCACGGGTACTGCGAGACGATATCCGCCGCTCGCTAAGGGAACTGTTACAACAAGTTTAGTTCAGCATTTGCCTCTGTTATAACTGGATGCTCGTCTATTGAAACTTATACAGGGTGCGGCAGAGGGGATCGACGGTTTTAAAAAAATCATAAAATAGTTAATTTTTACTCGAAAACAAATTTATTGATGGAATCAGGTTCACAACGAAATAGCATTTGAGAGAGTCAAGTGTGGAAAATCACATCAGGCATGTGGTGGCCGAAATCGTTGATGCAGTGCTGGAGG